GTCAAGGTACGTACGTTCTATTGTTTTCTTCTCTTTTCGATCCTTGGTGGAAATGGGGGAGTTGAATGCTTCCAGCGATTTATGGCACAATCCTCCTACACTATACCTATATAAACCTATCCTCCTTCTGACGGCAAAAAAACGAAATACGTTCGCGTCCCACTCTCAGATCTATCCCTCACCGTCCTGGGCCCATCCTTCGACTCGATCGACGACGCCGACCTGGTCCTGCTGAGCGACATCTTCCCCACCGCGTGGACGGGCGTGACCTGGTCCGGCTTCGAGGCCGGCGACACGATCGCCATCTTCGGCGCCGGCCCCGTCGGCCTGCTCGCGGCCTACTCGGCGATCCTTCGAGGCGCATCGCGGGTCTACGCGGTGGACTGCGTGGCGGCGCAGATCCGGGCCCGCGAGCCCGCCGGCGTGGCGCGCACGGTCGACTGCGTCGGGGAGGAGTGCGTCGATGGCCACGGTCTGCCCGATCAGTCGGATGTGGTGCGCCAGGCGATCCAGTGCACCCGCGTGGGCGGCGGGCTGGCGATCGTCGGGGTGTACTTCGCGATGCCGACGTCCCCGGGCGTGCCCCGCGGGGAGACGATCTCGCCGACGGTGCCGTGCCCGCTGTCCGAGGTGTGGAAGAAGGGGCTGACCCTGCGCGCGGGGCCGGTGGACGCGAAGACCGCGGTGGCGCCGCTGCTGGAGCTGATCCGGGCGGGCAAGGCGAGGCCCGGGTTCGTGTTCTCTTCCGTGGTGGATATCGAGCATGCCCCGAAGGCGTATCGTCAGCTCTCGAAGCGGTTGGAGACCAAGGTTTTGATTCGGTTCGAGGGCGGGGCGAAGACGGGGGCCGAGGGAGGGGGCCGGGGTGGGAGTAGGCTGTAGCATGAAGCCAATATCATTTGTATCTGGCTTGTTGATGGGTGGGTGCTTGCAGTGAGATTTCAAGGATCATTACAGTCACGAGAACTGTAGTCATCGTTCGCAGAGATCTTTGTTCTGTTTATATGCTCGTCTTTCCGCCTACGCGATGTCTGGCAGCGGGGGATCCGTTGTACCTGGACTGTGGAACCAAGTAGATCGGTCCAAAAGGTGGTCTCTAGATTCTCTCCGGCTGTCAGCGTCTGGGAAAGCTACCCTAGCCTGTTATGTTATCTGCAACCCAACTAACTGCTCAGTAAGTATAGAAGTCTGCGGCCACACTACCAGAAAGTCTGCATACAAGCTATCTATCATCACCGAATACCCCGACTACAGTACAGTACACCGACTACAACCAACCCATCGTAAGACACCCCCACCCCCTAAGCCCCAACCGTCTTCCGCAGCCGCGGCTCCAGCGGAAACACCTGCTCCTCGACCCGCACATCCTTGTAGACGATATCCCACCGTTTCCGCAGCGGCTCGGGCGTCTCCCACGCGTACTCCGGATCGCGCAGCCACAGTCGCAGCAAATGGCGTCTATGAATGTGTCAGCACAACACACCTCTTCCCCACAGCATGAGACACTTGGTGAGTGGGGGGAGGGGCAAAGGCAACATACTCCCTCCCCGGCTCATCCCGGAACCCATTCCGGGCATGGAAGATACTCAAATTGTTAATGTACTGCACATCCCCCTTCTGGAAGTCCAGCGCGGCGCTGTGCTGCTCGGCCAGGAAGTGCAGGGCGTCGAGGGCCTCGGCCTGCGCCTCGGTGATCGGGGGGATGTCCGCGGAGCGGGGCTGGGCCTGGAAGCCGGTGAAGTAGCGGCGGGCGTACTGGATGAGGACGCGGGCCGGGGTGGATTCATCGGTGGCGGGCTGGAAGTAGAGCAGGGGGCGTTTGGTGTAGGGCGAAGCGGGGTTGTTGAAGCTTTGTTCTTTGTTAGTTTCTCTCGCTTGAGGGTTCGGTTGGGCCGGCTGCATGCATGCATACCCATCGACCACCCAGTCCTGCGACAAGGTGTGGATCAGATCCGGGCGCTCGCGCGCCAGGATGTTGTACACCAGCCAGCTGCTGGCGATCTTGCTTTCGCCGCCGGCGGCCGCGGGGTGCAGGCACAGCAGCGAGACGATGTCGCCCGCGTCGGTGTGGAAGACTTGCTTGTCGGCGGTGTTGGAGGGCGCGCCGATCGTGCCGGCGCGCGTGGTGCGCGTGATGTCCTTGATGTGCGAGAGCACGAGCGACGTGCCGCTGCTGAAGCGCTGGTCCTCTTGTCGTCCGCGGATGTTGCCCACGTGCGCCGATACCCCCGCGTAGATGATGATGTTGTCTTCCCGGGAGTAGTGGTCGATGCGCAGGCCGCGCAGGACGAAGAATCCCCGGCCCAGGTGCAGTTCTCGCGATTGCTGGCGGAGGCGATCGTGTAGCGTGGGTAGGGGGAAGGTGGATTGGTCGATCGCTCCCCAGGGGAGATTGCGCGCTGTGATGATTGGGAGTACTTAGGAACGGAAGTGGACACGATGGATGGGGATGGGGATGGGGATTGGGATGGGGATCGGGTAGGGCTACTTAGGGTGCGGGCGTTGATGCCCTAACCTACAGTACTGTACCTTTGAAGCTCTGCAAGGCGCCATCGATCTCATCCAGCTCCGTCTCGCTCAAACGTACCACCCAGTCATCGCGACTCGCGACATCCTTGCCTTCCCAGACGAGGCTGGAGACCAGTTCCGTGGGAAAGCCCTCGGGTACGCTCTGGGGGAGAGTCTCCGTGACCTTGCGTCGGGCGGTTCGGGCCTGGTATTTGTCCCAGTCGGGATGGTACTGAATGTCAGGCTGGACGAGAGTCTCGACGGCCGTCATGGTGAACGTGTGCGTGCGTGCGTGTTGATTTGTTTGGATGGGGCTGGAGTATCTGCGGGGTTATTATCTATTCTTATCTGTGCTTATGGCGCTGTCGAGAGCTAAGATGTGGTGATGGCCGGGATGCAGCACGCCATCGCTCTCCACAATGCATGCATGCGCGCCATTTTAATCCGGTATCTTCCACGATCGTGAGATGCTCTGTCCACCACCTTAACGTTTATATCCCTCTAAAAAGCCTCAATCGGAAATTGGTCGTTCGCCCACATGCTCACCAGGATTCGGCGATCCCCCGTCCACGGCTTGCGCCCGTGCGACACCTGGAAATTGTCCACCAGCAGCAGATCCCCTTCCTCCAGACAAAGATCGATCTCCAGACCATCCACCACCTCCTCCAGTCGTTGGAGGTACTCCGCAGGGATGACAGTCCCATCGCCATAGTCGCACGGCAGATCTACCCTCACTTGTTAGCATTCCATCGGAGTGTCCGGAGGGGGCTCTATCCTACATGTCATTCCATCGCGCCCTAGATACGGTGGCTCCAACGCTCCCAGATCACGCGTCATTCCATACCGACCGACCAACCCGTTAAACCAAACCGGTCGTCCGCTAGCACGAGCGCGTCGAATACCTTCCGCACAGTCAGCACTGCACCCGCGGTCGAAGACTAGGGAATGGACGTACCCGGAATATGCTGCGTCAACTCCAGCGTATCGTCCTTTAACCACCGGAAACTCGGAGTGAGCCTGCGCACCTGCGCTTCAACCTTGGCCTTCTGCGTATCGCGATCATCCCCGGCCTCAAACTCTTGTCCAAAGCTGTGCTCGCCCGCCCAATTGAACTCGTTTCCCAGGCCCTCGTGACCCGGGGCCCGGAAGACCATCTTCATGGCCAGGCCCCGTTGCTGGACTTCGTGCACGAGGGCAGGCACCGCATCCTGCAGCTTCTCGTAGACCAAGGCGCTGTGTGCGATCGGGGTTTGTCCACCGTGCGGGGCTTTCGTCTGGCAGTAGAAATGGATGTTGGACGGGAAGCGCGTGTACCGTGAGTACTGGACAGAAAGACATGGTCAACCATTCATTCTGCTTCCTTTCGATGGGAATGTGGTATGAGGTACAGCGCAGCGGCCTACCTCATTGTGCTGGTAGAATCGACGATCGGACGGTCCCTCGTTGGCCGTCCACACATTCTCGGCCACCAGGGTGCGTTTCCCGGCGAGACCAATCTGCTCGAACGGATGGGAGCCACGCGCTCTCTCGGCGGCGTTGACGAGTCGCGCGAACGTCTCCGCGGAGGGATGGCCGATCCCGTGGATTAGCACGGCGCCATGTCGCTGGAGCAGCTCGGACAGGCGTCCGGACTCGGCTAACAAGGCGATGGCCGTCACGGCATCGTCGACCGTCGGCACGCCACTGCTGGCTGCTCCATCCGGGCGGTGGATTTCCAGTCCATAAGGGAAAGCATTTCCATGCACGGTCTGGGCGCCTGGCACGTCGAATGGTTGGAAAGTGGTAGTCATAGTTCAGGCATTCATTGGTGTTTTTCTTACATGGAAATGGAGTTTCTCTCTCACATCGGTCGTCTTAATATGGGCGGCGGATGGGGATGGGGTGGGGCTTGGTGGGAATAACGCCATCCCAGCTGCAGGTGAACTCATCCACTAAGACTTAGCCCTCTTGGCAGCTTGATTTACTTCGGAGTGAAGCCGACAGGATTCCACGAGCTTGCAGGTTGTGGCGTCTATCACGTCATTTGCTGATCGGGACTAGGGTTTGATCAGATCAGTATATAAACTACTTTTTCCCGAACCCGGGGCTATGGCTGTACGTTCCAGGCTGGAGTCAAAAATGGGCAGCGACATAATCTCCAAGGCGACGGTCCAGACACATTCATCTCAGTCTCACCCTGACGATGACAGCCTCAAGCGTGGGGAGCGACTCACCGTCAACGAGAATCATGTGCTCCAGGATCGCAAGATTGGAGTGCTGGGAGCCATCTCGCTGATTGTCAACAAGATTATAGGTGCCGGGTTAGTCCGTTGATTTGCCCATCCAAGAGCATTTCTGTTCTTGCTGACGGAGGATAGAATCTTCTCCACCCCCTCGACCATCTTCAAGCTCTCCGGCAGTGTCGGGCTGTCGCTACTGCTCTGGGTAATTGCGGGGATCATCTCCGCCTGCGGAGCACTGGTCATGCTGGAATTCGGCAGTGGGATTCCCCGCTCCGGGGGCATCAAGGTGTACCTGGAACGCTCCTTCACCCCCAAGCGCATGCAGACGTGCATCTACCTCTTCTTCTGCCTGTTCCTGCAGGTCTCCGCCAGCAACGCCATCACCGCCGCCGAGTACCTCCTGTCCGCGGCGGGTGTGGAGTCGACGACCTGGAAGGAACGCGGGCTGGCCATCGCCGCGGTCTCCTTCGCCGTGGGCGTGCACACGGTGGCGCCTCGCGTGGGACGGGCGATGCAGGATGTGCTGAGCATGGTCAAGCTCTTCACGCTGCTCTTCATCGTGTGCACGGGGTTCGCCGCGCTGGCGGGGCATCTCCGCATCCCCAAGCCCCACAACTTCGACCTCCAGACCTCCTTCGAGGGCACCTCGAACAACGGGTACGACATCGGCACCGCCCTCCTCGACGCCATCTTCTCGTACCAGGGCTACGACAATGTGAATGCCGTGCTGTCGGAGGTCAAGAACCCCGAACACACCCTCCGAATCGCCCTGCCTTGCGCCATGGGCATCATCACCGTGCTGTATGTCCTCGCCAACGTGGCATATGTGAGTATTTCCCACTGCCCTAGAAGGCCATAACTGATCTCCGTTCGACTGGACAATAGTTCGCCGGCGTGCCCAAGGAAGAATTCCGCACCGCCAGCGTCACGATCGCAGCCAGCCTGTTCCGCAACGTCTTCGGCGAGACCGCCGCCACGCGAGCCCTGCCCGCGCTCGTAGCGCTATCCGCCCTCGGCCATCTCCTAGGCGTGGCATTCGTCGTCCGTAAGTCTTCTGTCTCCCGTTCCCCCGAAAACCCCTCCGAATCCCCACTCCAGCTGATTTTGATCCCCAAAATCCAGCGCGCCTCCTCCAAGAACTCGCCAAAGACGGCATCACCCCGTTCCCGGACCTCATGATGCAGAACCGGCCGTTCAAGACCCCGATTGCCGCGCTCATCGTGCACCTCGGGGTGACGGTGCTGTTCATCTGCGCCCCGCCCGCGGGCGACGCCTTCAGCTTCGTCGTCGGGCTCTCCTCGTACCCGATGTGTCTGATGCTGACGGCCATCACAATAGGGCTGGTGAGGATGCGCCTCACGCGGCGGACCGGGGAAGGGTGGTCGTCCTCCTACGCGGCGCCGTGGCCGGTGATCGGGTTCTATCTTGCCGCGAACATCGTACGTTCCCCTCCGTCGCGTCCCCATCACCCAGGTGCGGATTGCCTGGCTAACAGAAAGGAATCGCGTGTGAAGTTCCTCCTGGTCATGCCGTTTGTGCCGCCCAACTCGAGCACATCCCGGATTCCGTATTGGTTGAGTCCCGTCGTGGCGTTGGGGATCCTGGGGCTCGGCGTAGTGTACTATCTGCTGCGTTTTGCGGTGCTGCCCCGGCTGCTTGGGTACAGGCTCCATCCCGTGACGAAGGATTTGACCGATGGGTCGCAGGTGACTCGGTTCTTGGTGCTGAAGGAGCCGCGGTAGTGGAGGGTCGCTCGGGACTCCTCTCACAGGTCTGAACCAACAAAAATGCAATGCGGAACGAGCTGTCAGAGGACGTGTAATATTTCCGGGTGTCTGAACACCCTTGAGGCTGAGCAGCTTTGCGGAAGTCATTGACTTCCGATGACTCCACGAAGGCTGAACACGCCGAAGTTTGAGACCAAGTTGAGATACGTAGAAGGGGTGGACATACTAGACTGGATTCTCACTCGGAGAGGCCTCGACAACAAGTGGACGCGCACGACTCATTCAACGGCTTAAGCCGTACGATGTAGCCTGTCTTTCCCCTCCTCGCTAGATCTTCTATATGGAATAGACCACAGACGCTCAATGCACTGAGTTTAGTACCTCGTGCCGCTGAACCAACCGAACCGATGAAAATGCCGTACCGTACGCGGCCCGGCATCCGCCCTCCCCTGCCTAAGCAGTAAACGCTGTTTCTTCCGGGAATGAGCATAGACGGTGACGGCCGTTCTCATTCCATCTGAAGGTTGATTAAGGTGGAGGGCGCAGGTGCTCGAGGTCAAACTAGGTTAGGAAAGCATAGAAGCGTTCTACCCATTCACTATGTAGGAAAAGGGATGGCTACTCGGGCGGGCAACATGCGTGGATAGAAAGGAAGTCCTGCATGGAAGGCCCAGTTACTCTGCTTTGTCACCATATCGCATACACATAAGTGGCGATGAAGTTGGGAATCATGAGATTGACTAGTGGAAGTACAATATTCTGCTAGAGGGGATGCCAAATATATTGTAACAATTGCCTGACAGCAGACCTCCGCTGCGGCGATAAGCCCCGATTGATCTGATAAGCAGACTGTTTCTAAGGCAATACAATGCTGAGGATCCGACCGTCACCATCCCCAATGGCCCCGAGTGACTGGACTCGAACTCGCCGGGAACTGCTCTTCGCCACTATTATCCTGGGTTTATGCGCCACGGGCGCTCTAGGGCCTCTGCTTGTGCCAGGCTTTGTGTTCGTCGCGGCAGATCTCCATGTCAGCCTGACCAGCGTCACCCTCTTGAAGGGCAGTCTTGTCATGGCCCTGGGCGTCAGCGCCTACGTCTGCTCCCCTGTTACCGATTGCTTCCGCAGACGACCAGTGTACTTATTCACCACGCTTTTGGTCCTGATCTCATGCTGGTGGGCAGCGGTTGCAAAGTCGTACTCCTCGTTGATCGGATCCCGTGTGTTCCAAGGTCTGCCCCAATATCCAAGAACCTCTCTACGATACCAACATACTGAGATCCTCTATGACCAACAGGACTAGGCATGGGAGGACTCTTCGCGCTAGCCGGAACATCGTCCAGCAACGAGGTCCTCCACGTGCACGAACGGGGCCTGCGCGTGGGGCTCTGGAATTTTGCCGCCATCGTCTCCGTCAATCTAACCCCGATCATCCGCGGATATATCATTTCGGGTTTGTCTTGGCGCTGGGGCTTCTGGCTGGAGGTCATTCCTTTTGGTCATGGCTTAACCAGAATTATTATCCAAGTTTGGCAAGAGTCCAGGTTGGGCTGTACATTATTCTTTATTCCAGAATGTACACAACGGGAAACAAGTAAGCATTTTCCTAATCCTTGATTAGAAAGAAGGCTTCCTGGTCTTGCCGGAGTACAGCCTGGTTTCAGAAAGCCTAAAAAAGCCTAAACCGGTATTGTTGAGTCTAGCCGGGATTTTGAAGTATAATGCTGCTTCGTTCGGCAAAACATCCCGTGCTCCATAGATGCTGATGCATCTCAGCCGGAGACCGGCTGATGGAGTAGATCATATGTGACGCAAGATCAAGGACGCAACCTCGCATGGCCTAGTACAAATAGTACGTCACACCTCTTGAAAGTCCATGCCGAGTGTGCTTATTCCGAATTCAGAAGAGGACGGAGCGTTCCAATATGCAGCCATTATCAACTATTGATCTTCTCTCAACTGAGCTGTTTCAGCTCCACTACAAGAATACCTCACGGAGAGAACGTCTGGAGCTTTCTTACCTGCGAGCCAGGGCCATTGCCAAACATTGGGGTCAGTCAAACCCATACTTAAGCTTCCAGGCTAATGTGGTCTAGCATTGACCTTGGACGACGTCATTCGTGTTTCACCAAAGTCCCAGCGTGCTCACATGGACGGTATCATCGTACGAGACCCGGTCGCGCACATCAATCTGAGCATCCAGTATAACCTTGTCGTGGGCACTCTCGCCACATATGTGAAAAAGAGACCGGATCTGGATCCTCTTATCAGGGAGTTTCTTGAGTTCGATATATGGTAAGCCTTGGTTAAGGATTGTGTAGACTCTTGCTCATATGTCTTGTCTGCAGTGGGGCTTTCATGCTGAACGAAGTTGGTCATGGGTGTGACGCAAGGAATCTGGAGACTACTGCCACATGGGAGTCGGATGGCGGGTTCATCTTGAACACCCCGAACCGCAACGCGGCCAAGTATGTGAACCATGGCCAACGGAACATGCAAATACTGAGAAGAAAAGGTTCATGCCACCATCCATGCCGATGGCGGGAATTCCCCGAGTTGCATTGGTCATGGCACGCCTTCTCGTCGAAGGAGAAGATCGAGGGATTCGACCTTTCGTGGTTCCCATCAATGACGGTTATCGGATGTGCCAAGGTGTCAAGTCATGGCAAGTGACCATTGACTGTCTGCAGGCTGAATCGTTGTCTAATTTCTCTAGGCTGCTTCCGCCGATAGGCTGCGGCGAAATGCTTGACCATAGCCTGACGACCTTTGATCATGTGCGTCTAGAAGCAAGTGCTATGCTTGGAGACCTGGCCAAGCCTGGCAATCTGCGTGCTCAATTCCTGTTCGCCATTGGCCAACTCCGGCTTGGATCTCTTGCATTGAGCCTGTGGACTATCCCTTTCCTGAAATGTGCTGCGTTTACTGCGGGAAAGTACAGTCAACAGCGAACAGTCCAGGAGGGTGCTCATGGGGAAAGAGTCCCGATTCTCAGCTTCAGGACTCAGCAACTGCCGATCGCGCGTGCCTTGGCCCACGTTGCCGTCATGGAGCCGCTAGTGGAGTGGGTAGTGTCCCAGCAGAACAATTCATCCCTCAGCGTCATGTCTAGGCATGCACTGAGCGCGGCGCTCAAGTCCTTGTTCGTGTTTAATGGACAGGAAAGCCTCAGTGCTTTAGTCGAGAGAAGTGGGGCGCAGGGAATGTTTCCTGAGAACCAGATGGCAAACGTAGAGGTATGCTGTTCTAACTGCTCAATTGCTCAGGCCGTTCTACTGACATACGACAGTCTCTGACACGATGTACGAGCATCGCAGAAGGGGAGCTCCTAGTTCTTTGCATCCGTAAGTCATTTGCGACCTATAAAACCACTGAGTACGAACCCATCTGAGCTATTATTAGGCCATGCCACAGAGATATTGCTCGAACGTTGTGAGATCCCCGAAGCAGAAAACCCCACGTCGTTGTTGGCCAAACATGAGAGCGGTATCATAGCTGAATTACGGGAGCTTCTCAAAACCTTTGAGAGTCATCGAAGCACCGAGTATAATAAGTTCATCTTGCCTCGATGTCGGCCAGTGATGCTGGCGATCGGACAGCGCATGGCTTTTGAGATTGCTGCCAAGCGGGGGGTGGACGGTGACTTGTTGGCCATGTATGAGTCGGAGGCGGTGAGAAGTGATCCCAGCTGGTACATGGAGTGTTTGGGGCTGAGCAGAGCTGCCCAGTATGAGATGGAGAGTACAGCATGCGATGCTGTCATGTCACAACTTAATAGGCATCTCGATGATCTCGGCATTGAGCCGTACTGCACGGCTCCGATGTTGTCTGGCGCCAAGTGGGACGACTTCATCAACGTCGCTCGCACATTCACTGCGAGGGCAGACGGGAGGGCAGCAGTCTTCCACCCGAGGCTTTAGGAGTGGGAGCCATTGTAGAATACAGAGAAAAGTGATATCTCAGTCAATCTAGTATGAAAATGACACGGCTGTTGTGTGGTTGTGGTTGTTGTTGTTGTTGTTGTTGTTGTTGTTGTTGTTGTTGTTGTCGATAGAACGGAGTAACTACGGAAAGGCGGAGCGAAAAAGGGAAGGCTTGGCGGACCGGACGGGGCGACGGCCTGACAGCCTGACAGCCTGACAGCCTGAGGATCGTGACCCACGTATGACGTTGATGGCTGGGCCCCGACCGTTGGTTGCTCTCTCTCTCTCCAACTCTCATCCATACTTATTCGCCCTTCTCTGTTCCTAATTCCTTTTCTCCAACCAGCCCGTCTCCAAAGCCGCCTACTACAATCTAGCTTGAACCACATCCAATACTTCCATCCATCCCATTAGACATCGCTCACGATGACTGTCGGATCCTTCTCCTCTCCCGTCAACTTCACACTCCCCTCCTCCAGCTCGGGGTCTTCGATTAGGAAACCCATCAAGACAGTATCCAAGCCTTGCTTCGGGTGTGATTGCGGTGACGAAGAATGCGACTGCTGTATCTGCACTGTGATGTGGTATGTTGCTTTCACCTAGAGGATCACGACTGGAATATACAACTAACAGACATATATAGAACTAGCGTTTACGCTTTTCCCGCTATTTGCACAAGCACGATATTGCTGCGCCACGAATACTGCTAGCACAGCGACCGACCTCCTTCCAACGAATAACAACACAACGGTCTGTCCGGTGGCGTGTTCTCGGGTGTATGGGTTACAGATTGACACTCCCATGACATGATGCTTTTTTCCCTGTCTTGATATCCCTCCATTGATTGCTCAACATAGCGTATAACTGTTTTCGTTTCCGAATCAAAGTCTTCTTTTTCTCCATGGTTCCAGTCTCGTTCTCTTCTGTAATGGAGCCACGGCCCAGCAGTGCTCATGTTCACTAACAAGACAGAAACTATGAGAAAGAGCATCGGGTCGAGCCACCACCTTATCGGGCGTCGAAGTAAATGTCAACAGATACTCATGCCATTTTCTGGGTACGATGGATTTGTGCGGGGCTCTGTGATGGGCAAGATGCCGAAGGAGGTGGGTTCAGCTCCGATCTATTGACATCCATTTCATTAGACAGGGCCAGACATCTGGGGCCTGTGTGAGAGCTCCAATCATGTTCATGAGGTTTATCAATAATCGCAAGGTCTGTATTTACCAGCCTTTCGAATTTCCCAACGCCAGTGAGCTCAGCACTGCCACAGCACGATGGTCGGCATTTCACGGCAGGAATCGTTCACAACCACAAACGCGGGGGCCTAGAGATGGTAACACTCCAGGGTCATTGATTGCAATCGGGTTGAAGGTCGGAAGTAACCTCATGGCTTATGCGCCTCAAAGTTAAGCCACACATAAGCGCTTGGGGGTCAAGTATGGCGAGCTACGCGAAGCTAACGGCAGACTAACCGGGCCAGCGTCTCGACTACTGCACCTGACCAGGTATAAGTCCAGTCAAAGCACTATCACCCCTTGCTAGCTTTGTATTTCGAGGGCAGCCGGTCCCTATCACGATGTAAGTTATTTAAGGAGAGTCATGTACCGACAGGGATACAGCCTCACACGCTACACTTGCTTTACCCCTCACAGCTGAAGTCAGCTCTCAGGATGGTTGAAGCCGAGCGAAGGTGCCATATAAGCGACAACATGGCTATACTTTCAACCAGTATCATCGTCTCTCGCCAATCTTCGAGCCCCAGCATTCAGCAATGTCGACCTGGCTCCCTTTTATTGTTGCCCACGTAAGGGGTTATTTCGGGGATAAGAGCCCTGTCCAGGATGAACCAGGATATTCTTGCTTGCCATCAGAGACTCAGACTGATCTGGCCGGCAACACCCCTCGAGAGTCATTCGACGAACAACAAGAAGGGTTTCCAGCTGCAACTCCGACAAGCAGGGGTCATTCAAACCCGATTAACGATCAGACATGGCAGAATTGGGCGAAGCAAAAGACAGGTCGTTCTTACAGAGCGCCTGAAATACCAAAAGAGCCGCATGGCTCTGCCTATCAGAATCAGGAGCCCTATGGACTGCCATTCCCGAATGGTAGCATCAGTGAGGAGGGAGGAACCCTAGTGCCCTCGGCGTCAGAGTACGACTCCGACGCAGAGGAAGCCGATGTGATACAAGTGAAGCATCTCGATCAGGACGATATGATCAAGAAAATGATCGAAGCACTAGGCAAAAAGTGTGATAATCAGCCAGGATATGTGTACACCTTCTTTAACCCAGAGTCAGAGCCCATAACCAGCAACCCTGTTAAGGTCGGCCAAGCGACGGACCCCGAACAACGAGGAAATCAACACAAAACAAATTGCAAGCGCGAAAACTGGGAAATCGAATATGCCCACTCCTTCAGAGGATACAAATGTGTGGAGAGACTGGTCTTGATCGAGCTGCACAACCGGCGATCTAACGATGTCTGCAACTGTGGGACAAGACACAGAGAGTACTTCAATGTTGACAAAGCTTATGCGTCTGGACTCATTGAATCTTGGCAAACCTGGCTGCGAACGTATGAGCCATATACCCGTGGTGGGATATTGAAGACTGTCTGGCAAGACCGACTAGACTTGTTTCAAAGCCAGTCTTCTAAGTTTTTCTTGTGCGAAACGTGCAAGGTCAACCGGACTTCCACATCAGACCCGAAGGCAAAAGATTGTTGCATTCGAGCAGGATGGGAAGCATGGACTAATCCAGCGCGGTCCAAGTACAGATACCAAGCCTTCCTTGCTCTAATCAAAGACACTCGCATATCTCACTCTTTGACAAGGCCCGCCAGGTTCCTTTTGATGATTATATGGGCGAGGCTTCTCATTTCCGCCATATTTTATGGCGGTTTACCCATCCCAGCATCGTCGGACACAATATCCGTGGCGCATGCAGCATTTTTGTCGCTTGGAGTAGTCTTTGACCTTCTTGTCTCTGCTATCTTGTTCCTGTGGGTATCATTTGCGCCAAACCGCGAGATAGCCCGGATTGAAGACACTGAAGCATCCGAGTCCCCTCGCAAAGAGAGTAAAGCCGGAGCGGATTCAGTCAAGGAGTCATGCACTACTCCGACCAAGTCTATTAGGAAAAAAGCTGCGGAGAAAACACCGCCGTCGACTCCAAAGAGAATGGATAGAAAGGCACCCAAGTCTTCTCCAACCCCTCAAGAAGATATGGAACTCAGAGCGAGGCCACGTCACGAGCCGTCTGCTACTCCGATCAAGTCTCCTAAGACCAAAGGTGTTGGCAAAAGATCGAGAAAGGTATCGGATAGTCCTCCGGCGCTTGGGAATGAGAAACCAGCCACCAATGTCAGCAGTAACATGACACCTCCGCACCACTCGGGAACGACTTGGCCCATAGATACCTCGACTCCCCCTGCACTTGGCAAGATGCTTGAGCGCTCATTTGACTCCAATTTAGCCAGGTAGAGGGCAAGGTATGGGCAGCGCCATACTCTATCTTTTTGTGAATGCCGTTCTATGGACACTTAAATCACTATACCTATAAACTTGCTTGTGAATGTTCTGCTTGATGATCTATGTCTTCTATTGTTTTCTGTTTTTGAGGTGAATTGACCTGCAGCTGTTTGGGATGAATTGACCTGCAGCTGTTTGGGATGACTTTTCCGCGGTTAGTCTTGGCATGACTCTTTCTCGGCTTGTCTCCGCACACTCATTATTCTCATGTTCGATTAGAGGGTCCGACCCTCAGGGTCGAGACCCCCGCCTTTCCTTATTAGCGTTCTTATTGTTAGGCTCGGGTATACCTCGGAGTGACTCACGTTGATCCATCCCGAAGTACGAACTCCATGGCTTCAACCACCAGCAACTTCTCAGTCTCCAGCCAACACCCTTCAGTATACGTACTGCAAAAGCAAGCACCATGACCGCCGCACCCGCAACTGTATCCTCCAGCCTAGATTTGATCGGCAACACGCCGGTGGTCCGCCTCCGCAAAGTCGTCCCCGACAACCATGCCGACGTCTACCTCAAAGTCGAAACCGGCAATCCCACCGGTTCGCACAAAGACCGAATGGCGCGATCAATGATTGAAGAAGCCGAGCAACGCGGAGACCTCCGACCCGGAATGACCGTGGTCGAAGCCACCGGCGGGAGCACCGGGTCCGCGCTCGCCTTCATCTGCGGCGTCAAGGGCTACAAGTTCCTCGTGGTCTCGTCCGACGCTTTCGCCACCGAAAAGATCCGGACGATGCGTGCCCTGGGGGCGGAGGTCGAGCTCATCCACAGTCCCTCAGGCCAGATCACGCCTGATCTGGTCCCGTCCATGATGCGACGCGCACAAGAGATCGTCGACACCGGCGACAACTACTTCTACACGAATCAGGCCACCAACCACGACGCGCTGATCGGCTACGAGGGCATCGGCAGGGAATTGCTGCAGCAGTTTCCCGACGGGATCGATGCCTTCTGCGGCGCTGTGGGCGGTGCGGGCATGGCGATGGCTGTCTCCAGGGTCTTGAAGGCCCAATGGCCCCAGACGCGCGTGGTAGTGCTTGAGCCGGCGTCTTCACCAGTCATCACCGAAGGTCGCGCGGGCACGCACCAGGTCGATGGGATTGGGCTCGGGTACATGCCCGCACACTTAGATCGGGAGCTCTATGATGAGGCGCGCGGCATACCGGAGGAAGACGCCCGTGCGATGTGTCGGCGTCTTGCGAGAGAAGAGGGTTTGTTGGTTGGAACGTCGACGGGGTTGAATGTTGTCGCTGCGATTGCACTGGCGAAAGAGCTGGGGCCGGGAAAGACGGTTGTCACGGTCGCTTGTGATACTGGGTTTAAGTACATGAGTGGCAGTCTTTTTGCCGACGATTAGACTTCGAATGGCCTCAAATAGACTTGTATTGAAAGACTGTCTCGAAGGTCTGAAGATTTGATAATTGATGAAAATGCTGGCGTGGGCCGGGAGTTGGTGGAATTCGCGGTGCCATCGTGGTTTGTTGGGCTGTTCGTTTACTTTTCTCTTTCTTTAGCCTGCTACCTTTCGCCTTGGTAATTATTCAAGTCATTTTAAGAAGGTTTCGTATGGCATTGAGTGCGTTTCATATACCTTGGGGCCTTTCAATGCAATGGTGAAGATATTCAAGGGAAGTCGGAAATAGAATGGCCGAGCTCCAAGTCGCGGTCCGCTTACAAAGCACACAAGGCAGCAAGAACAAGGTTGCCACGAGGAGATTTGTCAGCGGCATCGGAAGACCGGGGTTCTTCATCCGATCTTCTGTGGTTGTGCAACCTTTTCTTTCGGCATATCAGACCCCTATAGATCGTTACAACCTCGATAGACTGCCTCAAGCATTTATACCCCCATCTAAATGTTTCCCTCGCCGTCCTCGGCAGAGAAGTCTGACGAGGAGATCCGGAGGCCCAGGAAACGTATTGCGAGGGCGTGCGACTCGTGCTTTAAAAGAAAGGTCTGCCTCGCCACCTGGACTGTACTTCTTCTTTCTGGTCTCTGACGTCCTGTAGATCAAATGTGATGGCGCGCAGCCGCAATGTAACTGGTGTAGTCATCATGACATTCCGTGCACGTTCGAGAGGGTGACCGTGAGGAAGCGGAAGATCGCTAAACCTGTAAGGGGGTATGCATGGCCACCGCATCCAGAAGACACTCATTTGCTTGACCCGGGGGAAATCTAATCGACCGTAGGAATGCTAGTCCAGGAGATTCATCAGATCTAGCCGAGCGAATTGAGCGGATAGAGAAGCTCTTGGGCAGCAAGTTGATGAATGAACCGGGTTCGTCGAAATTGAGCATAGCCTCTTCGGCTTCGCTGACTGATGTCAAGCAGCCCCGGCCGGAAGAGACGACAATGTGCGGATTTGTGCACCAAGCAGTGTTCCAGACGTTCCAGACGTATCCTCTGAGGCTTCTCCCGCGCCTTACAAGCAGAACTCGGGCTCGTCGTCGGTGGCTCTGCACTTTGCAGGGCGCGAGCTCGGTGTGTTCAACTTGTTCACCGGTATTCCCTTATTGCTACCAGAGGGAAGGCAATGGGTTCAAGCGAGGACGGGGCAGAATGTTTCATTCAGCAGGCTAGTCAGCTCTGTTAGGACTCCGTGGGAACGACAGAGGGCGTTCAACTACGATGCTCTGATGATGAACTCCACCACAGAGAATGCATTTGAGCTCCCAGAACGGCACATCGTCGAGAGCTACTATAACATGTTCTGCTCGTCATTGATGCGGCTGATCTTCCCGGTTTTGGATCCGGTCTTGTACAGAGAGACCATCAACGCAGCATACGAGCAGCCACATGGCCGGGTCTCATATGAGAGGGCAAGCGTTCGAGCTTCTATCTTTGCGTTCGTGGCTTTTGCAAGTCTCATACCCACCCCTGAGTATGAACTACACAGAGGGTTGGTTCCGGTGGATAACGAGGCTTATATTGTCAAGGCGCAGTATTTCGTGCCTCAGATCTTGCAAGAAACAAGTTCCCTGGAAGGACTGCAAGTGATTACAATGCTGGTAAGTCTACGCCTTTCGGATTGTACATCCTGCCTTACCTATCAACAAAAGCATTTGATGCTATCAATGGGTCTCTTGCTGGTCATTGCTGCTCATACAGGGGATGATGCTTGCATATCGTTTGCTAACCCCACATAGGCAGTGTACGAGCTTGTGACCGGAAACCTACAATCCGCAAACTACTACGGTGGGCTAGCCGCTCGCATGATCTTCATCCTTGGAGGTCACACGGCGTTCTGCTATTCGCCGGAATACCTGGCGTCGCTTCCCGACGAGACCAGCGTGCGCACCCAGCAGCACATCCGGCGCATCTTCTGGCTCTGTTACACGTTCGAGAAGGACGTCTCCCTGCGCACGGGGCAGCCGCAGACCTTCAGCGACGACAACTGCGACCTGACCTTACCCCCCAACTACATGGACACCCTACACGCGCACGGCGCGGACTGCATGCTGCCGATCCGCAAGACGGACGAGGACCCGCTCTACCCGGTGGACATCCGGCTTAGTATCATCAAGTCGCGGGCGTACAGCGCGCTGTACTCGTTCCGGGCGCTGAAGAAGACCGATGCGGAGCTTCTGAAAGATATCCGCGAGCTCGACGACGACCTCGAGCGCTGGCGGCTCTCGATCCCGCAGCAGTGGCGCCCCACGCTCTCCTTCTCCCAGGAGACCCCGGACCCGGACGCCAACATGCACAAGGTGATGCTGCGGCTGAACTACCACCTGTGCATGACCATCATCCACCAGGCCAGCAGCCGCTGCCAGTCCTGGACGAAGGACCAGTTCGGGATCATGGACGGCGTGAATTCCAGCCTGGCCCTTTCGGTCGAAGCGAGCCGCTCCACCTTGCTGTATCTCCAGGCGTCTGAGCACGTTCTGGTGGCGGGCATATTCTGGTTAGTCTCATCCCTTACAACCCACTTGGCATCTCTCTCTCTCCTTCGCCTGTTCCCGTTTCATCCAGCACACGAATGAATTAGCATTCCCCTAACCCCCGCAAACAGGACCCTCATCTTCTACCCCATGTCCGCCCTCCTCGCGATCTTCTGCAACATCCTGCAGAACCCCACCGACCCGCAGGCCACCAAGGACCTGGGCCTCCTCAAGACGGCCAAGGGCATGATGGAGCGGATCTTCCTGCGCCAGCCCGCCTCGGTCAACGAGATCGTGCACATCAAGATGGTCGCCGACTTCGTGACGGAGCTGTATCGACTGGCTAGCTGCGCGATCGAGAAGGCCTGGAATGAGCGGGCTGCTGCGTAGTCTCCCTCTATTCTTCTCTTCTTCTTTGCTTGATAATACTTGATTTCCTTGTTAGAGGGGTCTGGCGTGAGGCGCTGGATTGCGCGGGTCGGGATTGTCTTTGTTGGGTTACTTCAAGAGGGTCGTTGCATTGGGGTCTACTGCCTAGAAGGTGCTTGTATAGACCCGGCATATATAGAGGACGGAGAGACTTATAGATCCGGATGATTGCAGCTGTATCAAGGGAGATGTGGGGAGGTTATGTACAGCTAGACGCACGGGAGCATGTATCATTCATGCTTCGATTAGGGCATTGACATGAGCAATGATCGAAACTACGCTACTATACAGATATAAATAGCGACAAGAACCGATTATAGAATACAAAAGGAGACAAGATCTTATATAAAAAGTTTTCATATTCATTTGAGCTATTCATCATATGCTGTAGCAAGGGATCCTGGAAACTGGGGCAAGTCAGCAATGCGATTCAAAATCACTTGAATGACAGTAATGGCTGAAATGTAGGCAAGACAAGCTTTGAGAGCTTGGTTTCAGAAGAATGCGAATGAAGGATGCGTAATTGTAATCAAAAAGTACACAAGTACTCTCAGATGGGGTTGAAACATAAATAAACGCAAATCATCATAGTAGGATTGGAGATGTGGGAAGGTGTTCTGTTGAAGCTTACCATTAGTACAGTAGACAAAATCGAGATGCGATGCTGAAAGAGTTCACTGAATTGCATTGCTGAGGTAGGCCATCATTATGCCTTGACCAAGGAGGTATCATGGTAGATCACGGCGGGAGAAAAAATGAGTAGGAATTTAAAGGCGCGGGATTAGTGCGACACGTGATCGCACAAGGAACAATGACGGCCCGGGATTGATGTGGATGGCTCCGCGCAGCGCGAGGTGCATGTCGCGGTCGGCCGGCACGACCTGAAGATCTCGGTGTAGACTTGATGACTTTAGCAATAGTCATGGGTCATGATCGACTTGCCCAGTTTCTCCTCCTATTGAAGCTGATCTGGGACTGAATCGCGCTTTTGTAGTACAGCTGAGCAGCTAGACTCGGCAGCACTAAGCTGCGGGACGTAGGATGCCGGAAAAAAAAAAGCGATCTGGTAGAAAAAGCTCAACTATTGATCTTCTCGTCCAACAGATCCCAGACCAGTTTTGCGTCCTCAACGGCTTGCTCGTCCGTGGCCAGACTTTGTTTGTTATCCTTGTCGGCCTGCGCTGACGCTTGCGCAGCTTGGCCGTCAGCCTCGAGCCGCTCCAGAACTCCCGTGATTTCTGCCTTGAGCTTGTCCATTTCTTCAACCTCCTGCTTCGTTCGGTTCAATTGTTCTTCCATCATCATGATCAGCGACTCGCGAGCCTGGTGCGGCCGGTAGAGGTTCAGGAGGTGGTGGGCGTTGATGAACAGATTGCGCAGGTCTTCCACCTTGGCCTCGAACTGTTCCGGAGCGACCGAGAGGATGCCGACGAATTCCAGGAAGTTCAATAGGAGGGACTTGCTGATTTTGAGTAGATAGTATGCGTGGTTCAATGGCCGTGTCGGTTGGGATGGTTCTTGTTCATCGGTCTCGGCAGGCGGGGTCGAGGGATAGAGCTGTGTGATTCCTTGTTCTTGGAGCGATGGTAAAGCGGTTGACAACTAGACGAGAATATGAGTAGCGGGCCTATGATGTGCGGGGAGGTACGAGGACTGACGCTTTGAAGCTCCCCGAAAACGCTATAATGTCCGGACGTCGGGATTGCTGGTGGTACGAGACACCGTAGCTCAGGTGGAAGGTCCAGTTCGCGGAGCTCAGCTGGCGTCCATTTCTTCTTCCGCGGCTTGCCATCCTCGCCTTTGGAAGCTTCTTTCTTGATTTGTTCCAATCGCTTGATGTTATCGGGGGTGAAGTGTTTCCATAATGGCGGGGGCGGAGCGAAGGCCGTCGTAAGAGTTCTTGGTTGCCCTGCTTCGGCCATTCTTTATGTGGAAGTATCCGATTGCAGGGACAGTTGCCAAAAGATCGGTTGATTTGGCGGATTGCGTCTGGACTCAGATGAAGCGGAAGAGTCAAGTTGGATTGAGGCGGCGGGAATGCGGAGACTGGGCGGAGTTGGTCCGTGCTCAGACGCCGGCCAGCGCGGCCACTTTCCATCTCCGCTTCGCTGATCTTCCTCTTGGTTTGATTTCAATTCATCAACACCCACCCTCTTCGGCGCTGACGATTTGCCGGCCTTGCAAGGCCTTTTTTCCTATCTGATAGACTGCTCGAAATATGCCTCGCAATGGCTTTGCTGCTGGTACAGCATCCCCCCTTACTCACCAGAGCGAAATAACCGGCACGATGTCTCGTCTTTATCAGCGATCGTACCCCGTGCTGGACACTATCGCGCTGGCGTGTATTGTCGGTTTTTGGATATTGGTAGGCACACGCTTTGCCCCGGTGACTATCTTGCTATGAAGGCTAACTTTCTTGCGCATATCTAGATACAACTATTTGTTACCCCCTTCCACCGCATGTTCTCCTTGGACAACAAGGCAATCCAATATCCCTTCGCCGTCGTCGAGAGAGTTCCAGTCGGTAAGGTCTCCCATACTCCCAAATGATAGATATGCTCGTGTGCTCACTACTGGCCTCCAGTCTGGTCCATTGTATATGCCGGTGTCATTCCTTTCCTGATCCTCCTCGTTTGGGCTGCGACGTTTCGACCCTCCCCTCACAAAGTTCAAGTCACCCTGTTGGGCTTCTTGATCGCTGTCATGTTGACATCACTGATCACTGATATAATCAAGAACTCTGTTGGTCGACCGCGGCCGGATTTGATTTCGCGCTGCCTTCCCAAGAAGGGAACCCCGGCAGAGTCGTTGGTCGCATGGACTGTGTGCACGCAGTCAAGTGAACATATCCTTCAAGAAGGGTGGAGGAGTTTCCCCAGCGGACACAGCAGCTTCTCATTTGCTGGATTGGGCTATTTGACACTGTAAGCTTCTACGTTCCATTATATAACGAAAGGCTGCTAACCACTGTCGGATCATAGGTTCCTGTGCGGCCAGATGCGCATTTTCCGACCCCGGACCGACCTATGCCGTTGTCTAGTGGCATTCGTACCGCTATTGTGCGCCCTTATGATCGCAATCTCCCGCTTGGACGACTATCGTCATGACGTCTACGATGTTACGTGCGGCTCAATCCTTGGCTTCTTTGTGGGCCAATTCTCGTACCGCCGCTATTTCCCACCCCTGCGCTCAGTCACATGCGACGAGCCTTACGGAAGGGAAGAGATCTCAGGCTCTGACGGCTTTTCCAAAATTGCGGATGATGAAGAGCAGCAGATAGGATCAGCCTCGCGCCAATGGGAGGCTCGGGAGGAGTCCTATGCACTTGCCCAGGCGACGTCGCCTCGTGGTCGGTAGCCATACTCTTTCTACTTATTTTTTCGTTGTATTCTGTGATACCCTAGAGCTATGTGGGGGCGGTACATGGTTATTGTTTGCTTTTTGCTACTCTGATCCTGTCTACCAGTGATTTGTATCTTGCATGTTTGGATAAATCCTATTCCTGGTATTATATATTTTGGAATTGTCTCTTCTCTACTTGCACGCGCTATAACTTGGATATATCCCTGTATCTCACATTCGTCCATTCTTTCACATCACGGAAATCCATGACTTTGTTGGGACCTCCGAATCTGCCCAGCGTGTCATTCCAATCTCTGTTAGAGGCAATCTCTGGACTCCACCGGATCAGCTCGTGGACCTTCGCCGGGACCTTATCTTCCATAGCGTCGACGATCAAGCTTCCAATGGATGGCAGATATTTGTAGCCTATTGTCATGATGATAGTCAGCACTTGCACACCTTCCCGGGATTTGCAATTCAGAGAACCTACCTCTGCCTGAAGCGCCGCAACCCAGAATGAGCGACTTGTGTTGTGGGTGACGATCAATGATAAACTCGCGATTGGCAGTATCGGCACACCAGCAGATGCGCGCAAAGCTGAACGGGCGATTTGCAAGTTGAGGCACCGTTTCCGCAAGAAGCGCCCGTACTCGCTTTTCGGACTCCAGAGGCACTTGCGTCATCTCAAAGGGCAGGCTCTGCGACTTGCCCTCCGGGGATTGGATCATGTTGGTGTAGCCAGGATGCTCGTCGCAGATCTTGATCTCTCCCTTCTCCTCATCCGGCTCGAAGAAGAATCCTTTCTCGATATTGAAGATAACGGGCATGTTCTTGTAGAGCGGACGCTCCTCAGGCGTCAGCGCGATATGAACAAGCGTCCAAGCGGTCGGACGCAGTTGATCCTTGAAGTCCAGGAATTGCCCTGCGTTTGCACCCGCGCAGAGGATCGTTTGGTCCGCCCGCCAGATCTTGCCGTCCGCCGTGACGGCGCCCTTGACGTCGTTGTTCTCGAAGATCAGCGTGATCACCTTGCCAGCCGGGTTTCCAGTCACGAATCTCACACCCAGTCTCTGAGCTTCTCTCGCAGCAGCCACGAGGGCATTGCGGGCATGGGCCCAGCCGGCGCCGGAACGGAGGAAAAATCCCTTCCAACCTGGGAAACCGCCCTTGAGCACCTCGGGTGCGAGGCTCTGGAACTGCTCTGGTTGAGTCATTTCGACGAGGTTCGGATCTGCCTCGGGCCTGACCTTGACACCCAGGCGGCTCAGTCCAGCTGGCGTGCAAGCCGACATCAGCAGGCCCGTGTCGTGGTAGTATGGCTTGAAGAGGGTGTCGTTCAGCCACCCTTGGAAGGCTTGCTCGCCGAGCATCTCGTTCACCTCAATTTCATCCTTTCTGTTGCTATATTGCCCGGAAGAAATGACCTTATTGACATCGTTTCCAGCCGAGATGGCAGACGGGACGGGGTAGGGGTCTAGGACTGTGACATTCTTGTACCCTCTGCGAGCGAGATGAAGGGCGGTAGAACAGCCCCAGGTACCTGCTCCAACAATCAAGATGGAGGAGTCTTTCGTGACCATCGTGGCGGTGTTGTGGCCTCGGATGCAGTATGTGACGGGATCAGAAGGTGAATGTGGCGAGGTTTGTACGGAGAAGAAAAGCTGCGTCCTGCGTTGTCGCCCTCACAAGTGAAGATGGATATGATAAGGCCAGGCTCGTCTACTGTCAGACTGACTCTTATAAGGACACAAGACGCCAAGTCGCTGGGATCATGAGATGTTGCCATTTTCTGGGTGATCGATAGCCAGGAAGGTCCACGCGATGCTCATCGATAAGAGCGGACATGCCTCCAAGTCTCCAACACAGCATAATTTACCTAAGGTTCCCCGCATTGGACTGTGCAGCGATACGATACGATAAAAGCTTCCTTCCGTGGATTCTGTCCGGCTGCAGCTCCGATGGGCGGGGCCGCTCCTAATCGCCGACCTCGGCCCAGCGAGAAGGGCTTAGGCTTGCCCTTAGTATGACAGAGCATCACTGCGACCAAAACAAAGGCTTTTTCTTGTCTGGGGCGATGGTGTCAATTGTCAAGTGCATGAGGTAAAATGGTTTCCCGGGGCTAGACCAACATTTGCTATCATACGAGCTTGGTCGCCACAGGCGTTGAAATGTGTAAAGACCATTGCATCCTACAAGATATACTCGGGATTTATCAGTGCCGCTCGCTGTCATTCGCCCGCTTGGACCTTACCTACTTTTCAAATCTTGTCGCGTGGCTTGAGGATTACTTCCAGGTCCAATGGCGCCTCTCAATTTGCTTACCCCGTTTTCGACTCCGCATTATGGTAGTCCATCCCGTTGAGATCGGCCTCAGCCGCTTCTTCTATCAGGACAAGCCTCTAATCTACTGATTTCCCTACCGTCTGGTCGAATCTTTTAGTGCATGGTTTAATGGCTTATCTATTCCTTCAGTATGGAATTCTACCGGTCAGTCGCTCAAGGCGCGATATCTGTCGCCGCTGGCTACAAAAGCCGGCATGGGAATGCCAGATGATTCAGTATCCTCCGGAGAATAATCTTCGTACGTTTTCTGCCCTCACCTGCTCTTCCAGGCGATAAACATTTCCCACTTCGCCTGGCATACGTGCTCTCATGACACAGATTCAGTCAGAGACACTGCATGGCGCAGATGTCGAGAACTATGCTGCGGAGCCAGTCTCCTCTGGCGATGGCATCTCCAAGAAGCCCTTGAATAGCGCCGATGCCTTGGAGATCGCCATCGGGGAGAGTAGTACCGTTGAGTACACCATTGACTCCGACAACTCCCCATACCTGGAAGTACGGGCCAACGTGCCAAACACCGACGACCCCACACTGCCCGTCAACACGTTTCGAATGTGGTTCCTTGGCATTGTTTTCACTCTGGTAGGTCCTGCCCCTCGCCGAGATCTAGCTTGCATACTGACTGCCATCCAAGATCGGCACGGGTGTGAACCAGTTCTTCTCCATGCGATATCCGAGCGTGACCATCACCTCGCTCGTGGCGCAGCTTATCAGTTATCCGGTGGGTTGCGCCTTCGCGAAGGCTCTACCCATCACGAAGTACAGAATTGGGCGGTGGGAACTGGATATCAACCCGGACCATCATTTCAACATCAAAGAACATGCGGTGATCACGATAATGTCGAATCTCAGTTTCAATCAATCATGGGTATGAAGTCTTTGGCTCTTGGCGGCCTGTGCTTTGGGGTTACTGACGATAGCACTCAAACCAGGCCAGTGCGATCATTCAAGCACAGAAAGTGTACCTCAACATGTCGACCCCAGTCGGCTACCAGATCTTACTCTCCCTGACCATGCAATTGTTCGGGCTGGGCCTTGCTGGCCTGACCTACCGCTATATCGTTGAGCCACCGCAGATGGTATGGACTGCTGGGTGATCCGAGTAACTAACAGACCTGGCTAATACTATCATCAGATCTGGCCTTCAACACTTGCCAATGTTGCACTTTTCCAAACACTGCACAGTGGGGCTAATCCTATCGCCGACGGCTGGAAGATCTCTCGATACAGGTTCTTTCTGTATGTCTGCATCGGGAGCTTCTGCTGGTATTGGTTCCCTGGGTATATCTTCACGGGCCTGAGTACTTTTGCTTTTATCTGCTGGGCGGCTCCTAGTACGTACGCCAACTCTCCCCAAAACGATTAAACCCCACTAACACTGGGGTAGACAACAAAGTACTGAACAACCTGTTTGGAATGACGACTGGTCTCGGCTATCTACCCACCACGTTTGACTGGAGCCAGATCGCATACAACACATCGCCGCTGACCATCCCATTCTGGGCCCAGGCCAACGTATTTGCGGGATGGTTCTGTCTGTTCGCCGTGGCAGCGCCCATTCTCTACTACACCAACACCTGGTATACCGCGTACCTGCCTCTGACGAGCTCTGACGCGTACGACAACACTGGAAACCTCTACAACTCAAGCCGTATCCTGGACGAAGCCGGCACGTTCGACGAGGAGAAGTACAAAGCGTACAGCCCGATCTTCCTGCCCGTCACCTTCTCTCTCAGCTACGGAGTGGGCTTCGCTGTCCTGAGCTGCCTGATCACGCACGTCCTGCTATACCATACAAAAGACATAATCAGCACGTTCAGAGGCCAGAGCAAGAAAGACATCCACGCGAGACTCCTGTCCCGGTACCCGGATGTTCCTTGGTGGTGGTATGCGGTGCTCACGGTACGTACAATGCTATCACTTATGCATGTCGGTTGTCTAACGTGTCCAGGTTGTCATCGTGGGTCTTTCCATCATGACTCAGTACGTTTGGCACACGGGACTTCCCTTCTGGGGTCTCTTCATCACGCTGGCTCTGGCAGTGATCTACGTGATTCCCGTCGGGACGGTGTATGCAATTGCCAATCTTAACAGTAACAACTTGACGGGGTTGGGTGAGATTATCTGCGGATACCTTCTTCAGGGGAAGCCCCTTGTGCTGTTGATTTTCAAGGTGCGTACCACACTCTACCAAATACCACTGTGTTATGCTAATAGATGCCAGTTCTACGCATACACCGGCTTGAGCCAAGCAATGTACTACGCAGCAGACATGAAGGTACGTCGCACGCACCCGCCTCTTCTTCTGGAAATCATCTAAAAGACATCTCGTATAGCTGGGGCTCTACATGAAAATCCCCCGCCGGACCCTCTTCGTCGCGCAGCTCATCGCCTGCATCCTCGGCACTCTAACCCAAAGTACGCATCCACCCCCGCAACCCATCCTCACCTCTCGTAGACTAACTCAAGAACAGACGGCGTCCTCCTCTGGATGCTAGGCCACGTCAAAGACGTCTGCTCCGAAGACCAACCGGACAACTTCACCTGCCCCCAGGGCCGAGTCAACTACAACAGCGCCGTCTTCTGGGGAGGTAAGCTCGAACCCGACAACCCAACCATCAACCCCCTTCTCTACTTCCCCAAGAACGGCCCATACTAACAACCTACTGTAAAACAAAAAGCCATCGGCCCCGCGCGCCTCTACAACATCGGAGCCATGTACTCGGGCCTCCTGCACTTCTTCTGGCTGGGCGCCCTCCTCCCGATCCTGACCTTCTTCGCCCGCAAGAAGTATCCCAACTCGCAACTCCTGAAAGCCATCCACTGGCCGATCTTCTTCGCGGGAACGGGGAATCTGCCTCCTGCTGTACGCCCCCAAAACCCTCATTCCCTCATCACCATCAGAATCGCCCCTCCCACCACGAAACAACACAATACTAATTGGGTCGCAGACCGGGATCAACTACTCCACCGCCTTCGTGGTGAGTTTCATCTTCAACAAGGTATGTGCCTTCCCAATCACCATACCCCCCAAGCCACCCACCACCTGGGCCCCTACGCAACACCCACTCACAAAGCTCATGGGTGGCCAGCTCATCAAAACCCGTCGCCCCCACTGGTGGGCCAAATACAACTACGTGCTCTCGGCGGCGCTGGACTCGGGCGTCGCCGTCGCCGCCATCGTCATCTTCTTCGCCCTGACCCTACCGGGGGTCACGTTCGGCTGGTGGGGTAATACTGTTAGTGGCGGGACGGTCGACGGGAAGGGGACGCCGTGGTTGGAGCTGCGCGGGAACGAGACGACGTTTGGGCCGAGGGTTTGGGGCTGATATATATCCTATATCTACTGTCCGGGAGGCTGGGTTTGGGTTGTTTATAATTAAGATGTTTTGAACACGAGGAGGGGAGGGGGTTGTTTTGGGTTTGGTCTTTGGCTAATACTTGGAGGATATAGGTATGAGATGAATCTGCCATAATCGATCATTCATATAATCTGACAGTAGTGGCGTTGACGTTGGGACAGGTAGGGTTGGTGGGACTAGAGTACAGTACCTAGTATTGATTAAGGTAGTGAGATTATTCCTAGGCCGGGTACATATTTGCGGCGGATGAACTTATATACTAGGGACCGAAAGCGACGCGCCCGCATGTGCAAGCCCACAAAAGATCCGCCAACGCCGTCCACGAACACCCCTTGAAGCAGAACCGAGATAACGATCAAAAAAACCCGCTAAGTGAAGGAAGATACATGCCCCATTCTCCAGCATAATGCAAATAAATCATTCTCCCCCAGCTACTCGATGCTCATATTCATGAGCCCGTCGTTCGTCTCGTTCATCCCCTGCAAGCCCACGCGTTTGGGGTTCCCCGAGTGGCCGCTGGTCGTGGGGCGGGCCCCGTGCTCGCTGACGCTGGGCCGGTCGGCGAACAACGACCCCAGGTTCGAGCGGGGCGCCCCCCAGATGTTGGGGCTGGTGTCCTTCACGGCGGGCGAGTTCGGCATGATCGGGCTGCTCTGGGCGCTCATGCTGGGCGACACGGCGCGGCGTTTGAACAGGTTGGGGTCGAAGTCGTCGTCGCGCCGGCGTTTGCGCTTGATCTGCTCCCCGAGAAAGCCGGACTGCGTGGGGTGCGACGAGGAGGCTTCGCTGCGCGACCCGGGCCGTTCGTGCGGCTTGGCGAATTCGTGGTGGTGGTGGTGGTTCTGGGTGGTCGTCGTGGAGGGGGTGAAGTCCATGGTGAGGTCGTCTTCGGAGACCGAGGAGGCCCCGTGCTGGCGGGGCGGGGGCGGCGGAGTGCGGTATCGTTCGTCGAACGAGTTCCAGAAGTTGATCCCGCCCGAGTTTCGATGGACCTGGTCACTGAACTTGGGCTCGTCCGGGCTGGCTGCGGTGGCCCCGGCAGTGCCAGGTCGGTCCTCGGGGAGGTGTGGGGTGGTGGATGGCATGAAGGATTCGAGGGATGGAAGTGCCCCCAATGGTGATTTGGGCGGTACCTCGGGCTCGCTCTCCCGGACTTGTCGAATCACTTCCGCTTCGCGCTTGGCTTCGCTGTCGATCGGAGCGCCTTCTTCCATCAACGCTGCTCTGATGCGGGCGAAAGTCTTGGTTTTTGGCTGGGATATACCATTAGTAGCTGGTCTCTCCACGTAAGATGCCGAATCACCTACCAGAAGACTGCCTCGGCGAGTCACAGCACGACGTATCACCCCCAGAGGCCCGCCCTCGGAGTTTGACGCATTGGGGCTCTGTCCCCGCATAGCGCGATGCTCTCCTTCATCACTGACGTCCGACAAACGCAAGTCCCGGGTCCCCAAGCTCAGACTTCCTCGGCGCGACGAGACGCTGCCTCGGGCTGCGAAGTAACCGCCGTTTGGATTCTCGATGCTTTTCATTACCGGAGGGGACAACGGCCCGGGACTTTGCTTAGAGCTGCCACTGCTGGAACTGTGCCGGCTGCGTCCTTTCCGGAAACGAGCACGCTGAAAGCTCATAAGGCTGGCCGCCGCCTGCGAATAGCCGCCCATCCATTCACTCCCGGGACTAGACACATTGCCCACCGCGAACGGACTCACTCCACCTCCAAACTTCTTCGCTTGCGGAGTGTTGGTGATCATGAAGTCGTCCCGATCGCCAATCATAGGCTCGTCATCCTCCTCGCTACTGCTCGTGTCCGATTCCATCATGTTAATGCTCGAGACGGAGCTCGAGATCGCAGTTCGGTCGCCGGGGTTCGAAGTTGAGAACGGATGAGCAGATGCCGACCCCAACGACCCGCGACGTTGTGGGATATTCACTCCGCGCCCGCCGACCGTAGGCGAAGAGTCTGGCGATGCTTCGGCAAGTGTGGAATGGTGAAGGTTGGTACAGGCACGGGAGAAGTCGAGGCCTCGTGAGCGACGGGGCAGCACCGAGCCCGGCGAGCTATAGATTTGGGAGGAATCGAGCTTGGGGGAAAGCGGGGCACGGTTGGACGCGGACAAGGAGCTGGAGCTGGAGCCGGGTGTTTTGGAGGGAAGGTTCAAGGGGAAATTGTGCATAAACGGTCGATGAGGGGTCTCCGGGGTGGATGAAAGCGAAGAATCATCCTTACTCGGCGGTCGGGAATCGATGGGATGGTGGGGGGTCGCGGAAACCGGCTTTGCAGCGTCGGAGAGAGAGCGTGAGGCCGGCGATGGGCGTAGAGGGGGTCCTAGCGACCTGCTCCTGTCGACCGCATGGTCGGTGTCGATGCCTGATTTAGTGTTTTCGGTCCGCTGAGACAGTTGTTCGCTCAGCCGACTCGCAAAAGGTATGGCCAGGCTGTGCGACAAGCTCGAGGGGGCTTGCGATGATGACATAGTAGCGATGAGATCAGTTTCCAAACACGTGTCAAATGCTGCAGCTTGGAATTATTCGACGAGAGAAATCATGGTGACAATCGATCTGGTTTGGTCTGGTTTGGTCTGGTCCGGTCTGGGGTGGCGGGTATTCTTCGAGAATCACCGCAAGGTCCGCTCGTACTCGGGCAGATCGACGTAATGCCGCTGAAAGGGGTGAGGAGTTGTCGAGTCTTTTTAGTTATGTTGTTGGAGGATGTAAAGCTTTAAGATCATAGATTCATATATGCGAATGAGAAGAATGAGAAGTACAAGGGGGTACGGGATAAGGAAGATAGATTAACGGGCGGCAGGCGAGACAAGGCGATGATCGGAACTGGACTCGGAGACTGTTGAATGAGAGTGAGTGAATTGAGACTCCGAGGTCACTGGTGCATGCTGGGCGCGTTCTGGTTTCGGATCGGCGCGCTGACGTTGAACTTGCCCCAATCCGGCGAATCACTCCCAGTCTGCCCCGCCTCCTGAAATGTAGCTGCTAATTGGCGCGGCTCTAATGCCTCAGCCGGACCCTGAACATCCATCCCATCATGGATTAACTAGGTACTAATTCAACTCGTAACTACTAAGTAGGTATATATACTATATACACTGAAATTATCCATCCTCAAAACACCTGTCAATGAAAGAAAAACCCAAGACTATCCTACAAAGTAACTCCTCCAAGATCATGCCCATTATATCCAAGTATGGGAGGACAGCCCCCATCACGCATCATGCCAAGCTCATCGCATTGCTAATCGGTGCCACATACCACTCCCAGTCGTTGCAACCTTGAAGGTCGTCCGAGGCATCTACAGGCGAGCCTTTGACCATATCGCTGTCTCGTGCCTGCCAGACCTTGACAATGACCGCTCGAGTCCGGGCAACATTGGAAACGCTAGACTCCGCCATCGCGGCCAACGCCCGCAAGACCAAGGGTCGTCCGTGGACCACTGCCTCACCACGGTTGTCTCTCCAAACCTCATCTTGGCCTGGATCCAATTCAACTGCAGCCACGAACACAGGCCAGGTCATGCTCACCAGCGAGCCCGAGTCGAGTAGATCCGATACGAGCCGTAAGATCTTCCGAACGTAGCCCACCACCAATGGCGTGGATGGAGACGCCCCATATAAGGCGCAATGTAGATATAACACGGCGGCAAGACGCTTCAGCTCAGCAGCCGATGCCAGGTTGCTGTCGTCGTCATCCTCGACTTCTTGCACAAGGTTCTCGAGCTTGCGCACTAAAGCTGCTGCCCTTTGCGAGAAGCATGCCCGGGCTGCATGGGTGGTCAAACTTCGTCTTGTGCGGCTCATTTCGGTGATCGAAGACAGAATAGAAACCAACTCAGGACTACATCCCATCCAAAGATCGATGTTCCGTTCGTTTTCGTGCCAATAATCCGTCCCAAAACTCACTTCCTCCCCGCACGCGGTGCGGCCCATGACATCCTGGAAAGCAAAAAACAGCTCCGCAAAGGCAGACACAGGGTCGAGGGCATCACGGGATTTCGCCAGGGAAGAGTTCTGTCGCTGCCTGCGTAGACGAATCAGATCTTTCGCCCCCTTGAGATGAATAGTCCAGCGTTGATCGCAGTTGTCGACGATCTCATAGAGACACAACATCATCATAATGGCTAGCACCTCAGGGTCCTCGGAGCATATTACGGGACCTTCCGCTGCAAGCCGGTGACGCAGGCCCCGCAATGCTTGTGCTTTAAGCCGAAGCCCGATGACACTGTACATAGAATCAAAGCGCGACCAGTGGCAGGCCCCAAGGGCTTGTATCGCGGTAAATATGAGCGGAGAGGCGGACATGCAGAAAGGCAGAATGATCGACGCAAAGGGCGATGAGAGTCTGGAGCTTGCGGTGGTCCGAGGACACACCTGTTGAAGATAGTAGTCAAAGAGAAATCGGTCCTCGGATGCAGACATGGGAGGAAACAACGATAACGAGGGAGTCAATCGGACAGACTCCAGCATGCTCCCTGAAAGCGGCGAATCGAGGCTGGTTTCACCGACATAGCGTGGAAAGTAGTGATAGCTCTTGTCGCGAACGACCAGGGCGTTCAACTCGTCGCATCCAACGTCGACTTCGTACGGCTGATCAAATGTCGCGACCCCGCTATTGACAAAGCCCCACGATTCTATAAGCGGGACAGGGCACCACTCCTGATCGTCGATGAAGATAGAGGGCGATGCCCCGGGCGACGGCTTTGGGAAAGGCCCACCGGTAGCGCGGGCCTTACTCCAGACGCCGGCTCGGCCAAAGGCAAGGCCACGGCTCACAAATTCGGATTCCCACTTGAGCACTAGTTGAGTTGTACAGACCAAGCCTTTCTCCAAGCACCGAGTGCATGTTGGCTTCTTCGTGTCGCAGCGAACTCGACTCGCGCGGCATTCCTTACAGCCGCCACGACTTCGGGTCTTGACCGGACCCACGCGGTCTGCAGCCTTCTTGCGCGGCATCCGACCGGTGATCCTTTTACATGGCCGGATAGTTAGATTCTGAGGGTCTCAAAGAGCCAAGAAGCGGCTGATTGACCCGAGCAAGTTTCGCCAGGCAGTAGGACAAGCAATTTTGATGTCGCTTGCTGTGGCAATACCGGGGACAGCAGATGTCTTCAGGAAAAGTTTTGGAGGGGCAAACAGCTGTGCTGCGACGGACCAATCGAATCTGCGGGTAGAACCGAAATGATTGGCCTGGCTAAATCACCGGATAAGAGCTTTTGTTGGTGCTATTTGACCTTTAATCAGCGAGGTGAGGGGAAGACAAGACGAGGCTTATCGAAATGCTAGTCCGAGTCATCGCCGGGTCGATAAGAGCGGATCCACGGAAGTCACCTTATCCCGTTCCGTTCGCTGCCTGAAACCACAGGCATGAATCAAGTGCAATGGAGCTGAGGTTCAGCAAGGGTGTGATGATTGTCTGTGGTTTACTTTGAAGGACACATATACGAAAGCCACATTGACCTGGCACGAACTGTGATGATAGAGATTACTGCTTATTTTGATAGACACACATAGCCTTTTGATAGTTGGTATCGATAGCCGCAATGCTGGCTCTCAGTGGCCACGTGCGACCCTCCGGCGGTTATCGCGCTAGACCTCCGTGTTGACATCGGGGAGCTGTCCATGATCTAATCATCAGGCAGTTGCATTCATCCCACCTGCACGCTGGCGAGCATATCGTTTCTTGTTCACCCCTCAATCTACTAGCTCCCTGCAATCTAGCTTCACACCTTATATAATAATTGCCTAGCCCCCATGGCCTCCACTGTTGACATCGCATCCTCTTTCATCGAGGGTGCCCCGCCTGGAGAGGTAGGTCAATACCTAGTCCACGAGAGTTCAATCCAAAGGCTATGGTGAACCTGCTCAAGCTAACCTCGAACTCAAATAGCTTGCAGATGTTGTCGCAGGTACGCCCAGTCCTTGCTGCATCCCGTCCCTACTCTCGTCACTTCCCCCGTCGTCGCCCCGCATCTCACTCCCCACGGCAACCAGCCCAGAACTGAACGAGAACAGATGTCAAGTCCCTGACCTCCGACGGCCCCGATATTATTCCCTCTCTGGCCCCGGCCTTCGAGCGCTACAATGAGACACAGTTGGCGACCGTGAAGCTTCCAGGCGCCAGTCAGGAGGTGCGGTTGCGTCGGTGATACCCCTGAACGGAGTACGATCTGACAGTGTGCTCACAGGTCTTGATCTCCGAATACAACAAGCTGGAAGGAAACCGATACTTTGATGTGGAGAGCCAGACGTCTTTCGAAGTGGACCATGTCACCCAGGTTGGTTACTGCATCGTGCGTGGTGGGGTGGCCTGGCGGCTGAGCTTGTGGTATCACTGTAGGAAGCCTCCGCTGCGCAATCATATGTTCTCGAGTCGCAGAACGCCGACCTGATGTGAGTTCGAGCTGCATCTTCCATCTTGTTGTTCGGAGTGCAGCGTTAACCCGTCGCGACTCAGCAAATCTCTCCTCAAGTCTCTCGGCGCTCACGCCCTCGAACACTACCGGAATTGCTCGTACGGAGTCTACCCCATTGAGGAGGATAGCGCCGTCGCTATCGTCCTCGTCGCCAACCGCTACTCTCCTAACAACTTCTGGTGAGATTTATTCGAACTGCCCGACCGCCAACACCCGCGTTCTAACCGGATATACCAGGAACGGTCGCTTTCGCTCCATCTACACTGTTCCCGTCTCGTCGGAGTCGACCACGATCTCGGGTAAGATCCAGGTGGATGTGCATTACTATGAGGACGGAAACGTGGCGCTCAACACGACCAAGCCGATCAGCCTGTCCGTGACGTCTTTGGATGCGGGAGCCATCGTCTCGCGCATTGCCGGAGCCGAGCGGGACTACCAAGAAGAACTGAACCGGGCTTTCGTACAGATGGCCGAAGGATCGTTCAAAGGACTGCGCAGACAGTTGCCCATTACACGGCAGAAGGTCGAGTGGGAGAAGGTTGGCGGATACCGCCTGGGACAGGACATTTCTGGCGGAAAGGGACGGTAGTTCCAGTGTGACCGGTTCAACCAGCGTTCTTGTGTGTAGCGGGTAACTAGTTTTGTTAGTTCATCAATGGGGCCAGTAAATATTCGGTGGAATGCGATGATGCGAGGAATGTAGATAAGCGGGATGCGCGATCCCGATGTCGCCATTGATTAGCCTTGCAGACGCCGTGAGTAGCTAAATCCGCTAACGCGTATCTGATATGGGGTGAACAGTGCCGATTGCCCGTTTTCTTTCATCACTTCTTTATGAACGTCTGTAAATAAGTTCGCCACCCACTCCCTCCTTCCATCCATCCCGTCATTTATTAGAATAATAACCTTAATCATAATTTCACCCCTGCACCACCAGCCCACCCACCCAAATGCTCGACCGCCTCTCGCGCTTCTACCGCCTCAACACAGGCTACGAAAAGACCCTCCGTCTCATCCAGGCATTATGCCTCGTGGCACTAGAGATCGGCTCTCTGGACAGCATCACGGCCAAACGAGTGTCAGCCGCTAAATCCCAACTAGCATTGAGTTCGTTCTCCCCCCTTTGCCCCTCTTCCCAACCTTTATCTCCTTACCAAACCCAGAATCGAATTGAAGAACAATAATAACATGTGATACCATACTGTAGTCCGCCGCTGCATCCGCTTCTGGAATTTCCTGGACTGCTTCAACCGCGTCTCCTCGCTCCTGGGGCAAGACGCCCCAAATCCCCGCAAGAAGAGCCACGCTGCCGCTGCCGCTGCATCGCCCACGGGCTTCCTGTGGTGGCTCGAGGTCGCCAAGTGGAGTTGCTTCGGGGTGTATTTCCTCCTCGAGGATTTGACCTTGGTGAGCTGCCTTTCAACCCCAACCCCCCCTGTTGTGTATTTCTCTTGCTGGGCTTCGCCCTTCTGTACCCTGATTGGAGCTCGTGTCATGTGTGGTATTTTCTTCGTTGTCTCGGGAGCTGCTCAGGCTTGACACCCCAGATTCCCATGCCCTACGCACTATCCATCACCTCGCCTCCGCCCCCTCCCCTCCGAGATGATCCCCTCCAAAGTTGAATATGGATGAACTAACACAACCTCCAAAAGCTCCACGCCGCGGAAATCTACCCTGTCTCGTGGGCGAAACCGGTGACTGTCGAGGCGTTCAAGTTCTGGTACTATGCGTTGGCGCTGTCACTCATCGGAACGGGCTGGGAGTGGTATTCCGGGGTCGGTGCTGGGTCTGTGGGGAAGGGGGTGAAGACGGTCGGGGGGAAGCGGGGTGGTGCTGGTGCTGGTAAGGCGAAGGGGAGGGCTGGAGCTACTGCGGGTCGAGTTGATACGTCCACGCTGCTCAAGAGGGTGGTTGTTGATGGGTGCGATTTGCTGATTCCGGGGACTTATCTTCGGTGGATGGGGGGTGGGCCGTTGGGGGTCGGGGTGGGGATGGTGGTTAGTACGGCTGTGTCGTTGCGGGAGATTTGGAGGAGTGTTTAGGTTGGGTGGGTGTTTGGTTGCTCTAGGTAGGGGTGGTGGTTTAGGTTGCGGAGAGGGGGTAGGGAAATGGAGGTTGTTGTACTGTATATAGCAATTTGGTACTAGGTAGATGTACAGTATATGCTGCTGCATTCATAGGGTGAGTTGGAATAGATCACTGCTTTCAGTTGGTATGAAACTCATCCGTTGTCGCCATACCATTCTCTTTAGAGGAGAGCTGCACTTACCAGATGGTCGAGCTGACAATCGCCTACTTTGACTTCGACTACTTCTACTCCAGGCTCGATGATAACATCTGAAACATCATCCATATCTATTCTCCAATCTATCCCACTCTATCTATCTCTATCACCCCCAAACCACCCATCCCATCCCTTCTCTAATTCTTAATTCTACCCCCCTCTCTAAACAGATCCGCCCTCCCTCTCCCTCACCATCTCCTCAATATGCGGATTCAACCAATACTCCCTCAACACCGCGGCATCCATCCTCTTCGCCCCATCAATCACGCCCCGACACCGCGCCCCAGCCCCACACGTGCACTGGAACGGCTGGTCCATCTCCCACTCCGACTGGGGGTAGAAGAAGGTCAGGGGGTCGCCGGCCTGCAGGTCGCGGTCCGCCACGACGCGCACCTCCATGCGGTGCATGTCGAAGTCCACCGTCGGCGCGCACGAGTGGTTGCAGTAGACGAGGTCGGAGTTGAGCTCGATGTGCGCGTCGCGCCCCGTCTGCACGGAGGTGTACGCTTTCCGGGCCGGGGTGGTGCCGGTGATCTTGCAGAAGAGGGAGCCCGCCGGCAGCGAGACGAGGGAGTAGGCGCCGCTGGCGAAGGGGATGGGGCTGCGGTGGACGTGGATTAGGGTTGGGTGCGTGGGTGGGGGTGGAGGGGGTTGGTCCCTCGTTGTCGTGGTGGTGGTGGTGGACATTGTTGGTTTGGTTTGGTTTGGTTTTTAGGTGGGAATGGTGGGTGAGTGAGGTGGGTGTAGTATTTCAGAAAGTCTATGCAAGGATAATAGGAAATATTTGTAGAGAGAGGCCATTGTGACGGCTCTTGGAGCAGAAAGGTCTACATTATATGGGCGCGGGGTATAGTGGGGAAAGGAAAGATACTTTGGGGGGGAAAGGAATGGGAATCCGCGGGAACGACCGAGGTTCAATTCCACGGCCTTACGTCCGGGTCTGGTCATGGGTCGGTCGATGACTCCATCACGTAATAGCGGCAGGTGGAATTGGATTTACCTAGGCATTTTTGAAGAAAAGCTGGAGGCGGCGTCATCGTCAGATGTCTAAGAACCTCTTAGTCTGTTTGCGATAGATAGAATGGAAAACTAGTTCAGCCGGACGGTCATTTCCTGGCCATTCAACCACCGCTCCAGATTGTCCGCGACCTCCTGGTACCAGCCGTGGATCTGCTCATCCGCGTAGCCCGTGTGCGGCGTCAGCAGGACCTCACTGCGGCCATCGGTGCCCCAAGCCGTGGTGCGCCAGGGACTGTCCGCCGGCAGCGGTTCGGGCTCGAAAACGTCCAGCGCGGCGCCCGCGATCGCGCCGCTGTTCAGCGTCTCCAGCAACGCCGCCTCGTCCACCAACGGACCTCGGGACGTGTTGACCAGCAGTGCCGTCTGCTTCATCGCCGCCAGCTCCTCCCGACCCACAATGCCCCGACTACGCTCCGACAGCACGCTATGCACGCTCACCACGTCAGCCGCCCGGAAGAAGGCCAGCTTGTCGGACACCGCCCGAAAGCTCCCCGCCGGTAGGCCCATCGCCTTGGCCTGCTCGTCCGCCTTCTCCTGCGTCAGGTTCGTCGACCACGCAATCACCTCGAGCCCAAACCCCTGCACCGCGATCCGGCCCACCTGAGCCCCCAACTTCCCCAACCCCAGCAGTCCCAATGTCTTCCCCGCCAGCGTCATCCCCAGCGACCCCTGCCACTCGCCGCGCTTGATCGCCGCATCGTCGCGCGCGACGTGGCGCGCCGCGTTCAGGATCAGCGCCCAGGTGTGCTGCACGGTGGAGTTCAGCCCCGCGGGCCGGGTCTGCGTGCCGCCGACGGGGATCCCCCGCTCGGCGCAGTACTGGCTGTCGATCGCGAGGTTGCGCGTGCCGGTCGTGAGGAGCAGTTTCAGGTTCGGGAGCGCGGAGAGCGTGTCCTTGGAGAAGGGGGTGCGTTCGCGCTGGGAGACGATGATGTCGAACGGTCGGAGGCGCTCGATGAGTTGCTGCTGCTGGTCGGCGAGGCGGGGGTTCAGCGTGTCGGGGAAGTAGCTGAACTCGACGCGGGAGGTGAGGTGCTCGAAGTGGCGCGGGCTGATGTTTTGATAGTCGTCGAGGACTGCGACTTTGGGTGCCATGTTGATGAAGCGCGTGGGTAACCTCACGGAAAAGGGACGGGATAGAATGCTTGGTTGCATTGGTGTTGATGGAGGGCGATGCAGAATCGTGTTTGGGGCGAGGGACATTTCCACCCGGGGGAGGAAATACCCGGCTCACCCCGCGGTCTCGTCATTTGTTCCCCGCATTTTGCATTTGGTGTAGAGTGCGCAGACTACTATATACACTTTGTAGCAATTTACTTCACAGCCTGGGAAGGCCTTTGAGATCAATTTTTATCAAGATTTATGATAGGTGAATTATACATGAGGTATACCAAGGCGAGAGGTCCTGTACGAGACCGCAAGCTTGAGCTGTAAACTCGCACCTCCGCAAGAAGCTCCATATCGCTATCCATGAAAACAGTAGGATGGAGTATCTTATCCAATTATCTTGTTCGGTGTCCATATGAGTATATAAGCCAAGATGCCTCATTGTAGCTTTTCATGTGATCAGAAATAAATTGCAAACATAGGATGGAATAAAAATGCTCGTGAGATTAGCCTCGGTTATAGTCATGTCCGTGGGGGCTACTATCGCTGTCGACGCGATCGGGCATTTTGCCGCCTTGCCATTGGAGTGTGCTTCAAGAAGAGCCGGCTCTTTGCACACCAAAATGTTAAATGCTGGGCGGTGGCAGAACGATTTGGTCAGATCTCTTCACCGCTTCCTGCTTTGAGTGTTGCTTCAAAAGATCTTAACGTCGTACAGACTCTTGGACCTGGAAACTGTACTAAACGTGTGTTGGAAGGATGACCCGCAGCAGTGGCAGAATAACATACATCTCACCGCTTACCTCTTTGAGTGCTGCTTCCAAAGCGACCAACATCCTACCGACTCGTGGACCTGAAAACTGTACTAAACGCGTGTTGGAAGGATGACTTGACCGCCAGTATCACCGCCTGCGCGGCAGAACGCTCGAGACCTCGCAACGCCGACACCCCATTTTTGCGGTGAACAGCCCCAGAAAAGTCAAATGCAAAACTGTTCAGTTTAGGCGGTGGCAGAAAGGCTGTTAAAGCGGCAGCAACGCAGCGAGCAACCGCTCCTCAGGCCGTACTACCATGTCATTCCACGGCTGGACGTTCGCAATCCTGCAACACTGATATCAAGAAAAAAAAAAAAAGCCAGAACAGCTGCGCTATGAGCTTGCTATCGTTGCAATCGATGAAGACTTTGAACTTTAAACATTAGCTCCATTCGTGTCGAAGTTCTGATCTCAATATTTGGCACGGAATGTATAGAAACCTCGGGACATCAACAGTGTGCTTACAAAAGTCCTGCCTTTCTTAGATCAGAGTCTACCCAGTTCTTTATCTCGACTTCGATCACTTCTCCATAGTGAAACGGTTCTACACCGTCTCTGCTCTCTCTTCTATTTGAGGACCCGCTCTATCAAAGATACTAACTAAACCGTGGACTATCACTGCCACTGCTCACAGATCTAGGGCGCTTGATGCGTGGAAGCTCTTCGCCCAGGCTTGAATACAGCAGCGCGTAGTCACTTCTGCGCCGTTTGAGGCCAGAGGCGGCACTGTCGCTACTGGCCGAGCTCTGGTCGTCACTCAGAGAGGGTATACGAGCCATCCTACTAGGACCTTCGCCCGGATCATCGTTCGGCTTCTCATCCACTGACATCGGACTTCCCTGCGACAAGTTGCGAGGATCGCCCTCCACTTCCCGCCTGGCCATCTCCATGAAGTACTCCCTCCACTCTTTCGCAAAGTCCCTAGCGTTCCGCACCGCCGCCACAGCCTTCCGGAACTGTCCCACTCCACGATCCAAGCGACTCCGATAGAGGTCCGTCAGCTGATAATCCGCCTCTCTGGATTCATCCTCGGCCTCGATCATATGCGCCGCGTAGATTCTCACCGACGATTCGGACACCACCACGACAATGGAATACGCGACCTCGTCCAGCCACGCCTTGTCCGCGCGCGCGGTGTGGAAGCGCAGCTTGTGCACCGCGCGCGCCCCCAGGGCCCCGTAGTGCATCGCCTGCAGCTCGGCGGCGGCGGCATGGTCCTCGTCGTCGATCTGCAGCTGCACGAAGAAGTTGGGCACCACGCCGTACGCGTCCGTCGCCGGCAGGATGTAGCTCTTCAGGTCGTTGGCGAGGCAGCCGCCCTCGTCGAGGGCGTAGAAGTCGCCGCAGTCGAAGTAGCTCGGCTGCGCCAGGAACATCCCCTTCACCAGCGGGTCCAGGCCGGTGATCGGCTCGCTCTCGTAGGTGAGGACCGTCTCGGACGCCGCGCCCAGCAGGATGTCGAGCGCGTCGTTGAACTTGGCGCGCTGCTTCTCGAAATGCCGGCACGCTTTGAGCCAGACCTTCTGGTCGTTGGGGTCCAGTTGTTTCACGGACTCGCGAGGTTTCCGGAGTCGTTCCCGCAGGGTGACGATGTTGCGCGGGAGGTTCTGGCTGGATGAGCGGGCCGCGACGCCGTGCAGCTTGAGGAAGTTGCGGCAGTTGCCGTCGTAGAGGGAGGCCGAATTGCAGGCTTCTGCCGAGGCGGACCAGCCGAACTATTGCATCGTTCCCGTTAGCATATCGGGGTTTGTTTGGGTCTGCGGTGGGTGAGAAAGGACTCAACGTACACTACCAATGCCAGATAAATCTGGCCCACCACCCTTGGCAAACTCCTTCAGGCTGCGTAACTTGTGCGGTAGCCGCAGTCTTCTGCGACTTGCCTTGTTTTCCTTCGCCTTTCTCTCTTTCTGTTCTTGCTCCGCTTCTTCGGCAATGGCCTTCTCGCGTTTGCGGAACTCTATGATGGCCCGGTGGCTCAGGTAGATGTAGGGAAGATCGGCCCAGTACTTGGGGTCGATTTCGTACATCTCGTCGAAGCTGTCCGAGTACGCAGCAGGCGTGGAACTGCTTGTGCTCTGTTCGATAATGCAAGGCATTCGGTCTCTGCCCGCGGTGCCGAAGTGCGCTTCGTCTATGACTTTGAGTATGAAGCTTCCTATGTTGAAGAATGTGCGCAGGATGCCGTATGGTTGTAGCATGGGGATGAGTAGTGTCAATTGTTGTTTCACTGAAGAGTGAGATCGCTTCTATGATCTGCTGTTTCGTTGAGAATTGAGAGATCGCTTCTATGAATTGTTGTTTCGCTGAAGATTGAGAGATCGCTTTACATGCTTGATTTTCTGATGCTTTTGTTTGAACAGAAGACATAACCTCATGCTAATGCCCCTTGTGTACTTGCATCATGGTATGAACCTATATGCCTCATAAGGAGGATGAACAAAGAGTAGGTTGTATCAGATTGTGTGCAGTGGAGGAGGACAAAGACACTGTTGCTTTGTGAAAGAACTCACCCTTTAGCAGAGCCCTCAGGGGTATAACAATGCTACTTTCATCGCTAGAGAAGAACCACCGCGACAGCTCCTTTCATCGAGTGGTTGTAATTATAGCCAAATTGAACAAAGCGTGATACCCACTGCACCTCCAGCGCAGCATCCGCGACACCTCAAAGCCCATGACCACCCAAAATGACTCTACTCGGAATCAACCAACTCAACAAAGAACGCTCCCACCTAATCCACAACAACCTCCACTCTCATTCTTCATCATCACCATGTCCACCATATTCCCAACATACTATACAGAAAATCCTCATGCCGACCGAGCAACTCGTAAGCCCTCCACCCAGAGCTACCCTGCCAATGCAAAACCAGCGATAGCAACAGCACACTAACCAACCACCACGCCAGAACATCACCGTCGCAGACCGCTTCAAACTCCTCAACTACCTAGGAGGAGGCGGCTACGGCGAAGTCTTCCTCGGTACGGTCATCCCATCCCATCCCCTCTCCCTCACCCCAACACTAACACCCCCTCAGCCCAAGACCTCCAAACCAAAACAACCGTCGCCCTCAAACTCGAACATCTCAGCACGCGCGACACCCTCGAACAAGAACACACAATCTACACGGCGATCAAAGGCCCCGGGATCCCGAAAGTCTACTTCTACCACCCGGCCATCGACGACTACCGCCTACTGGCCATCGAACTCCTCGGCCCCACCCTCGAGGATCTCTTCAACTACTGCCACCGCGAGTTCTCCCTCAAGACGGTGCTGATGATCGCGGACCAGCTGCTGCGGCGCATGCAGCACATCCACGCCGCCGGCTACATCCACCAGGACATCAAGCCCGAGAACCTGCTGATGGGGCGCGGCCGCAAGGGCCACACGCTGTACATCAGCGACTTCGGGCTGGCGCGGAAGAAGTTCGTGAGCCGGCGCAACGTCAAGTGGTATCGCGGGAAGTTGGAGAAGGATGTCGTCGGCACGGTGTTTTATGCGAGCCGCGCGGCGCATTCGAGGCATTGTATGTTTCTTCTTCCCTCCTTTACTCGGTGGCTTTTGAGGTTGATGTGAAAGGGGGGGGGGGGGGGGACGGTTTTCGGTTTGAATTGATGGGTTGCGGGGCTAACGTGAGTGATGGCTGCAGATCAAACCTACCGCGACGATATGGAATGTGTCGGGTACACGCTCGTCGAATTCCTGAAGGGCGAGCTCCCCTGGGATTATCTGGGCCATTCGAAGCATCGGCCCATCGGGGAGGCGAAGAGCCGGATCACGGCCCAGGAGCTGTGTCGTGGCTTGCCGGTGGAGTTTGAGTGGTATTTTCACCATGTCAATGGGCTGCGGTATAATGAGCTGCCGGACTATGAGTTGCTGCGGGGCTGGTTTCGGAAGTTGTTTGCAAGGCGGAGGTATGAGTGGGATAATGTGTTTGATTGGACGGAGAAGAGGTTTTATGAGTTGAGGGCGGAGCATGAGGGTAAGGAGGAGGAGGAGGAGGAGGAGGAGAAGGATGATGAAGATGATGACGATTATGTAGATTGATTCATGGGATTTATTGTGTGAAGTACGCTTGTATGTACAGTATATGTCGGCGATTTGAAGTCTTGGTTTTCCTGGTGGTCGGAACTGACTGAATGATCAATATGGGAAGCAGCCAGATGACCGCGCTGCATCATGTGGCTGGATTACTCGGCTATGCCGACAGTTTTCGGATATAATGCCTCGTTTAGCATGAGTTATTACGGCTGGAACATCATAGCTGGCCTTTTGAAGAGACAAGAAACAAGAAAGTTGTTGGGTACGACATATCAAGGCATGGAATGTACAAGAGTACTGCGGATACGAGTTCCAGCAAGTCATCAAGCGCCATGCGAGATAAGATTTGACTGACATGTAAGGAGTAAAAAACCTTCATTCGCGTGCGCTAGCACAGTCTTAGCCGGCCGGCAGGTCGCGGTCTTGAACTTGAAGAATGTTGAACTGGAGTGAGGACCGATGTGCAGACGAACCAGTCGAAATGTCAACATGGATAGACCGGGGTCCAACATCTGACATATCCCTGACACAGGATAGAGTAGTTATTCTCCAGTGTACAGGGTAATGTCCTCGCCCACCCCTAGTCTGGCATGCATGAGATGCATCATATGCGGGACCTTGCAGCATATCATGCAAGGTTCCCGACTGCTGGGATTTCCCCTTTTTCCATGTCGATCGTAGTCGTATATCCTACCTGCAGAGCTCACCCCGACACGACTCAACAAAGTTGTCTCTTCCTCAAAACAGGCACAACATGAACAGCTCGATGTCTAGCGGTATAGGCCCGGCGCCATCGAATGATACCTGCCTCTCAGGGCAGCAAGCGGCCTGGCTCGCCTCTTCACCCACCTGCAATGATGGATTTTACTGTGCGATGCCCTACAGTACAACCTGATTCATTTGGTGGCAAACCAAAGCTCACGATTCGTGTACAGGCCAATCGAGCGAGGGCGACCTCCCACCCGAGCATTGCACCCCGACGTTTGATTGCCACATCAAACGACTCCAAGAAGGGTGGAATTTCTGCGGCAAGCCACAGGGCACGCTCGAGCCCGTGATATGCCCCGAGGGCAATTACTGCGCGCCTGGGGGAGCGCCACCCGTGCCTTGTCCGCAAGGCTCCTTCTGCCCTGTGGGGACGGCCAACCCCATCAAGTGCAGGGCCCTATCCCTTTGTCCGGAAGGAAGCTCACATCAGCGTGATCTAGTGGGTATACTCTTGTGTATTCTACTGGACATCGTGGTGGTTCTGATCTGGATGCGGCGCTTCTCTCTGTCATCCGACTTGACGAGACTATGGTCGTGGGCGAGGCTCTCAAATGTGAATGGGCGCGGAGATAAGGTAGGTCAAGTTGAGGAGCCGCAGGAGGAAAGGGGAGAAGAGGAGCAAGGTGTGCCGCGACTGTTGAGCCTTCCCTTTCTGTCGGTGGACGATACTGCAGCGCGGCCGCTGGAAATTACCTTTGCGGATCTGAGTTTCAGAATCCGAGGCAAACCGACTGACATTCTAGCTGGTCTGCATGGATCATGCAAAGCTGGCTCGATTCTGGGGGTCATGGGCCCCTCTGGCTCAGGGAAATGTAGGTCGCGCATAGGTGTTGGGTGTGGTTGCTTGTGGGTGTTGTTGAGGCTAAGTGTTTCTTCGTAGCGAGCTTTGTCAACATTTTGGGCGGAAAGAATAAGGCTAGCACTGGCGAGATCTGTCTTAACGGTTATAGGATGAAGCCGGCAGAGTATGTGCAGATACCATGGCTCTTATCTTCTGTCTCTTGGGACTAACTGCCGTTTGACAGGCTGCGAGCGCTGATGGGATTTGTCCCCCAAGATGATCTTGTTCTTCCTGAGCTGACCGTGCGAGAGAACCTTCTTCACTCGGCACGCGTCATGCTGGGCGGGCAGCTGGGCGACCATGAAATTCAAGACTATGTTGGATCGTTGATTGCCTGTCTCGGACTTGCAAAGGTGCAGGATCAAATGGTGGGTAGTGTCGCACAACGAGGATTGTCTGGGGGAGAATGCAAACGGGTGAGCATCGGCCTTGAACTCGCCGCCGCTCCCAAGGTGTTGATCCTCGACGAACCGACCTCGGGCCTTGACGCGACCGCGGCGCTGTCCTTGATGAGGTTGCTACGTTCGATCTCACGTTGCGGAATCATGGTCATCTGTGTCATTCATCAGCCCAGGGCTGAGATCTTTGCTCTTCTGGATACCCTCATGCTTCTGAACTCAGGGAAACAGGTCTATTTTGGCGAAGCCGCCACCGCTAAAGCCTACTTCACAGGCCTTGGCTATGAGTTCCCTTCCTTCTGCAATCCAGCGGATATCATCATGGATATCCTCCCTAGTCACGCGTGGGAGGATACAGATCTGCCAGCCACGGAAGGGAAATCTTGCATGCCAGTAACAGGCATTTCTGACGCTGACGCGGGCGCAGCATCCGACACTCCACAACAAGTCCCCGATATTCTCCTCTCCATTCGGCAGCGAAAAGCCGCGTGGGCGCAACAAGTCTGGCTCTCGTTCTGCCGCGGAACAGTGCAACAGACCCGACAGACTGCAAGTTTCTGCTTGGAGATTGTATCGGGCTCCGTCATCGGGGTCATGATCGGCTTGACGGTTTTCGAGTATCACGGCCACATCTTCCAAGGGATCTATCACCCTCCGTTTGAGTTGCTGTCCAGCGCCGTGAACTACCGCATGCTTGCCGAGCAGGCATTGCTTTCGTGCTTGGGCATAGGTGAGTCCTCGCTGCTGCCCCGGAAGATCGAATTGAATGAGATCCGCTTACACTTGCCTCCGCACGTAGCCTGTGCAGCCGGTCCTCCGGGTGTCAAGCTACTAGGGGAAGAAAGTATGTTCAGCCATCTTTCCTCCATACTGCACCTGCTGACAAAACTTTCAGAATTGATCTTCCGCCGCGAACAGCAATCCGGCCATTCCCGGAGCGCCTATTTCCTGGGCAAGAACCTCTCCGTGCTTCTGCGCATGTTCCTGTCATCCTTACACTACACTACCATCTATATGATACTAGCGACACCGACGATATCCTTTGGACTTCAGCTGGCGATTGACTTTCTGTACTTCTACTGTGCGTAGTTTCCCCCTTTCTTTCTGTCGCTCCCTTGAACGGATAGCTGACCGAGGACAACAGGCATGTACGGTCTCGGCTGCATCGTGGCCGCCATAACACGACGTGAAGACGGCCCACTGGTCTGCATGTTAAGCTGCCTTGTCATCTCTGCCCTCGGAGGCTGTGCGCCCCGGCTAGCCTTGGTGAAGACGTGGCATCTAGGGTGGTTCTGGTATCTTTGGCCTGCGGTGAGTCATCATTTGACTGAGTTGTCGTGTGTGTGTATGTGTGTGCAGCGTCTGACCTCTGAATACAGACATGGTTTTCCGAGGCGTTCTACAACGAGAACACTTCGCCGTTTGCCTACCTGTATCAATTGGACGGCGCATCGGATTTTATTGGTTACAAGAATAACCGGACTGGCTTTGATATTGGGTAAGAATCATAGCCCATCCACATATCATAATGATTGTTATCACAGGACTGACACGCTCGTAGACTGCTTCTGCTGATCGGGACGCTATATCGGGTCATATCTTATGGGCTTTTTGCATCTGTTGGCTGGAGGTAGAGCCTTTTGTCGGGTGTCTCAAAACATGAGAAAAGTAAGCATTCCACTAGCGGGTAATATCGAGTTGAGTGGGGAGGTCATCTTGATCGCACCTCGTCCTGCTCAAGCGAACCTTCGAAGAATGGCTGCGAAGCATCCGGTGCTTGCCGTGGCTCTTCTAGGTAATGAGAGAGGCGGGGTGGTGATAGCTTGCTTTGCTTGTAGACCACCTAGCAGATCTGGCGTCGTCAATATAGACATGTAAAGAACCAGAAGCAGAGCAACTTAGACATATACACCATACATAACCACAATGGAATACCAAGAAAGCAACGAAGTGCGCGCGAGTACCACGAGGTCCAGACCAGAAACCCAGCCAAGAGGTTCACGGCATTATCTCGGGATCCCTTTTACCTCTTTGGGAACAGCTCCGCTCCTCCATGATTATAGCACGGTCTCTAGCGAGTAGCCCAGCAGGCCGATGGCGTAGTGGAAGGCGACTCCACACTGCGCTGCGGCACTGCAGTTCGAATCCCGGAGGAGGCGAACATCCTGCATCAGACCTGGTCGGTGGCAGGACGGTTCGACCCTCTCCAGTGCTACGGGAGGAGGACTGGTTAGAAAATCCTGAGTAGAAAAGGGGTTTTCGTGGCACTGGAATGAAAGATGTGGCCCCCTGGAGGGATTCAAACGATCCCGGGCTGCATCTGGGCAGTGTGAGCTTTTTGTTCCACCTATGTGGTGGTTTGCTTTTTTGGGTGGGTGGTTGAGGGCATACACAGCTACGCCGACCCTCTTGCCCGCCGGATACTATAATTGCCGATATTGCGGGGCCCCGCTTTTGCTACAACTATGTCAAATGCTGTGGCGGAAGTCTTCACGACCGTTGAAGTCTTTGGGAGCATTCTTTCTCGACTGAACCTCTAATCCTTTTGACTATCGTCGATGGTGGCTGCCGGGACATGACCGGCTCCTGATGCATCAACTTCCGCCGAGACCTGACACAACCCGACCAAAAGGCGTCGTTCACCGGGAGCGAAGTCAGCTGGGCGGCGCATACTCTCATCATCATGTGCATTGCGAAGCATTTGTGCGATCTTGAGGGAAATCCCGCCGATAGGCCCCGGTTCCGGCGTGCGTCCAAGCAGTTTGGGGGCGCAGTCTACGGATAATCACAGCGTTGAGATTGATTCTACCGGGTCCGATGGATTGGCACGACGCTCTCGTTTTCGTGGACCAGGGCTCGTCCAGTGCAGGACATCATACCAGAGGTTCCTTGTCTCGAAGAAGGGTGGATCGAACGAGGGTGGAATAAATTGGCGGAAACACCCAGATGAACCGGATACGACGAGGCGTATGATTCCTGAGCAAAATAGATTCGTCGATTCCGACTAGGTGAAGAAGGGAAAGATAAAGCAGACCGAAAGGCTGCGATGAGTTCCGGTGGCAAGTTCCTGCTCTCTGTTTAGAAGTGTCTTAACATAATTCTGACTATGTAAGGACAAACTAGATGTTTCTTTGTGAGCATTTATATTGATTTAATATATAATATCTCAGACTATCATTTTTTTTGGTCTTTTGTTACGTTAGAAAAGGAGAGAAAGAGAAAGGAACATGTGCGCTAAAAGCTACGAGCTATGAAGGGCACTGACATCCCTAACATGCCTGTCCCTCATCCTCTTCCTCCTTCTTCACCTCCTTCATCTCAATCTCGTCCTCCTCCTCCTCCTCCTCCTTCTTCACCTCCTCCTTCTTCACCTCCTCCTCCTCATCCTCCCCCTTCTTCACTTCACCTTCAGACTCAAAGTGCTCCAGGCTAAGCCATTTTACATACTCCAACACTTCCAATTGCAAACCGATCAATTGAAGACCGGTCTTCGTATCGGACTTCAGATCACCCTCCGCCTCCGGCTGCGACACAGCACGTTCAACACGGGCCGCGCGCACAGTGCGAATGAACTCCAGGAAATGGATTGGGGGCATCCCCTCGGAGGGCTGCACGTGCGGCCCGAAGTCGTCGAACTCGTTGCGGCCCTGGAACTCGAAGCGCCGGGCCGGGCCGTGGCCGTCCGCAGTCAAGGGTTCGATGTACAGTCGAATGTAACGTCCGACGCAGATCATCCCTCCGATCGGCTGGTCGCGACACTCGAGGTGCTCGTCCTGGCGCCTGCGCCTCCACTGCTCGTGGAGCAGCTGGAGGGCCGGTGCCCAGTCATCGACTTCGAAGCGGGGGTCCTGGGTCCGGAGCACCACGAGGTTGAGAGGGCCGCCGCTCATGATTTGGATCTCGATCACCCCGTGCGGGGTGGTCTGGGTGGTTGTTGGTCCGACGCGGGTCATTTTGGGATGTTTTTGTCGTGGGGGAAACGCTGTTGGGGTGTTTGGTAAGTAAAGGTTTTGGGTGAGGGGTGGTGGTGGTGGTGGTGGTGGTGGTGGGGATGATGATTTCGATTGAGGTCGGGGTTCTTGGGTCCTATTTATAGATCTGTGCTTGGGGTGGGATGACTTCTACTTTCTGTGCTCTCGTACTTGTATGCGTGGGTTGAAGGGGATCATATAAAGAGCCCTAGAGATAAATGCCTGCTTATGGGAGGGTTGCGATACAATGCAATCAAAGAAGGTATGGTTCGTAGAAAGAATGGATTGAACACATGTTTGTTATTCTTTACAGACGCTTTCCAACTTGGCACCGATTTGAAAGGCGTAGCTAGCCCACGAAAGAGTTCTCAGTCAAAGGTACAAGGGCTCTTCCCTTTCATACTCCATCGACGTCCCAAGGTCGGGACTTTAGGTTGCTGGAAGGTGACTATGCGCTTTGCTGTGTGTATGCATATCGGGATAAAGGATCATTGTGAAATAGCCGGACTTACTCACGCTACCAGCCGACGAGATATAGACATAGTCACCTGGCTCAGCATGTTAGTTCTACGCTGGATGATCATGAGCCCGAGGTTAAGAAGTGTATTCTAATCTATACTGCCTAAGGTATACAACGATACATCCAAGAAGACTCTGCCAACATATTCCAAACCAGTCAGTGCCACATACGTGGTTATCCCTTAGTTTGACTTCAGTCTTTAGACTGACTTGCTCCGCTTGCAGAAGTAGATATCGTAAAGATCAAGCCCCAGGCGCAGATGATCTCGACTAGAAGACACCCCCCAGCCAATGCCTCCTCTGTGGTGCTTGGGAGACACGAAAGAGACGCAACCATAGCAGTGCTAGCCGCAGTAGTAGAAGCCCAGGGTAACTGCAATGGCCTTCAAACAGATGGTTGACCGAACCTGCCCGGGAAGTAGACCCCCGAGCCCATGGCTGCGACCCGATGTCACCCTTTTGTTCGGCAAGGGTGGCTAGACGTATGGCATCAATCTGGCAACTAGCCAGCGCCTCAATCTGCGTCAAGCCGTCATGGCGACTTCGCAGTCGCTTCAATTTTCCCTGTTGTGCATCAGGAACTAGCATAGGCCAACGCGTTTCTTCAGGATCGAGAACTCAACGGCTTGATGTCTTTCACATCCAAAGTTGAATCATCATTTCGAAGTTCAAGATATATGCGCTGAACTCTTTCGGATATCAGGCTTGTCACGGTGACGATGGGAAGCTTTTTGAATCGCTCTAATCCCAGTGTGATTATTGTTTTTGGGGTGCTTGATGACATATTTTTGACTATCAAAGATATTTCCAGATGAGAAAAGGCTACCGCATAGTCACTTGTGTTGGCTTAGTATATAAGATCCATGGGTATTTTCGATACTGGAAGGATGGATAGTATAAGAAAGTGGTAGATGTTAAAGTTAAAAGATGGAGGGTACACAAAGATGTTAGAGATTGCAAAAAGACATGATTGATTGCAAGGACGTCGATTGGCTATTGTGAATCCAGGAGGTAGGTGACCATGTACAGATTCAATACGTATGCCTTGTAATGTCTATTAGCCCTCTCCACCTGGACAGAGGTCCCAGGGCTGGTTGTATAATTCCTGCATGAACTGCAAAGAAGTCACAGGCTTAGCTCTGGATTAGACTCCACAATATCAATATCATTCTGGAATAGACATCTTGATTGCAGCAGACCGAGTGAATCACTTCCGACTGTACCTCAGCCAAGTCAATTTATCATAGACCTGCTCGGGGACCGAAAGGTAGTTAGGGCTTGGGTAGGGGAGCCTGCGGTAGGTGAGGAAAATGCTCATGTTGCAGGTAGTGTGGTGATGGCACTAGCATCTATAGGTATAGTACTCGAACTACAACACAGTGCCAGGTGTCAGCATATTGGGTAGACTTTTTCCATCACTCTCGTGCCCATTTGCGGTACCGATTCCTTTGGGGATAGCCCCTTTCTAGTTCTATACTTAGGAGCTCACCCATCAACCGGCCAGAATAAATCTTTCCACATGTAAGAGCTACGCCAAAGTCGGCCATTGCGAGGGCGATCGCCATTGCTTAATTCATAACTTGCTTCAACATTTCAGGTGAGTTCTTGTTCTTGCTCCCGGAAACGCCTACACAGCTAGCTACCTATGCAGACTCAATAAAGCTGACAGAGCTTGATATAGACAGAATTGGGCCTTCCCCTCAAACCGCCTCCACCCTCGTGGACACAGGGCCCTCTTTCTCATCCCCCTTCACCGAAAAGCGATCCGCCAACTCTACCGCAGCAGCCTCCTGCGCCAACGCCTTCTCAATATTTACCTCCGGCGACACCTCCCACCGGCTGCCAGGCACCAACAATGGTGCGTTGGTGAACAAATCGTCCATCACCTCCAGCGACAGCCCTTTTGTTTCCGGCAAGAACATATAGAAGAACAGCGCATTGCCGAAGTCACACACGATGAACAACAAGTAATACCGCCAGCCGATGCGCTCCAGCGCGATGGGCGTGACCTGCGCGATCATCGTGTTGAATGCGAACGATACCATGGTCGCCAGCGAGATGCCTTTGGCGCGGGTGGCGGTGTTGAAGATCTCAGCGGGAATGATCCATGACATGGTCCCCGAGGCACAGAAACAGAAATTGAAGACCCAGGTACTGGCAACAATGAAAGCCCAATGCGCGGCCGTGTTGGTGGAGTCGGGAGGGTACTGCGACAGGAGCGAGGCGCCGATGATAAAGGCAACCCCACAGGCGATGTTGCCTCCGATTTGCAATGGGCGACGGCCAACGCGGTCGATGAGGAAAAAGAAGATGAATTGGGCGAGCTCGCCGATGATCGAGTTGATGCCTTGGTAGAGAAGTGTTTTTGAGGTGGAGATTCCAATTTGCGCGAAGATGGCTGGGGAGAAGTATTGGATGGCGGAGACGCCGGTCCTTAGAGATGGTAAGACGAGACGCTTGAAGGGTGAGTGGGATAGAGGCTCACATCTGGCTGGATGCTTGACAGGCACACGCAAGAATGATGCGACGTGTGTTGGAACGGTTAGCAAACAACTCCTTATAGGACTTGGCGGCGTGCTGATGCTCCTCCTCGATCTGACGCTGGATCAATTCATACTCGGCCCGGACATATGGGTCGTCGATGTTACCGTTGGCGTGCAGGCGAGCCAGGTTGTGCAATCCTTCTTCGTGACGATCGTGGTCAATAAGCCAGCGAGGTGACTCGGGGAAGAAGTAGATGCATGAAGCTAGGCCAATAGCAGGAACCAGCTGGAGTGCTAGACTGTCCGGAAGTGGTTTGTTAGACAATTCCTAGTCTATTGAGGTAGTGTCGCTCACGGAAGTCGCCACTGAACGCTATCGCCAGTATTGGCCCAAGACTTTTCACAACCGTATCCAATCCAAGACGCGGATAATGCACCGATGCCCAGCATGGTCTGCTGAAGTGACCCCAAAATACCTCGGATGCTGGCATGTGCAATCTCTGCCTGGAACATAGGGACGGTTTCGACAAGAATACCTATCCCGAAACCAGCAAAGATGCGTGAGAACAGCAACATGCCAACGTTGACGGCTGCTGTTTGGAGGATGCCTCCGATACAGAACAGCACGGATCCCAATACGAGGGTTGCGCGACGACCGAGTGGGTCAGTGTAGCCCGCTCCTAGGGCTCCAAAGAACGCACCTGTACAGGATTAATTGCAAGCACATTAGGAGCGGAGGCTTGTGGCTTACCAGCTGTGAACAAGGACACAACTGTTCCAGAGATCACGCTCCCATTATGAGTCAAGAACTTGTTGACAAAAGAGTCTGACGCAACGACGGAGGCGATGACACCCAGGTCATAACCGTAAAGGAAGGATCCAAAGGCAGCAAAAAGGGCCACCACAAATTGGTAGACCTTCGGTTTCATCTTGATACGACCCTGGATCTGATAATGCTTCTTAAACACTGTGGAGGCCGTGGAGATTGTGGAGAATCCGGGGTATCCCCATCATTATATGCCTCTATCAGCGGGGAAGCCACAGCCATGTCAAGGAAGTTGGGCGCCGCTTCAGCTTGCAGTGATTCTGAGCCATCCGGCAATATTTGCTACGGGGGATTGGTGGGATTCCAACATGCATTTGGTTATCTCAGCGACTATTCTTTGGACTCATGATGGCCAAGATACCGGCAGCTTGGATGCCAACCTTGACTCTCGCATGGCTTGTCCTGCTTCAGGCATATTTCCTGCGGAGGCGCGCGTCGCCCAGACCCTGATTTGCGGGCTGCAGTCAAAGCATTTGCGGGGTCGAGATCGATTCGATTTATCCGACCTTCAAGGATCAGACCATGTCGGATAATAACGAGGTATCTTTCGTGCGCAGATTCGAGGGAAAGCTGGGTTAGTACGAGTTTATAAATGTTGATGCAGCCTCCGCTCTCGAGTATAGATGCGCGCAGATGAGTCCTGGTATGCATACCAATCACGCAATGTGGGAGGCACCCCCCTCTGTCAGGCTTCTTGACCTTGAAGCTCTGAGATAATGGTTTTCACTCTCCTAGCAGATGTGATGCTGTAGGAAGCTGCTTGTCAGGAAATTCGTTGCTTGCTGCTTGATTTATTGTCGAATGTAGGAAGACCTGCCCTTGGGGTGAGGAGAATATGTGGACATGGACGAGAGGCTCCAAAAGTAAAGCATGTGCCAGCGTGGACAGAGACCCTTTAAGTTGGTTCAAACCAGCATTGATATAATGACGTGAGGGGACTTCAAACCAAGGCCATCTCTGACTGGGGAAGAAGACCTTGGGGTGACAACTGGAATTGTCCGACGGGGTGGGGCCGAAATCGACTTGCCGATTCTAGCAATCAGCAATCAAAGCTGAGCAATCCACCATGATCACTGGCAGGGTCTGATGATGTTTCCCCGCAACACTCCCCACAATCCACATTCAGCTCTCGTCGTTTGAATCACCTCTCCGGATTTCCCGACAGTCCTTCTTTGCGGTTTATCATCGGTAATACCTCGGGATATGGTCTGACGAAGTTGCGGGGAAGTGTGGGGGAAGAAGCTACGTATGTCGCCATGCCCACAGCTCACAAGGGCGTCTTCACCCCCACACAGCACCATTTCAAGGTTACACTCCATTCTGCAGATCTCAATCTTTTTCTGGTGCGACCCTGACTCTGCTATAGCGGGTGGGCTCGGGAGAGAATGGTGCTCGACCATGACTATAAATACAGGAAAGAAACCTACCTAGTCCCACGGTGGAGAGAGTTCCTGCAACTCCGACCTGACAGGACCATCGACCAGGTAGACCTGGTCAGTCCGCTTACCATGTTGCTCAAAGATACGATTCTGACCACGGCCTTGGTGGGGAGCCAGTTGGGAGAGGCGATGGTAGCACACTCCAGCTCGCCACATGCTTCCCCCACCGTGACTGCATCTTTCGAGACTCCAGCCTACCGGTACAGCTCTTTCAGTTATACTCAGCTCACATCGAACCGTTATGCAACACCACTGCCTTCTCCTATCTCCTTTGCTACCCCATTCGCTCCACCTTTCAGTGAAGCATCGATCCTCCTGCCCACAGGTGTCACCTACACTACCTACAGCCTCGAGCCCACCACAACGGCTGATCTCGGCTCGGAGACTGAGTATGACCGGGAAGCATACAATGAGCTCTGGGCGTCGTTATCCTACTCTTCAGGGCCTCCCTTTACAACGACAGTCTCTCCTACCCCGGTTCCAAGCAGTGAGCTGGTATTTCCACCGGCTCTGACTCCGTACCTGGCGAACCCGGAAAAGAAGCTTCCCGAAAACTTCATCTGGGGCGTTGCAGGCAGTGCATGGCAGATTGAAGGAGGCCTTCAGCTGGGAGGCCGAGGACCAAGTATTCTAGACACCATTGGCGCACTCCAGTCGAACGACAGTGCTAGCGATGCCAATGTGGCCACCATGAACTATTATCTGTACAAACAAGACATTGCGCGACTGGCTGCGCTGGGTGTTCCCTACTACTCGTTTTCCATCTCCTGGAGCCGCATTGTCCCTTTTGGAGTGGCTGGATCGCCTGTGAATACCGAGGGCTTGGCTCATTACGATGACGTGATCAACACCTGTCTGGAGTACGGGGTCACCCCTATCGTGACCCTGGTCCATGCCGACTATCCGCCGTCTGTGGTTGCGGACATGGGCAATTTGACCACGCACTATCTGTACTATGCCAAACAAGTGATGACTCGGTACGCCGATCGGGTACCATACTGGGTCACCTTCAACGAGCCCAACATCTCCGTGGGCAGCGTCGCAAAGTCATACAGTATTCTCAAGGACATACTCCTCGCACACGCTGCCGCTTACCACTGGTACAAGGAGACCCTAGGCGGCACGGCTCAAATCACCCTGAAATTCGCCAACAACCTCGCGCTGCCTCTTGACCCGACCAACAACACCCACACCACCAGCGCCCAGCGCTATCAGGCCTTCATCCTCGGCATCATGGGCAATCCGCTCCTCCTCGGCGAGCAGATCCCGTCCGAGGTGCTCAGCACCCCCAAAATCACCATCGACGCGCTGACAGACGAGGAGCTCGCCACGGTGAAGAACACTGTTGACTTCATCTCCATCGACCCGTACACCGCGCAGTTTGCCTCTCCGGCGCCCGAGGGCATCGAGGCTTGCGCCGCCAACTCCAGTAACCCGCTCTGGCCGTCCTGCGCCACGCTCACCAACGTCCAGGCCAACGGCTGGCTCATGGGCGAGGCGTCCAACGACTACGCCTACATCGCGCCGCAGTACGTGCGCCAGCAGCTCGGCTACCTCTGGAGCACCTTCCGGCCGAAGGGTATCCTGATATCGGAGTATGGCTTCAACCCTTTCGCCGACGCCAACCGCTCACTCAACGCGCAACGCTACGATCTCGAGCGCACCCTGTACTACCACTTCTTCCTGCGCGAGGTCGTCACGGCTATCCACGAGGATGGCATCAATGTCGTGGGCGCGCTGGCGTGGAGTTTCCTCGACAACGACGAATTCGGCAGCTACGCCAACATGTACGGCCTGCAGACGGTCAACCGCACCGACGGACGGTTCGAGCGCCAGTACAAGCGGAGCTTCTTCGACTACGTGGACTTCTTCCACCAACATATTGCATCTTGATATGCTGAGCGACGAGTGGCACCAGGCTATCGTGGCCCAAACACAATCGAGCACGATGCCCGGCGAGGGATTTCTTCGGCCAAGGAGGTGCCTTGCTAGCAAGGCATCAGTTCATTTCCCTGAGGATATAATAGAAGATAAACCAAGTCAGCAACAGAAAAAAAGAAAAGAAAAGAAAACACTCAGCAAATATGATATAGTATCACTCTCGCACGAACATTGAATCCAGTAATTATAGACTCAATGGCTCCCACGCTCTGCAATGCTTCAGTATATCTCTCTCCTGATATCTAAAAAACCAGAAATCATTAAGCCCAAAACACCGAACACCCACATCTCCCTCTCCCAAGACCCATCTCACGAAGAAGCTCGCCTCACCCTCGCCTCAAACACCACATGCCCCCCCTGCTGCCGTTGCTGTTCGTCCTCCCCATAAACCCCACAGACCTCAAACCCACCCCTCTCCAACAGATCCACCCACTGCGCCCTCGTCCGCTCCAACGCCCCGTAGTTACACAGCATAATAAAATCCGTCTGCACGGCCATCAACCCCGCGCGCGTCTCGGGCACCACCCCCTCATTGACGAGCAGCACCGAGTCCTCCGCCATCGCGTCGCGCAGCCGCCCCAGGATCTGCAGCGCCTGCCGATCGGGCCAGTCGTGCAGGACCGTGCGCAGGAAGTACGCCCGCGCGCGGCGGGTCGGCTGCTCATCGAAGAAGTTGTGCGGCTGCAGGGTGATGCACCCCGGGAATGTGGTGGATATGGAGGTGGGGATGGAGGCGATGACAGCGGGGAGGTCTTGGAGGATCAGTTTTGGTTGGGGATGCGTGGGGGGTTGGGGTTGGGTTTGGGTTTGGAGAGAAGGGTCGGTTGTTGATGCCGGTGGTGGTGGTGGTGGGATGGAGAGATGCCGACACAAAGCTAGGAGGTCTTTGCCCTGGGAGCCGCCGACGTCGACTAGGGTTGCGCGGTTTGGTTCTTCGTCTTCGTCTGCGGTGGTGGTGGTGGTGGTGGTGGTCGCAGGGAAGAGTTTCGATTCGATCGGATACAGCTCGAACCATTGCTTGGCCGAGCTGCTGCGCCGGAAGTCCAGGGACATGACTGCGTTGAAGGCCTGCTGGAGGTGCGGGTTGGTGCCGAGGTGCTCGAAGAAGGTCTGAGTGGTGCGGTGCGTGTGTTGGAAGGGCCCGTTCGTGGCGTCGTCCGGGCTTTTCCAGCCGGCTTCGGCGAAGTAGGCCGGGAGTTGGGACATTGTGACTAGGGTGTATGTTCTGTTGAACTTGCATTAGAAGGGCGATTTAGGGGCTAGAGGCAGGGGGGTTGGGCGGACGTACGCGTGGATCACGATGGCAGAGAGAGGAGATTGCGAGGTGTATGCTGCAGCCAGAGGTGTGGTTCTGTAGGTTGATGGGGCGAGTTCTTCGAAGATGTTGATGACGGCAAGGAAGCGCATGATGCGGGCTGGTAGGTGGTATTAGTCTGAGCACGAGACTAGGCGACATTCTTGGGAACATTGAACGTACAGACGAGAAGCTCGTCGCCTCCAGTGGCTTCAGCTAGCTGGGCTGTGGTGGCCGTGCCGCCTTGTTGAGCGATGGCATCGAAAAGTCCCAGATCCACAGCCAGTCGTAGTACCATTGCTTGGTGGCTCTGTGGTGTGTCAGCCTCGACTCTCATCTCGTGAGATTAACCACAAACATACCCCGAAGACAGTTCGAATTGTGAAGTCGGTCGGAGTCTCGACTTTGCGTCGTAGTTTCTCAATGCTCTCGAGGAGCTGCTTTCGCGTGGGCTCGTCAACGGTCTCCAGTGCTGGATAGTTGGCCAGAGAGTTGATAAGGTGAAGAAGGTCAGACTGGCTCATTGTGCTCGTTTGGTTCAAGCCTGCAATTTTGTGATGTGTGTGTCTTGATCAGGATGGTTGCATTTATCCGGGCATCCTTCGTTGGGATAACGATTATATAGTTCCTCATCTTGAACCGGTCGACGGAGATAAAGCTTAGGGGGCCGGGTAATTCGGGGATACCGAGACCACACGTTGAAACAGGGATCGTTCACGCTCGTATAACTCCTGAAGCAAGTGGAGCAGACCCCGGGAGGCTGGGACAGGCATGGAGAGCTATGGTTGTGGAGTCCAGCTAGCAAACAAGGCTGAAAATCCCGAGAACTGGGCGCGGAGAATTGCCATGTCCGAAAGCAAGGCCGAGGCCGAACCCGGGTCCGAGACTCACGTTGCGATAAGACAAGCGCTACTCCGTACTGTACAGCCACTCATTGTAGCTTGATTATCCTACTACACTAATAAGCTAGTATCTTGCCATTCTTCGATCCTGCTATACGTTGTACACTGAGGAACAGCTTAGTCTGAGTCTTTGATGACTATAATAGTACAATAGATGATTCTATGAGACGAAGGTGATTTCCGTGTAAGCTAAACCTGTGCGTTGTGCATGTCCGACAATTTTGATTCAACCCACGATCGGCATATGAAGATTGTAGTAGGCAAGTTGATGGTCCCTAGGACAGAGTCTGCAGGGTGCCTACGTCGGTAGTATCTACTCTTTTCAAACTGACATAGGTCAAATTATATTATCAACAAAAGAAAAGGATCTCCTCGAGGAGCGTAAACGACACGAACAGAAGAACATATCAGACCAATGCTGGGACCGAGCACTCCTGCTCTATTGTGCAATGACCCAGACGGGGAAATAATATTGACAGACACAGCCCGCAAATGAGCGCTTGAAAACAATGAGATAATGAACAGGTGAACAGGTGGGGAATTTAACACACTGTGAAAGTAGTAAGTCAAGCGATGAAATGAAGGAAAATCCAGGCGCACCCCAATGCTTATGAAGGACAAAATGGAAATAAGAGAGGGTGATTGAGAAAAACAGGTTTGAAAAAGAACACCAACACGGACCAGTCTAGCTCTGATCCTCGAGGATCCGGCAGAAGGAGCTAACGCATCCTAGCACCCAAAGGAGGGGAAACTTCGTTCATCAACATCACGTCGTCCTAGGCACGTAATCGTTCATCCCACTTCGTTTGTCATGTCTCTCAAACATTTTTGTACAACAACAGAGGCTCGCCAATGTTTTCGATTTCAGGGATGGTACACTTCAGGTCAAAAGCTTTGGCGAGAACGATCTTGAAAATCTGCAGTCTGGGTTAGATGAGTACGAACAGATGAAAGATTTGTGATTGACCTTCTGGACATTGATGCTATGACTGGTGCTACTGAAGATCAGGCTGGCTTTCATTGCCTTGGCGAAGCGCTTGGCCTGTGCGCCGTTAGCAAACGTTTCAAGACTAGGGACCCGCAGTAGCTCACCTGAATGGAAATTTCTTCCTGGTCCTCCCGGGGAAAGTTGACAAAGTGATCATACTTAGTGCCAATCAAAAAGGGAATGGCAGTCTTGTTGAATCCACGGCCTTGGCGATACCACTCCTTGATCGAGTTCAGGGTGCTCTTGCGCGTGAGGTCAAACATGAAAAGAATAGCCACTGCGTCATTACAGACGAGCGGAAGCATGTTGACAAACTCGCGCTGGCCACCAAGATCCCAGATCGAGAATGTGATCTCCGTATTCCGGATCGAGATGGTCTTCTCCATGAAGTTGACACCTTGTCATCCAACATCAGCACGGCTCGCAAATTGGGGGTGAACACGATTTCATCCCCACATACCCAGAGTCTGAATGTAATCCTCATCCCAGCTGCCTTCCACATATTTCACCATAAGACTCGTCTTTCCGATCTGAGCATCCCCCACCATCCCCACCTTGATCACCACGCTGTTCTTCGCTTGCGACGATGTTTGCTTGTGGCTGACATCCTGTGACGGTTGTGATACGAGACGGTCTGGATGGTTGGAGTGGCCGGAGCTAGGCCTTGAGGAGGAAGGCAATTGCGAGGGATAGTTCGATCGAGGGGCTTCGCCGTCTTGAGAGTGGTAATCTCGGGCGGGGGACTGGAAGTCGTGGGAAGAGTAGTGGGCGCGGGAGTCGCTGCTGTAACCATTTGCGATCATGGTCTCGTCCGCCGCGGCGACCATTCCATGCTGAGTGGGTGTAGGGAGATCCATGCTCTGCGCCTGCTCCTGCTCGAGCTGGTCGGCGGGCTCGGAGGCACCAGCCATGTTAAATTGTGACGTATCCATAACGGGGAGATGTGTGGATGGAGGTCTGGAGGGTGTTCCTGGATGGCGTGGTTTGGTTAGCGCTGGACGTAAACACGGTCGAGGTCCGGACGGAGACGGTGGAGCGGGGATGCTAAGACCGACCAAATTTGTGGGTGCGAGATCAGAGCGATGTTTGGTCGGAACGCATGTAGTGAAATTCGGTCGCAAAGAATAGGACTGCCGGATTGTCAGACAAATTTGTCAGCGCCATGTTGGCGAGTCAACAATGAGTAGCAAGGGCTGGAAAGTTCTTCAAGGAGGGTCCCTGGAGAGACGGGGGGGGGAGGGGGGGAGGGGGGAGGGGTAGTTATTGTTGATAGAGTGATCAATGAGTGTGCACCTTTTGTTGCAGGAGGAGCCCAGGTAATGTGACAGGTGCACTAGCAGCCAAGGCACGCAGCCATGGGACGACGGAGCTTCAAGGAAGGAAACGGTCCAAAAGCAGGGGCCAGACTTTGAGGAGCAACGAAGCAACAAACCAGAGAGATGAAAAGAAGAAGATTAGATAAACGCCTTGGATAGAAAAGTAAACAGAGAGAGGGGGTGATGGTTAACGGTTAACGGGGAGGAATGAGCTGAGCAGAGCTGAGTTGAGCTGAGTTGAGCTAAGAGAAATAATTGGTAGCCCCTTGAGGGGGGAGCGGGTGGGTGGGAGTGGGAGAAGTGGGTGTGGAAGCAAGCGGCAAGAAGCAAGAAGGGAAATCGAAGCCTCAGGGCAGCTCTCGATGGAGGTTGGTCGCTCTCAGTTTCACAGTGCAGTGCAGTGTCTGCCTTCACCTTCCATCTTCAACCACAGCCGCCCGCCCAGCAGAAAAAGCGGGCAGCCATTCTCCGATCGCCACTAGTCCGCGATAGGTAAAGTGTGCCTGTCCCGTGAATTTCGCCCGCGGCGCAACAGAAACAGAAAAAAAATCATGGAAAAAATGTTCTCCGAACCCTAATCAGTCAATTTTCCACCCCCCCCAGGCTCCTCTTCCCTCTTCCTATCGTCCCGCTGCACGACTGGCTCGTCGACAGCTGTTTCTTTCCTTCGAGGACAATCCCTACACATCAACCTATACACAATGTCGAAGAGATCTGCCGACGCCGCCGACGAGCAGTCCGCCGCGCTCAAGGCCGGCGAGCGCCCGATCACCGAGAACCCCCCCGATGAGATGGGAGAGTTCGAGGACGAGTACGAGGACGAGTTCGAAAGTGAAGATGAGGTTCTCGAGGCCGGTGTGGATGGTCGTCCGGATGCAGAGCGTGAGGAAGAGGAAAGAGGTACGCTACGATATCTTATTGAACCACTTGGAGCGCCCAGAAAGTCCTAACAACACTCGCTCCCCGCAGAAGCCATGGATGTCGACAAGCAGACTTTCATTCCCGGAAGAACGAAGCTCGCCCCCGGAGAGGTCCTGTCGCCCGACCCGACCACGTACGACATGCTTCACACCCTCAGCACACCATGGCCCTGTCTCTCCTTCGATATCGTCCGCGACAACCTGGGCGACAACCGCAAGACCTACCCCGCGACCGTCTACGCCGTTGCGGGTACACAAGCCGAGGGCAAGCGCGCCAAGGAGAACGAGCTGATGGTTCTTAAGCTGAGCGGATTGAGCAAGATGGAGAAAGATAATGAGACGGACTCCGAGAGCGACTCGGATTCCGACGACGACATGGGCGAAGCCATCCTTGAGCACAAGAGCATCCCTCTCGGATCAACGACCAACCGTATCCGCGCTCACCAGACTCCCAACCAGTCGGGCGACTACTCCAAGCCCCCTCAGACCATCACCGCCACTATGCTCGAGAATTCGCAAGTCGTCATCCACGATGTCACCCCTCATCTCACCAGCTTCGATGTCCCTGGTACCATGCTCCCTCCCTCGGCATCCAAGCCCCTCTCTACCTTGCGCATGCACAAGTCGGAAGGTTACGCCCTTGACTGGTCTCCGTTGCAGCCCCTTGGCAAGCTGTTGACTGGTGACAACGACGGCTTGATCTACGTGACGACTCGTACCGAGGGAGGCGGCTGGGTGACCGACACCCGTCCCTTCACCGGTCACAGATCTTCCGTCGAAGAACTCCAGTGGTCCCCGAACGAGAAGAACGTCTTCGCCTCCGCCAGCAGTGACGGAACCGTCAAGGTTTGGGATGTTCGGTCTAAGTCGCGTAAGCCCGCCGTTGATGTGCAGGTTTCGAACACCGATGTGAACGTCATGAGCTGGTCAAACCAGACTTTCCACCTGCTCGCAACCGGCGCTGATGACGGTCAGTGGGCCGTCTGGGATCTGAGACATTGGAAGCCCAGCGCTTCCTCCGCCCCGACTAAGGCTTCTCCGGTCGCGTCGTTCGACTTCCACCGCGAGCCTGTCACGAGTATTGAGTGGCACCCCACCGACGACAGTGTTGTCGCGGTCGGTTCTGCTGATAACACCGTTACGTTGTGGGATTTGGCCGTTGAGTTGGATGAAGAGGAGAACCGGGATGCTGCGATGCAAGAGGTCCCCCCGCAGTTGTTGTTCGTCCACTACATGGACTCAGTCAAGGAGGTACACTGGCAGGCCCAGATGCCTGGCACCATCATGGCTACCGGCGGCGGTGGCTTTGGGTAAGTCATGCTTTCTGATGTTCTTTTTGAGGGTTGGATGCTAATAATTTGTGCAGTGTCTTCAAGACGATCAGCGTTTAAACGAGGAATACAAAAGTGTGAATTCGACGATAGCATACAGGTAGTTGGGGTTGCGTTTATACCACTTTTTATGACTTTAGTATCTGATGAATTAGAATCAATGATGGTCTTTTTGGTACAATCTCAGGTAGAGACAATCCATGGCAACCATATTGTAGCCCAGTGGTCATGTGACACCCATGAGCGCAGCCTGATGCATGTTGCTGCATATCGAGCCAGAAACAGTATATTGAGGGCCGATCTTCCACGTGCAGCTACGCATATCGCCTTTTGCCAGTTGCGCTTTGCGCGGCTTCTGCTACTATTGCAATGCTCGGAAACCGGTGATTTGTAACCACTGCATATTGACACCTGTTTTCCAACTTAGAGAAAACGCAGTGCAGCAGATCAAAATACTTACAGCAAGGGAGGGGCAGGCCTGCATGTCTTCAGACTTTACAACCAAGAGATAAGCTATGATCACCACGAGCTAGATCCACACTAGGATATTCTCTCATCAAGAGCACTCGTGACTCGGGAGACAGATTGGCTTTCCCAGGGTATGATCTTGCGAGCCAGTGTGAAGAAAGGGTCATCGAGACGAGCTCTGGCGCGCACCAACCTCACGCTACGCTGATCCGTCAATGTTACTGGATCAGGTGGGAGATACGAGGTGAGGAGCAAGGCTTGGCTCGCGTCAATATGTGGAAACGCATTCTCCTGGACTGGCTAGCTGTGAGAGGCCGGGGAAATGCGGGGGAGAGTGACTAAGCAAGCCCCAAGCACAGGCCATCATCGGTCTCTCCGCATCTCGAAAAGATCAATAACCGACCGGCCTTTTCCTCTCGCCAGCCCATCTGTTCTTCTTCACCATTTTTCTCTTTGTTTCCCTTAGCTCATCCTATCAGCAACCACTTGCTTTCCTCTCCCTGGTGATTCCCGTTGCCGCTTGTATCCAGTTGCCTGGATGAACCCGACGAACACGCCGATGTCCCTCTTTGCCTACTATACCTTCCCCGCAGCGATCAACGCTCAAGGGCCTCTGCCCCGCAATTGCTTGCCATGAGAATTGGAAGGGGATGTGAACGTTGTCGTCTGCGTCATATAAGATGTACTACCCGCGCAGGGGCGTCTTCGTGTAACGCCTGCACTCGCCTGGGGCGAGCTTGTCGCTTAGATCCGCCTTTTCGTTTCAAATCTGTCCGTCATGTTTACCAGAAGAGCAATGGCACGGCATCCAAGTTTGAGCTGGTCTGGGACTCCCAGCAGACTTGGGTGAAGGTCCCTCACTCGTGTATGTGCCTGCCCTTTTGCTTAGTTGCACATCCATATTTCTCGCAGTACTGATTTTGCCTCAGTGACCTTCGTGCACGAATCATCTGACGACTCTGACGATGACAATACAAGCGACATTCCACCGGTCCGTCAAGGGGATGACCATGCCCCCTCAAATGAGACGCCGCAAGACATCCCACAGTCCTATACTGTATTCTCCCATCTACCCTTCCCAGAGATTATGTATTCTCAGGATGAGAGTCTACGAGAACATCATCATGTCGATAATCCAGCACAGAACCCCACGACGCCCCCAATCACCGAAGTCCAACAGTTTCCTGGCAAGTCCTCAAGCTTGTCACCCCAAGCCATTCCCATGCTCTCTCCGATAGCATCCGCAAGTACTTGGACGAGCGCAGCATCGCCGCTGAGTGCGGTCAGCCCCAGACAAGGCAGCTCGTCGTCACTCTCACCTCGCGAAGCCCACCTTCTCCGTCTCTTTATCCAGAAGCTTGCGCCATGGGTATGCTCAACCAAGTTTTCTTTCCCTCCATCATCTTCACTTTGCATGGAAGCTAACATTCTTCAGGCCGACATCTGCGACCTCCGTTCTCACTTCGGGACCGAGGTCCCTCGCCGCGCTCTCCGATATCCGATGGTTCTCAAAGCTGTCCTCGCCCTTGCAGCTCGACATGACGCCATTGTAAAAGGGGCCAGTGATTGGGAAGCATCAGAGTACCACGGCCAATGCCTCGAACTCCTGATCGCAGCTCTCGCCCTTCCAGAAGAGACCTACGATGACAACCTCCTCTTCACGGTTGTGATCCTACGGATGTACGAAGAACTCGAGCTTGCGACCGACGAGAAGTGCCACTGGGTCGGATCCAATCGACTTCTCAACCGGATGTCTAATTCTGCGTCCTCGGGCGGGCTCGCTGAAGCCGTGAGCTGGCAGTTCCTTCGCCAGGCCATTTACGCCTGCGTCGTGCAGCACCAACCGATGCAACTCAACTTGGCAAACTATGAGCGTTCCGTTGTTTTCCGGCGGCGCGATGACGCTTCCTATGCGAATGTCATTATCTTCTACTGCGCCAAGATCTTGCGGTTGTGGTCAGGCTCGCACTGCAGTCCTGTTGACGAGACGGAGTGGCAGCATCTGGTCGACAGCGTGGAGCAATGGTACCACGCGCGACCGGTCAGCTGGCAGCCACTCCAGTACAAGGATGCGAATCCGCACGAGAATCGCCCGTTTCCTGAGATGTGGATGATCTCGCCGCAGGCGGGTAAGTTTGCCAACGACCTGCCAAGAAGCCTGGCTGACCTTTGATTTTAAACTGCTAGCCGTGGGACTGCAATATTATCATACGGCGTGCATCTTTCTGAGTGCTTCCGACCGACACTGGAGTGTAGTCAGTGACTACGAGCTTGCACGACTCAAGCGCGTAGAGGAGGTTCGTGATTCTTTTCGTCTTTTCTCTCATCATCCTTCTTCGCTCTCCCTCGTCGTTCCTTTCGTCGTTCCTTTCGTCTTTCCCCTGCATCTATCCCTTACACTTCTGGCTCGAAAATTAACTAACCTCCACAAACAGAGAACAATCTCCTCCCACCTCGTCAAGGTCGTCGGCCTCTCGATGTCCAACGAGACCGTGGAAAACGCATACTTCATGGCCTGCCATCTTCTTCATCGCTGTACGCTTCTTTCTCGCACTCTTCTTTTGCCTTTCTCACTAACTCCCCAGCCCACAGACGGATATTGTCTCCGCCACGCAGCCGAACAACAAGGCTCCCTGGACTTCCTGCGCCGCATGGAGAAGAACGTAGGCTGGCGCACGGGCTGGGTGATCCGCGAGCTCGAAACCCAGTGGAAAGAACTCCAAACATTAGATACTACTTGGGGAGACGGATAGACGGTCGGTCGGTCGGTCGGTGGCCGTTCTGCAATGCCTTTGTTTTTCTTCGGGTGTATATCTAGCGACAAGTTTTAGATTCACAATCTCATGACGTTATGACTAGTTCCTCCTCGCTTGCCAGCGGTGTCTGGAGATCACGAAAAGAAGCCAGCCCATGGTAGAACCGTAGGGCGGGAATCGGATACTCGTAGGAGCCCCTCTCTTTGCACGATCTTTTCCAGCACAACCTTACAGACTCTCTTGCTCCGTTTCTCCGCAGCCACGATGGGAGGTCCCACCGCTCGTCCAACTGTGTCTCCCCCCTGCTAGCGGAAGAAACAGCACCGACACAAACCTCCCCGTCCATAGACATCTTTGCGTTCAGTGTTGTATGCCTCTTCCTTCAACAACAGTGTGGTATCATGTTCCTCCACGCGTCAAGGAATCTTTATCTTTCTCTCTCGGTCGGTCGGTCGGTTGTTCGTTTGCTCGTCCGTCCGTCCGTTCGTTCGTTCTCAACTGCCAACTCCTCATGAGGAGTAAATTGTAAGCCTCTTCTCGTAGACCGAGCGTATGATCTGCATCCAAGAAAAGAAACTTAGCCTGAGCTCGCGCTAAAGTTGTTCTTGAGCGGAGTCACAACGTACCTTTCGATTTCGATCGCGGACTGCCCGCCCACGAGGCAGTAGTCAGACTTGTTCTACATATTCAGAAGGATGAAAATCGCAAGAATCCAAGCGAATAGAAGTTCTCGATTCAAAGTCAAAGCATCATGTAGCATACACATCTTGGGACCACAGAGAAAAGGAGAATCGCTAGCAGAACATTGAACCCTTGCAACCACCAGCGCCCGCGAACTCCATCAAGAACGCGAGAACAGCAGCATCACCAAACAGAAAGCCAGACAAGAAAAGGTGAGTAGAGCGGCCCCCATCAGAGCAGTAGCAGAGCCCGAGCCCTACAATCCCAACCTCAAGGCAAGTAACCAGCCGATACCGGTCTCCCCACCGAGGAAGGAATCAGCATCCAAGGCTTCAGCAACTGTGGTTTTCATCATCGAGGGCACAGGAGAAAAAGGAAAGGGAAAGGAAGAAAACAAAAGAAAAGAACCCCCTCAGAGCAGTAGCCAACCCGAGCCCTACAATCCCAACCTCAAGGCAAGTAACCAGCCGATACCGGTCTTCCCGCCGAGGAAGGAATCAGCATCCAAGGTTGCAACAAGTGCGATTTATCATCATCGAGGGCACAGGGAAAAGAAAAGAGAAAGGACAGACAAAAGAGGTGGTCCCCTCAGAGCAGATTGAAGCGAACCCGAGCCTGCAATCCCACCCAAGGCATGGCACCAGCCGGAGCCGGTTGCTTCACCAGGGGGCAGAATCAGCGTCCAAGGCTGCACGCAAATCCGAGCCTACAATCCCACCACTCAAGACAAGGAACCGGCCGCGGCCAGTCATCTTATCAGGGGGCAGAATCAGCATCCAAGATTGCAAGCAAGCCCGAGCCTACAATCCCACCACGCAAGGTAAGCAACCAGTCGGGACCGGTCGCCTCGCCAGAGGGTAGGATCAGCGTCCAAGGTTGCAACAAAAGTGAGTTTCATCATCGGGGTACAGGAGAAAAGGAAAAACAGAAGGAAAAAAGAAGAAAAACAAAAGAAAACAAAGGGAAAACAAAGGAAAGACAAAGGAAAAACAAAAGGAAAAGAGCCAGCAACCCACGAACTAGGCAAGCCTCCTCAGATCTGAAGCAAGTATGTTCAGTGGCTGCCTTTCGCAAAGCGAAGAGCAGCATTTGAACTTCATATGCTCGACGGCAAAAAGTGCATCAGTGCAACCTAGAATTTGCAACGAGAGGCAGTAGAAGCCAATATCATCATTGGGAATGTGTGTGAAAGGAAAAGGAAAAGCCAAAAACCCACGAACTAGGCACGCCTCCTCAGATCAAGCAAAGGTGCACCTTTGCAAGTAGGTCAGTACTGTGTCAAAGCAGCCTAGATTCTGCAGTGAGAGACAGTAAAGCCAACATCATCATTGGGAATGGTCAAGAAAAAGAGTGGAGAGGGCAGAGAAGATAGGGGAGGGCGGAGGTGAGAAGGGGGAACCAGGCAGGCCTCCTCAGATCCAGCAAGGTTGGTGTTACCATTGCAAGAAGGTCAATACTGCATCAAAGCAACCTGGAATTTGCAGTGAGGGGCAGTAAAGACCAACATCATCATTGGGACTGGTCAAGAAAAAGAGTGTGTGGGTTGAAAACACTGAAGTTCAGCGCTTTCAGAAAGGGTTCCAAAGATTGAAAACTTCTCGACTCTCTCCATCCACGCTCGATGAGTGAGGACTTCACAGAAGGAAGAGATGAGAAAAGAAAGGGGGCTACAAAGACTGGGAAGAGATGAGTAGCGAGGATGTGAAGCTGGTCGTCTGGTTTTTCAACGAAGACGTCGCCTGCTCCCAGAGCCTCGAGACCCGGTGTACTCTGCGTCCGTCTAGGTTGGAAGGTAATCGACACTGGTGTTGGCCAGCGAGGGTACATAGCGCCAGCCCACCCGGATGCAGAGTTGAGAGAGGAAGAAGGAAATGGAGGAAGGGAAAGGTTGGAGAAGAGAAGAGAGAAGAGAGAGAGAGAGAGGAAGAAAGGAAGAAGAAGGAGGAGGGAGGGGGAGGGGGTATTTATGTTTTTCGAAAGAGAGAGAAGTGTGATCTGGCGGCTGGAATCACCACCAGTGAATGATCAACAACCTCATATGAAACGCATGATATCAAAAAGAAGGGTCAGGCAACGATCTGGTTGGCCGGTAAGCGAGCGGCTGCCTGGAGCTTCTCAAGTGAATATAACATATTTCACAGAATCAAGTAGAAGAAGGATAAGGGGCCAGCATGATCCGGTGGCCTGATTGGCTGGTATGTTTAATTTGATATCAAAAAAGGTGATCCTACGTCGAACAAAGGTCTGCCTGGTTGATAAGCGAGTGGTAGGGGGCCGGGGGGTGTACTTCGCTTGTTAGCAGTAGGATATGGAAAGAGGTAGGCCTCGAGCGATGCACAAACGAATCCACCTATATCAAAGAAGTTCTATGCCGCGAGAAGGAACGTAGTATCTGTAGTGTAGTACCTACTTGAGGTGTCTTCTCTTGTTTCTCCAAAGGGAGCCAAAAAGAGTAGTATGATGTGGCTATACACTCGAGAGCAAATTCAAACAGCGTACCAAAGCCTACCGCCAGATTTGTCTACACAACGAAGCCTCAGAACCTGGACGCCATGCCCACATTCAGAAAGGCAAGAGATCACCCTTTCCCTCGTCATCATTGCAAGCAGCGCAAGCAATGCCAACCTCTTCTATAGGTGCTCTTGTCAGGCAAAGAACCTGGGCAACGCACGTCCACCGCGAAGGAAACGAGATACACGCGCCCTGGCAGCTCTCTCTCGAGGACTCTTCATCTATTCTAATGCTAGCTATCGTTTCTAGCTTTGATACGCATCGAGAGAGCTAACTTGTACGTGGCCACAGTGTCAAAACACCTCGCGAGGTCCAGATCGCAAATTGCCGAACCGAACGAGCCACTCCCACAAACGTCACACACCGACCGCAAGAACCCATCCAATCGAATGAGAAGCAGACTTAATTGAAAAGAGAGAGCGAAGGTGGGAGGCTACACGCTTCTGCAGACTGATTTCCCTCGCGATATCCGAATCGCAGATCCACCGAACCAACGAATCGCGCCTCTACACCACCACAAACCAAGCGCCCCTGTGTCGACCGCAGGAAACAACCTCGCCGAGCAGAGATCTCGGTCATGAGCATATGAAGCAAGCAAGTCTAGAAGGCTACGCGTTCCGGAAAGCTTGTTCGATTGCTGATCCGTCCATGTATACTCCAGAACGAACCTCGAGATAAAGTTGTGGCATCAGGGACCAGCCCCCGATCCGACCCGCCGGACAGGGCAAGCTCATCCGCCAGCCGGCTTGGCTTGCATCAGCCAGCATCCTTCCATCCACCGACCGACCGCCCATTGCGAATCGCATGCCGATACTCATAGTACAGTGCAGTGCAATACAACTCATCCTCATAATTCCATGCAGCCAACACACACAGGAAGAGACAGGATCAACCTGAGGACCGCGACCGAACGAATCCCTACCCACGCAGACGATGTCGACAAATCCACCGTCCGGTCGGAGAGCACCCCCCAACCTTCCACAATCGCTACGACTGAGTAACTAGTAGTTAGTAACTCCCAAAAGAAACGAGGCGAAGCACACAACCCAGCCACGAAGAGAGCCAAAAGCTTCGAAGCGATCAACCCATTCTCCATCCCCAGAATCCCAAACTCCCCATGTTTACTTCTACGGCGCAAATCCACAAACCAACACCTGACTCGCGCAAAAAACTCTGGTGCCTGAACAAGCACAAGAAGAATGTCCAGCGCAGATAAAAATAGAACCGCATACCCCCGATGCACGAGCCGCACAGCAAATCAGATGCTTTTTCCCCGCCCCCTCGGCGGTGCTGCACTACCAGTAACTTAAGTGATTAGATCTAAGTCCGAGCTCTAACCCGGTTTTCCACTGAAATCTTCGGCGATAAAGGTATGTAGTCTACACCACCACACAGTATGGAAACCTGAACCCTAGACGACCAACGCTAACTACACAAGTAGAAAACTCCGCTCAAGTGGAGGGAGGTCCTGGTTGGAATCAGTCCACGCTCCAGATTAGAAAAAAAAAAGTGGGGATCGGTACTGCAGCACTGCAGCACTGCAGCAAAAAGAGGCAGTGTTCGGAGATACTTGGTTTGGATACTTTTCCCACTGTGCCAAAGTGACAGGGATTCTCTCTCTCTGCCGCTATGATTGCAATAATGGATGCAAGTTTGGCCCAGTGCGTTGGCCTACATCCATCCATCCCCTTTCAAAGAAATCTGGGCAGCCATAAGTATGACACAATCTCTTTCCTTTCCCCCCCCCCTTCAAACTCTGCATGAAAATCTGATCAACTACGGCAACTATCACCGTACCGGTTGTTCCGACGGACTCTCCACCATTAAAGGGCGGCCGCTACCAGCAAAGGGGAGAGGGTCTCGGCAAATTACAAACAACCCATCGAAACTACAGATTCAAACTCAGACAAAAGAAAGCCACAGAATGCTAGACTAGACTATAATAGCGACGAATTATCCCCGAAAGTATCTTAGTTGAACCCTGCAGTAGGAGATTTAGGCTGTCATATTTCTCTGCCGTTTCTTTGCATTCTGCTGGAGGCTTGGAGCTAGTCTAATACTTAACCTCTGGCTGTCCCCGCTTCGGAGCCAAGGGTGATTGACTGACTGACTCGATGGGTCGGATTGCTGGACACCTAATCCAAACACCGAGACTTCAAAAACAGCAAATTAATGTCCCAATGATTAGATCCGCGACTTAGAGAAATTGATTCTATTTCGTGAGCCATCGCCTGAATTTCACGAACTGACTGGACTTCCAAATATGAAAGCCGTGTCCGTGTTCTTATACCTGCTATGCCTGGTATCTCCGCCCGTCGCGGCTGACTCGGATTCCAATACCAACTGTGAGTTTTGCGCCGGTCGTCACTCTCTATACTCTATACTCTATCCTCTATCCTCTATCGTGATCACACTATACATACACCCCATCAAGATCGAGTGCTCACAGGTAAAATGAAAAGGTACCTCCAGCACAACAATAACTTCGCAGGCCGATGCCGACAACCGTCTCTCCTCCTGCTCCACCATCCACGGCACCTTGACCATCTCCCCGTCCGTTACCGGCACCATCACCCTCAAACAGCTTGAGACGCTCAACGCAGGTCTAACCATCCAAAATGCCTCCGCGCTGACGGCTTTCTCCGCGGCGAACCTCGAAACCGTCAACGGGCAGTTTTCCATCAAGAATAATGCTCAGTTGAGCACCCTGACGTTGTCAAATTTGCAAAAGGTCAGCGGAGAGCTGGATGTCGAGGACAACTCCCAGCTCAGAGATTTGGTGTTGGATGATTTGCAGTATGTGAACGGAGCGTTGGTCCTGGGTGGGAAATTTGATCGGTGAGTGACCCCCTTTTTATTCTCTGGTTCGCATCGCGTTCAAGATAAATTGGACCATAGATTGCAATCGGAGCGGGGCTGACTCTCACAATGCAAAAGGATATCATTTAGCGATCTCAAGCATGTCAACGGCAAGACGAATATCCGGTCGCGCGGAGGATCATTTCGCTGCTCGAGTTTGGCTTCCCTCCGGAGTGAAGATGGTGACGACGATGACGACGACGACCACAACAATAACAGCAACAGCAATGGCGTGTTCAGGGGATCTTATAGCTGCTCCGACGGCTCCAGCAGCGGGCTAAGTTCGGGAGCCAAAGCGGGCATTGCGATCGGCGTGATCGTGCTTGTTCTGCTGATTTTCCTCCTAGTATGGGTACTGATGCGTCGGAACCGATCACGGCGCAAACGGCGGAACGCGGCCCAAGACGAGGGCAAATCTGGATACGCGGCTGTTGGAGTAGGGTTGTCGCATGATCGCAAGATCTCAAATATGGAGGAGAAACTGAAACCTCGAGTGTCGGAACCGCATGAGCCCGAACAGACGATCAATCTGAATAACATCCCACGGAAACCACTCTCGCCGCCTCCACCATCGTTGTCGACCGACGCACGTCGCACAATTTCAACAATCTCGCCATCTTCTCCCCCGGTACCGGCTGCTTTGATCCCCGGCACAGAAAGCTCGTCCAGCTCTGTTCCGACGTCTGATGACCAAAACGCGTTGTTCCTGCATACCATCCCCCGACGGAGGCCATCTGAAACGGACGTCCCGTTATTGGATAGTGGGAACGTGCATGAAGTACCGGCCAGTCCGGTCGCGCATAGAGGATTGTATGAGTTGGACGCTGGGCCTGTGCGAGGGACGCACCAGCAACCGATCAACCACGAGTAATCAACTCATTGTCGCGTATGACGGCGCGTGACGAAGCATGATTGACGAGACTTCCGGAAACTGTTGGTCAGCACGACCCAACAAATATACCCTGAGATAGCGAACATAACGAAACAGCAGTCCATCATCTAACTGTACAATTAGATTGCAATTGAGAAATCGTAGCCAGACCGACTTGGGGTAACCTGAAATGTCCCCAATCATGATAGTATACATCATGCATTAAACGCTTAGAACCAGATTCATCCATTATGATAAGAACGACGGCCCCATTGTGGAGCCCGGGTTCGCTCGCACTGCCTGCAGTGTCTCGCCCGAGGCCAACGGCCCACACCATCCGTACGCGTCGCACCGGCATTGTTCGTATCGAGGACAACTAATTTTCAGGTTAGTCCCTTTGCGCCGCTGCAATCAAACCACTATCGCGCCCGCACGACCGTCACTCACTATATCTCATCCATGCCGAAGATGATGTGCCAAATCTTCTCGTATACCCATCCCACGCCAAAGCTGTCTGTTAATTCCGTCTCGTCGGCCCACCGCAACATGCGCTCGTAGTCCGATCGGGGTCGTTCAAGGATCCGCTGGCGGCTGACAGCGAATTGACCACAGCAGACATTGCCAATGTGCTCCGGAACCTTCTTCGCAGGGACATTGAGAAGCGTCTGGTAGACCTGAGGAAAGAATGCGCGAATATCATCATTCTCGATATCGATTTGCGTGGGACTCCACGGGTGGACACTTGTCGGGCAGCCGGGGTCGTGCTCGCAGCGCAGATTGACATAACCCTGCGCGTCAACGGCCTCTAAGCGGAGGTTTCGCAGTGCCGGTCCAGTGTGGGGGCCGAAAAGGTCATTGTGCCATTGATCGTAGTTAGAGTGGATGAAGATCGTGTATTTCGGTAATTGGTTGTAGAACTCGACGATGAAGGAGAGGTAGGCGGTAGCCTCGCGACCGCGGATGGTGTAAGGAACTAGGAGATTTGGCGCGGGTTCGACGTCGGTGCTGTAGATGAATGGGATTGTTCCGCTGCGGGAGGATTGCCGACGTCAGCCAAATAAACACAAAGCACAATGAAGGTTCGTGATCCCGGAGGTGGCGCGCCTTACTGGTCGTTGCAGTAATCCAAAAGCCAAGTTAAGTCCTCCGCCCGCGTCGCAGCCAATACTAAGCCAATCTCGCTGGTCGCGTTGTCGTACGTCTTGGTGATTTCCGATAACTGCTCGTGAATCGGGTTGAAGTATTCTTCCACTGTGGTGGTTGATTTGCGTGCGGTTAACCTGGTGTCCGGGAGAAAGAGGTTGGGGCGGAGGTAGGTCCGAACGATGACATACCTGGTTGAGGGTCGTAAGAATCACCGCCGCAGATGAGCCATGAGAGAACGGAGGTGACCAGCAGCGCCAAAATTCCGAGAGCGGCGGTGCGGCGGGCAGGCCAGCGAAACAGCCGCCTCTTCGACATTGAGGAAAGGGGAGGGGAGAGGGGGAGGGGATTCACCTCTCGCGAGGTTTGAAGGCGAGCGACCGCAAGGACGGACAGGGATTCAAGAGACAGTGAGATAAGGAGAGGAGAGGAGAGGAGAGGAGAGGAGAGGAGGAAAGGGGAGCGGGAAGAAGAAGGGGAGGAGAAGAAGAAGAAGGGAAAGGAAAGAACAGCCGACGGACGACCAGATGAATTCCCTTGTCTTGTCCAGCACAATCGAATTATAACTAAACTACTCCGTAATTGTTAGTTAAGGTAAAGGTAATGAAGTCAATGGCAGCGGGCATTTTGCAAGCCCACAGGACAAATCAAGACGAATAATAATGAGAGCAGTGGGAGAGGCTCAGGCCGGACCTGGAAGTGCAGCAGTGCTAGACGGTGCTAGACTCATAAAGGGCACAAACAACACCCCAAGAACCCCAATTCAGTCCCAATTCAGTACGCCATGGCCCTTATCCACGTAAGGGGCATGGGACACTAAACTGCAACTGGTCAAAATCAGTCAGTCCCGGGCCACTCAATCGCCAGGATCTGGATTCAGGTGGGACTCGCCAAGTTATCGCCCCATGGCTGGCCACTTCGGCACTATTCCGGCTTGGACCATAAGTAGGTCTGCATGCGATTGTATTCCAGTCTGGGGGTCCAGCCTCCGCGAACGGGCGCATTATGGGTGATAGCCCAACGGAGAGAGAGTCCATTGCTATTTTGGTCTCCCTCAAATGACTTCAATACAAGCTTTTACAGGTATCGTCTATCGGTCGAAGCGCCACTGTCTTCCAATTCTGCCCGCCAAGAACCCACTCGTCATGAGTGTACGTCACCCTGCGAAACCACCGACATGAATAATTGACGGGTCAATTGGCGACCACCACTGTTTGTATGGCCATGCATGCCACATCTCGCATAGATTTTGTCGGTCTTCAGCACGGCGCACAGTATGATCGGCAGCATGCAGGTGATGATTCCCGCCGTCAATCTCCGCCGACGTACACAACACTATGTTTATCGGCTATCTCGTGCAAACCGTCCTCACATGCTGCTTTCGTCCACCGCCAGAGTCAACATTCCGCGCCACCCTGTTTGTTGACCGCGTACACGCGTCTTCCAGCAGCGACACGTCTCTGCTCCAAAGGTGACGATTTTTGTCCGGGAAAATTTCTTGGGGACTTTATTGTGAACTTATGGATGTGTATGGAGTACGCCCTTGGTCCAAGCCTACTCGGGAGGTTGACAGCTTACTGGTGGGGCAGATCAACTCAAAGCTTGGAGGGAATATCCTTGCTTGCATTCCTGAATACACTAGCCTCACCCAACGAAAAATTCCATCATGGCTACACTTATCAAATGAGCCATGAAGCCGTTTCGGAGGGACCCGTGCTCTTCCATGCGCTTTCCCATCAGCGGCTTCGACATTGTCCCTCCATCAGAAGTGCTTGAGAAGCGATTCGAGCATTTGGACAGAAATGATACTATCCTATCAATATTGGCGACGTGCCCAATGCCAAGTATCAGATAATTAGTATCATAGAGATTGGGACTATCTCAATGGTATGGCTCGCTCGTGATCTGGGGTAAATTCGGGTAGTTCTACCTATGCGAGCTATACGCTGACCCACCCCACCCAACCAGTGGTCATCAGTATGTGCCAGTCACTCAAGATCTACTCAGTGAGGTCGTGTACGATTGTCAGTGGAGTCTTGATCAATAAGTTCAGATCTGCCGGTTTTATTTAACTCTGTGAGTCCCATTTTCTAAAGGGCCTAAGATCATCTCTATAAGCCTACATATTTATGGACTTCACAGCTCAGACCTGAGAATGACAAGATGGGGAAGACAGGCAGCAACATCTCTCTCCCCGTCGGCGCCCCTTTCTCCACGCTTAAGCAACTGTAAGCCAACAGCCATAGCAAAGATCTTCATCCTAGCCCTTTGTGAATCTCGCTTCCATCGGTTTTTCAATCTAAACTTTCTTCAGCTCAACTCGAGTGCTACCTTGAGGCAGCTCCGCTGTCACACGACCCCATTCATCAACAGTAGTCTGAACCGGAAAAGACGCCACATAGATCAGGGGCTGGGTGTGGGCACCGCAGACGGTCTGGCAGGAGGCAACGCAGCAGGATCTAGGAAGCTCGCCCGTTAGCCCTCACGTATACTTTAGTTCGTTCGAATCTAGCTTCGTCATAAGCTTAATACTGAAAACCCTGGACCTCTCCACCAAGGGAAATCAGCCAATGGCTCACAAGCTCTTGTCCTTTCGACGCACCTTCCCTCTTTCTCTCCTTCCGCTTCACAGTACTTGCGCGGGTAATTTGAGTAAAAGCCAGGAGGCCGTCCACAGCATAAGCAAAGACCCTATCAACGGCAGAAAAAGGAGCAGCGCCAGCTCCCAAGCAAGGCTGTGGTCGTGCCACATGATGGATAAAAGATTCTTGCAGAAATAAGGAATCTCGAGACGGACAAGATGTGCTGTTTACTGATTATTGAGGCTGGCTAGAAGTACAGCTAGTATTTATTTAGATTAATATTCTATATAGAACTTTTTTAAAAGCAAAAGTTTTATATATAAGAATATTAAAATATCTTACTCTATTAGAGCCCGGCCGCGGGCTTTAATTAATAAGAAATATAAAAGAATGAATAAAATGTAAAAATAAACAGAATATAGAAAATGAACAGAATATAAAAGATAGAAAGAATATAAAAGATAGATAGATTAGAAAAATGAAAAATAGAAAGAAAATGGAAAAGGTAGAAAAGATAGAAAAGATAGCTAGACTGGCACTATGACACATCTTGGGGCTTTTATCGTGAACTCGTGGAGGCGTATGCCCCTAGTCCAGGCCTACTCGGGAGACTGACAGGTTATAGGCTGCAAAATTAAGAAAGGATGAATAGGCATATATCACGCAAGGCTTAAGCTTTCTCGTTCTTTATGTTCTCGGTCCGGAAAGCGCGCTACCTAGTAGACCTCCTAGCTTTTCAGTTATCGTTTCTCAGTCATTGTAGGCACATGAAAATGGAATGCCTTTGCTTTAAGCCTAGTACTGAGATTTCGAGGACTATGGCCTTCCCTATGCGCAGACGGTAAGAACACATCGAATACAACCCTCAAAACATCCGATCTCAGAAACACTTCCTGCCCAATAGGACGTACACCGATCAACGCCTATCTTCTCCTTTCCTAGTTGTGCCGCTACCATCGTCATATATGTGACAGACCTTCCTGCCTTTTTTCGCCAGAGATCTCTGCACTGATGACCCATGCCTTATCCTCGCGGTTGAAATGGGATTGGTGTACGGGATTTTCATCTCGATGCCTGGTTCCGAGTTGGCACAAGGCAACAAACATGACCTTTTCACATACCTAATATCGACTCTTTTCAGCTTGCCAAGCCTTTGTAGTTTTCCTTCATCAGCAGACGGAATTCAGACTTTCTGACGTGAACATACTGCTTCGGCTCCTCCCCCTGGGCCGGTAAATTTCTCCACAGCGGTTCGCCATTTGTCCGGTAATTTGTACCTGTCAAACCCGGTCCAGCGCAAAAGAGCCCGGAGCGGATGTGCTTAAGAGGCGAGACATTGTGTAGTTACTCTTTATCAGAAGGATGAATGTAGGGGTAGCAGAGACACAAAGGCAGGTGACATCAGCGCCTCAAACTATGCAAGTATGAGAGGGATGGGTCAGCAAGTCATCCTCCTCAGAAGCTAGGTTATATTTATACCCATCACTTCCGATCTGATCAGGACTTGAATCATCCGACAGTCATTCATGAAGCAGAATGTTTGCTGCTTTTGCATAAATAGGCGCCCTTAGGTACTACTACACCTCTCCCAATGAGTGGATTCACACAGTGCCCTAGACACTTAGCTGTCGAATCGTTCGCCTGGCATGTTTATCGAGCAATCAAATGGCCGGTTGTCAGTGGTGTAGCGAGGCTGGCTCATCAGACTCAACTCAGCCTCGGCGGCTAGGAGATAAGCTCGCTGTCATCTAAGCGATAGTTCAGCTTAGCGATTTGTGCTTTGATCGTTCTGTGAGGGAAAGTGATAGGTAGCCTTCTGCACAAGTTGTGTACAGTGCAAGCGCCTCCTCAGCCGCCAGCCGCCAGTACGATGAGTCAGCATTCTCGCACGTAGTCAATCAACTCTCTTCTCGTTGCATCTCATCGTCTGCATTCCTCAATCTTCCTATCTTACTTCAATGGAGGTCAGCTTCTTCTATTTATACCATGCACCATGGCCAATCTCATGAAATGGGCCATGAAAACACTTCGGAGGACACCCTCTCCACCTATATGTTTCCCCACTAGCGGCTTCGAAACCGTTCGTCCCTCGGAGGTGCTTGATGAAGAACGGTTCGAAAACTTCAAACAAGGAAAATACTACCCTGCTAATATTGGCGATGTGCTTCATGCCAAATATCAGATCATTGGTGAACTTGGATTCGGAACTACTTCAACCGTATGGCTTGCTCGTGACCTTGAGTAAGTTCGGGCAGATCCACTTGCTTAAACCAAGCACCGACCCACTAACACAACCAGAGGCCATCTATGTGACGCTCAAAATCTACACACGTGACGAAGATAATGAGGAAGAATTCCAGATCTACAAGCAACTGAATCAGGGGAGTTCATGGCACCCTGGTCATGCTCATATACGAAAAGCACTGGATATCTTCACAATTCCACGTTCAGGCGGTGACCATCCATGTCTCGTTCAGAAGCCGATGTGGGAAAGTTTCCGAGATTTACTTTATCGCAACCCCACTCATCGATTCACTGAGGATCTGCTCAAAGCCGGTCTTTTGCAGATCTTCCAGGCACTGGACTACCTGCACACGGAATGCAAGCTTGTCCACACTGGTAATGTGTTTGTATGGCTTCATCTAAAGGCATCGTCCTAATTCATGTTCGAATAGACATAAAAAGCGACAACATTCTTCAAGAGATAGAGGACAAGTCTATTCTGCAAAGCTTTACCCAAGCTGAGTTGACAAACCCTTCACCTCGCAAGATTGTCAACGGTCTTCCCGTCTATGCTTCACGACGTTTCGATTTGCCAAAGGTGTTCGGCCGGGCAGTGCTGAGTGATTTCGGCTCAGCCGTACGAGGAGATGAGAAGCGGAATCACGATGCACAGCCTAATGTTTATAGATCTCCGGAAGTGATGCTCAAGACTGATTGGAGTTATTCGGTTGATATATGGAATGTTGGGGCTATGGTATGCTCCACTTGCTCTCTTATGGTCTCATGCACTCACCAGTCGGGGATAATAGGTGTGGGATTTGTTTGAGGAGCGACATCTGTTTTGCGGAGATGACCCTGACGGCAAGGGATACTCGACGCGGGCGCACCTGGCAGAGGTCATGGGTCTTCTGGGGCCGCCTCCTTTGGATATGCTCAAACGTGGGAAACGAAGCCATGAATTCTTCCTTGACGATGGTAAACATTACCTTCTCCTTTCACCCATTTGCAACACTTCTCTGACAATCGACAATGCAGGCAAATGGAAGCAAGACATAGTGATTCCGACGGGTGCCAGTTTGGAGCAGTCGGAAGAGTTCCTTGAGGGAAGGAATAAGGAGATGTTCTTGGCTTTCATGAGAGGGATGCTCCAGTGGCGGCCTGAGGATAGGAAGACAGCGAAGGAACTACTCCAGGATCCGTGGTTAAATGATCAGATAGAATAGCATGTCTGCAGCGCTCATTTCAATCTCCTGGGATCTTCTCCACTCACTAAGTTTTAGCTCTCTGAAAGCACGTAGTTAGTAATCTTGAAAAGGAATCTTACTCGACCGAAACTTGAATCAGCCCCAAGGCGAGTGGTGCTACGGGAGACACACATTGAGGAAAAAATTGTATCGAGGCTGTGAGCAGGAGCATAGGAGTAGTTTTAGCTCGTGAACACCCAAGCGCCGTTGAGCTGCTCAATCAAAGGTAGAGTTCAGTCTATCAAAGTATCTACATTCCCACGGATTATGCAACTTTTATGCGTGCAGGCAGACTATGAGGAGATTCAGCTTCGCATATTCCTCTACAATACCCAACATCCGAGCCCGGCTGGGCAACATCTTCGAAGACACGTTTTACAGGTCTAAATATGTTACGTATACGCAAGAGGACTGACGTCGTTGCAGTTTTCTTTAATAGCTCATGATACAGATGGAAGCATGTCACTGTAAATTTGAAACATAGGCTACCAGGTGAATGTCAGATCAAACTTGATAACACTGCAAAGTGGGTTTGCCACTCAGGCCACCTACAGATCTAAGTAACAGTCTGGTTCCTGACTTCCTCTCCTCCCGTTTCTTCTCATCTTCCCCACTTACGTCCCTGAGCTCACCCTCTTGTCAACTTAAGGAGAACTCCGGAGATAGATCACCGATTTGGTGTCCACCAAGATGCCTAAAAGAAAGGTACCTACATCTAGCAATGCAGAGGTGCCTTCAAAAAAGAAAGCCACCGACCCTGCCGCTGTCTCTCTATCAAATCTCGGGAACATGATCATGGAAAAGGCGGAAATGTAAGTTTTTTCTCCTTGAAAATCGACGAACACTCCTCTCATAAAGGTCTAGCACAAGTAACCAGCAAGATCCGCCTGAACTGACCATAGATTGCGGCCAATATGCGTATTCTGTTTCCCTTGCGCGAGCTTGTTCAAATTCTGCCTTCATCGAGCGTGAGTACGGTTCGGGCAGTAAGACGGTAAGATTTCTGCTAGTGCACAGCCCGTATCTTTCCAGCTGATTGCCTCGGACAGACGAGCTGCACCCTGGTGCTTCAAGATGATCGCCGGGTGGTCGAACATATGGTCAAATATTTGCACTGGGGAGAGTCTTACAGGTACCACGGCAAGCAGCCATTTGACGACGCAATGTTCAAGAAGCGCAAGCTGGCAACCAAAAGCCGCATGGACACCCAAAGCAAGAACATGGGCACTCAGTCGAAGAGTCTTGCGCCTTCTGCGGGTCGAGATCTGTCCTTCGTGGTTATTCCTTTCTTTATCCAGCTCTATGCACTGGCCACGCACCTCGAGGCCGACGGTCTCAGGGAAATCTGCAAAGGTGTTATCATGAGGGCACTCAGTGTTGACATGGACAGAGCCTCGCTGATGCGCGCAATCAAGGAAGTGTATACTCGCTTCGATGAGAGTGACCAGATGCTGCAAGAAATGGTTGTGGCAGTTGTCCGAAACAACCTGTCTCTCTTGCAAGCGCATACAGGCGAGGGAGGGCGTAAGTCGACCTTGAAGGATGTTCTTGATGCTACTGCCTCTTTCTGCCGTGATCTGAGTCTGGAGTTGTCGAATGCTCCGCCGCAGCATGATAAAAACGACGCCATTGACAATGATGATGATGAGGATGATGGAGATAATGGAGAAGTTGATGGCAACTATGAAGATGACCCCAATGACGAAGATTGGACCCCGTGACGGCAATGAGAGGATGGGAAAAGCTTTCAATGACTTTTGTCACGGTATGGGGAAGTACATTTGAGTATCTTGTTCTCGAATTGATCCTTCATAAATCTGCTGGTAATCAGTGATGTATAGCATCTAGATGGCTAATCAAACTCTTGCGCATCTGAGATCTTCAATCCTGGATTCTGCATGCACGGCTAAGTTCCAATTGGCGTCTACCGGTACTTTCGAGATATGCGACACATAGAAACAAGCATGTCTATGGCATGTTCGCAAGATCTAGCCTATTTAACTTCATCATGAAGCATAATATTCTAAGCTGCTGTTATAACATGAGTCTCGATGGGAATCCAGACCGGCACTGCTTTTCCTTTGCTATTTCAGAACGCTGACCTTCGCCATCACGACACTCTTCTTCCTCCTTCAACCCCTCCAGATAGACCATCATCAGCCCAGCACTATGCAACACCGTCATAAATAGACTATAATCCAATCTCGGGCACTGGCATATAACTTCCAAGCACCAACAAACCCTCAAATCGACCATGATTGCGGGGATGCAAGCGGGGAAGCGCGTGCTATCTCCCCGCGGCCCGCACATTCCTTTCCCACCTGAAGTGGGGGAGGACGACAAGCATCAGGCTGGACAACAAACAAACCACTTACTGGCCAACGACCTGCATTTCTTTTCCCCTGTACTTCTATCCCCAGCCTCTACATAAAGGTAAGCAGCCCACCACCCACAACCTCACACTCAAGGTCCTTGAAAACACCAACATGTCTCCAGCAAGACAAGATTACGAGATCGCCGACGACGTCCCCGTCCTGATCATCGGAGGCGGCCCGTGCGGTCTACTCCAGGCATACTTACTTGCTCAGTTGGGAGGTACCTTTCTTTCTTTCCCCCTTTCCCGACAGTCAGTCATTTGCAGGAAGAACACACGGTTGAAATAACTCCCATCTACAAAGTTAAATCCTTGCTCTGCGAACGCTACCCAACACGGCTCGACGCTCCACAAGCCCACGCCTTATCACCAAGGACACTCGAGCTATGTCGCCAGTTCGGCCTCGACGTGAACGAGATTCGTCGATTGGGCACCGGCCGCCAGGATGCATTTTGGGTGAACTTCGTGACACATCTGAGTGGGCAGCAGGTGGGGCGGTTGCCTTATGAGCGAATGGATCCGGGGGTGCTGGACGATACGCCTACGGTATGCCCGGCTTCAGCAGGCACATGCTCGAGGAAGCAAACAAGCTAATTGCTGAAGGTTAGATGATCCACAACATTCCGCAGCCGGACTTTGAAGACTACGTGCGGAAGCAGCTGGTGAAGAGCCCTTTGGTGGAGATGCGCAGGAATCATTCATTTGTTGAGCTTGAGGAGGTGAGTTGTCTCTATCCCTCGGATTGTGATTAAATCCTGAAAGGCTACATGCTGAAACTTGACAAGTTTGGGGATTGCGTCATCGCAACCGTCGAGGATCGTGCTGCGCAGCGAGAATACCATGTCAAGTGCAAGCACCTGGTCGCTTGTGATGGGGCAAAGAGTGCTGTGCGACGGTTTCTGGGGGTGGAGAGTGAGGGAGAGGACTCTTGTTCGTGAAGCTTCCCCTTTGAGGGCCTGACTGACGCATGACATCTAGACGAGACGATGATGACCATCCATATAAACGCTAACCTCTACCCTATCGTCAAAGACAAGGTGGGCATGCTTCATTGGGTGATGGATCCTGAGGTATCCGGTTTCATCATCGGGTATGACCTCGGGGGGAATCAGGTGCTGATCTGCAATTTTGATGTACATCCGAATACCCTTCGTGCCTGCGATCAAGAGGCTTGACTGACGAACCTAGTCCCAAAAACACCCAGTGGAGTCCTGGAACGAGTCCCTCTGCCGCAAGACCGTCGACGCCGCCATAGGCACGCACATCCCCTACGACGTGCTGAGCTACCGACCCTGGATTCTGAGCCGGAAGGTAGCCAAATCCTATCGCATAAACCGCGTACTCCTGTCAGTAACCTCCGAACCTGCGCAGCCCCAGAACAACCCCGCTAACCCCACGACAGAGCTGGCGACGCCGCCCACTCCTTCCCCCCAACCGGCGGCCTAGGCCTGAACAGCGGCCTGGGTGACGTCCACAACCTCGCCTTCAAACTCGCCGCCATCCACCACGGCCACGCCAGCCCCTCCCTTCTCGACACCTACGAATCCGAGCGCCGCCCCGTCGCGCTCGTCAACGCCGCCCAAAGCGTCAAAAACGGCCAACAGATCTTCCGCCTCCTGAAGACGCTGGGCGCCACCGACCCAGACGTGCACGTCGCGCGCGAGAACCTATACCGCACCGTCGCCGACCCCGAGCGCGCCGGCGCTGTGCACGAAGGCATCGAAGGCCAGCGCGAACATTTCGACAACCTGGGTTTGCACATCGGGTATGTGTACGGGGAGACCCAGGTTCCCGGCTGCGCTTCCGTCTACCGGGCGAAATGTGTGCCGGGAGCGCGGATCCCACACGCGTGGATCGAGCCTTCGACGGCTGTTACTAGTCGGCTGGTGGAGCCCATTGATTCATCGTATGTTGGGGAGTTGTCGATGGAGGAAGTGGGGCGTAAGCGGTTCTCGGCGTTGGATCTGTGTGCTTTCGATGCGTTTACGCTGTTTGTGGATGGGGAGTTCGCCGATACTTGGAGGGGCGTGCTTGAGGAGGCTGCGGACAGGTTTCCGCCAGGACTGAGGGTTGATTTGGTCGCGAGGGGCAGGGATTTCGATCTTCAGCCTGGTGAGGCAGGCGAGAAGTGGTTGGGGCTGATGCAGTTGGTGCTGGGTCGGGCGGTGTTGGTCCGTCCGGACCAACATATCTTGACAGTGTTTCATGGCCGTCCGGATGATTCGATGGAGGTAGTAGACGTGCTGAGGAAGTATCTCGCTTGGTAGGTATGCATGTAGAGCATTTGATCTGGGAGATGCCGCTGCTGGACTGATTAAAGCATAGACTCTCGTGACTGCCTCTCTATACATCATCTTCTCCTGCAGACATCAGTCTTTTATGTCTTGCTGCTGGCAGATCCTTTGTATTCAATGTACAGCGCCACTACACCACCTGGCTTGCCTTTGAAGAGCTCAACTGGAGCGTGATGTTGTCATTGGGTTTACATCATATACCACCACTTTTGCATGTACTGTACCAAACCAGCCATCCTATATTAATTAACAAATCCAGCAGCAGGCCATCCGAACGACCGCCAAAGTTCAGGGAATAGATCTCTCGCAAGACAACCAGACTCAGGTCGCCATCAAACAGCGTCTACTTCAAAATTAGAGTACCATAATGGTCAATGGTAAATTACCACCTCGTCATAGAGCTGTAAATACTAGCCAATACACATGTTTCAGCGAGTGGATGACAAATACACCACTGCGCCAAGCATGGAGCCTGCAAAACGGACCCTTGCGCTTCTCATTGGCCACGCCACGACTTAAGGTGCAGACCGGTCACGGAATTTCTGATGGGCCGGGGGGGCCGGCGGGCTTAGTGGGAGGGAAGTGCGTCATGACCTTTCACTCCCTGAGGTTGGGCTTGTTATATGGAGCCTAGAACGTTTGCATGGAATGATCTAGCTTGGAGGATATAGGTATTTGCGGAGAATGACGCAGGTCACGGGAGAGAGACCTAACACCACCACCACGCAAAGAAGGATCCTACTGTAACGCTGTACTGTACATACATTGGACATTTACAATCTTCCTCTCCCCCTCCCACAAAAGAGGGTGGGCAAGACCATCACAAATACCGCAGAAGCAACTTCTCGCCCCTCCGCGCCCGCCACCGATTCGTGCTGGCCAACAACTCGGCGCACCCGCGCACCACCCACGGCCACTTGCGCAGAAAGTCCTCGGTGATCTCCCAGTTGCCGGGGTCGGAGGGCTCCCCCCACACGAGCAGACTGTACGTGTGCGTGGGCGAGTCCCAGAACCCCATGATGTCCAGGCACAGCTCCTCGTCGTCGAAGCGGTCGGCCATGGCGACGAGGTTGTCGCGCAGCCGCGGCAGGGGGAAGAAGTCCAGCCACGGGTGGTGCGGGACGGTCTGCTGGAGCTTCGTGGGGCGCAGGTGCGGCGGCAGCGCGGTCGGGTCGAGGGCGCTGTGCGGCTGCAGGGTCGTGAAGGGGGAGAGGGCGTCGTCGTGCATCCACTCGGCGCCGGTGCCCATGCCCAGGGTGGCCATGTTGGTGGCGAAGGCGCGGTAGACGTTCATGCGGCTGAGCGTCAGCAGGTGGTCGAGGGTCGGCGAGCCGTGGATGTAGGAGGCGTAGGCGACGCGGGTGAAGTCGGTGAGCAGGGTCTGGAGGTCTCGTTGCGTGGTCAGGTCCGTGCAGGGTTTGCGGTCGGGGCGCGGGCTGCTGCTCGTGCTCGTGCTCGTGCTCGTGCTGCTGCGGGTTTGCGACTGGGATGGTGGTCGTGTTGAGAAGGAGAAGGAGAAGGATGTGGATGATGATGATGATGATGATGCAGATGTGGAGGGACTCGTGGTCGAGTTGGGGGAGGAGGTCGATGGGGAGAGGACCGTGATCATCTGTTCGTCGCTGCTGCGCGTGGGTTCCTCCGTTTTGACCGTTCTTCGTATTACCTGATTCGGTGGTTGAGTCTGTGTTTGCCGCGTTGCTTGTTTGCGTTTCCCTGAAGGAGTACTGTCAGTTTTGAAATAGTGAGTTTCCTTGATAGGTGAGCAGCTCACGGTAGGCCCGCTGGTTCAGACGGTTCTGTCGTCGCCGTCGTTCTTTGCGATCTCCCATGCCGGCCCAGTCATCTTCAGGGTCCACCTCGGAATTGGCCGAAACGATCGAGATAGCAGCGCCAGTGCGCTCTTCCTTCACCAGATGCATTTCCGATTCCGACCCCATCCAGTTGGCAAGGTATGAAGTAAGGATCCTCGACTGTGGCGGTATGATGGTATGGTGTGGAAATCGAACCCGCGATAGTGCAACAATGCAATGGGTGATTTAAAGTTACCTGTAGTTGAAAGATAAGAAGTTCAGAAGAAGGATCCAAGATTCAAGTCTAACCCAGGCTGGATCCGGCCGGGGGTTTTATGGGTGGAGGAAGCCGGAGCTAAACTTAACCCCGTTGGCTCTCCACCCGCCCGTTTCGTCCTGTCATTACCAGCCAGTCTCATTTCAAGTGGTCATTATATTGAACTTAAGTAGTATGTACAGCTTGCAACCTGAACCTTGAACATCACGCCACGCCAATGAATCCAGTCAGTTTATACTCCCTTTCTCTCCTTTCCCCAAATCATCTCTTCCAACACTGCTTTCTCCCCACTGTTCTGCACCAGATTTCGAAATACACCCCCCTCAATGGTCATCAGTTCCTGTGGTGTACCGAATTCAGCCGCCTTGCCCGCGTCCAGAACCAGGATTTTGTCGAAATCAGCAACGGTGCTGAGGCGATGCGCAATGACCAGAAGAGATGTCGCATTTCGTCCGAATTCCTCCCGGATTGACCGTTGAATCAGGGCCTCGGTTTCCATATCCACGGCGGAAGTTGCCTCGTCCAGAACCATGATTTTAGGTTGGGAGACAATGGCTCGAGCGAGACAGAGAAGCTGTCTCTGCCCTTGGGAAAGATTGAGACCACCCTCAGAGACCATTGATGAGAGGGAAGCAAAGAAATTCACCGTCTTGAGAGGGCCTGTGATCGAAGAGGCAGACGAGGATGGTAATGTGCTGCTGTCACTGAAGGGCTCGTGGCTGGAATGCGAGGCCAAAGTCAGGGTATCCTCAAACGAGACGAGGTGTACTCGCTCTAGTGCGTTGTAGAGCTCCATATCAGTGTGTTCGTGGAACGGATCCAAGTTCGACCGCAAGGTGCCCGAAAAGAGCACGGGGTCCTGTGGAATGATAGCAAGACGGCTCCGCAGAGCCTGGAGCTTGATCTGTGAGATGTCCAGACCATCAACAAAAATTCGACCACGCCGAGCCTCTAAGAAGCGGAACAACGCCAATGTTAGCGAGGATTTTCCAGCCCCAGTACGTCCTACCACCCCCAAGCGTTGGTTGTGCTCCAGGCTGAAGTTGAGCCCGCTAAGCACTGGAGGTAGATCGGGCGCATATCCCACCACAAGATCTTCGACTTCTACTCTTCCACGAGTCGGCCAAGCGGCAGGTGGTTCTACACCACCCTGGTCTTCCATGTCAATGCCAGTGTATTCCAGCACACGCTCAGTCGAGTTCATATCTGTTTCCACATTCGCGTAGAAGCGCAGTCCCATGGCCACGGCATAGTTATACTGTAACGCGAAGCTCATGGCGAAGCCTGCCAGCGCAGGGGTGATGTGGGGGATGTACACGACTAGCGCCGCTGTAATCGTTGACAGAAGGGCGCCTGCAATACTCATCCGGATGCCAAGCCAACGATCCAGGAGCCACAGGTACCAGGCTGTTTGTGCGTGTCGGTCAATTCGAGCATACATGTCTTTGATGTATACCTCTGTCTTTTGGAAGGCACGAATGGTCCCAAGTCCGACCAAGGTAGATCCAAAACGCTCCAAAACCGGGCTTTTTGAGGTGCTTTCCAATCGTTTGATCTCTCGCATGCCAACCAGATAGATTCTCGACAGTTGAAAACAAAGAGCAAGCAGAATACAAGCGAACACCAGGAGAAGAGGTGAGACTAGCAGTCCGGCAGCGAGAATACCTACCAACTCCAAGATTTTGTAAACAAGGTGGCCAATGTCGTATCCAAGCCTCCAGTCAAGAATGTTGATGTCAGATGTGAACCGGTTGAGAATGCGACCAGTGGGCACGGTATCCAGCCATCGCAGAGGAGATCTCAGGACGGTATACAGTAGATCATTAAATAGTTGACGGGAGGATTCAAGCGAAGCGAATGCGAGAGCTAACGTGCGGATTGTGCCCACCATACATGCGGCGACAGAGAAGCCAATATACACGGTGAGATAGAACATCAAATCCTCGTCGGCTTCGAATGTCCAGACTTGGCTCCTGGTGTCGTCGCGAACACGTGCGAGATTTGTTTCATCAGACGATGGGGTGGACGCACTTGTCCAGACGCTGACCCACCAGGACTAGTGCCGTTAGCTATCAAGAACCAGGATTTTGTGAGTTATCAGGAATGTCCATACCCGACCAACTAGAAGAGCCATGAAAGCGCTGTACGCCAGGAAGACCACCGTCCAAAGACGGAGACAGTTTCCCTTGGTCAGATACGCAACGTAGACCTTGGTAGAAACAGCCCCCCTCTCACGCTTCTCATCTTCAGTAAACCTCCTGAGGGTGTGAATGCTGGTGGCCGTCGAGAGACGCGAGTTCGTAGACTTTCGCGAGCTCGTGGACACACGCTTCGATGATACTTTGGGTCCCTGCACCTCGGTTGGGGTTTCAGGCACTGTTGTTTCGGCGGTCTGATCCAGAAAGTCGGCCAGATTTTGGGTTACGGCCAATTCCTCCTTCGTCCCGGCGTGGATCATGACTTTATCCGCAAGAAGAACACAATAATCTGTCCGAGGCAGGCAAAGACCCACATGGTGGGTGACGAGAATCCGAGTCCTATTCTGACCGAGTTCTCCTGTCAGGGCACGCTCATAAAGGTGACGTCCTGTTTCAGCGTCAAGCGCGCTGAAAATATCATCCATAATCAGTATTCCTGCTCGCGAGTATAGAGCACGCGCGAATGATATACGCCACCGCTGACCGCCGCTAAGATTGATCCCATTAGCACCAATATCCGTATAGTCACCATCTGGTAGCATATCTATATCCTTCTGCAATGCAACAGCACGGAGGACTTTGCGGTATCGGTAGCGATCGTAAGGAAGACCAAAAAGAATGTTATCCTTGATTGTCGCATTCTCCATCCATGGGTTCTGGGCCACATAAGCCACAGCTGTGTCAATAATCCAGTCATGGCGTGTTGCTCTCTCATCAAATCGTTCAGCAGACGGGGGGCTATGCGGAATGGCCACCATTCCACCCAAGACATCGCATTCCCCTAGGATTGAGGCCAAGAGCAAGCTCTTTCCGGAGCCAGTCTTGCCAGCAATGACACTCAATCCTTTAGGTGGAAATCGAATGTTAAGGTTGCGAAGGCAAAATCGCTCTTCATCTTCCCAATCAGACTGCTCGTCTTCGTCATCCTGTGCCGGCCATGCAATCGTGGCGTTGTCGAACGATATGTTGTCGACATCAGATGTATAGGGAGCTTTTTCTGCCGAGTTCAAGTATTGATCAATGCGAGAAGCACTAATCTTAGCCTCCATTGCTTTGGACATTAGATCAGGCAAGCTCGCCAAAGCAGATTCTAATGATCCAAAGACAGAAAGTGCCGTGAATGCTACCGACGCAGACAATTCGCCATGAGTCAGCGCGTACACGGTCAAAGACACTGCAGACAATAAGAGCGGTCCCATAATCCAGACAGAAACCATGCCAGTGGTGTATAGGGATGTCTTCCATAGGTACTTGAGCTCGATACGGCGTTTTTCTGACACTCGATCCTGCCATTGCTGTTCCAGAGCTGAGAACTTGATTTGTCGTATGCCATGTAAAACTTCCGCTACCGCACTCATTCGCTTGTCGCTAGCGTTCATAAAATCTTGCTGGGCTGCCGAATATTTCTTGGTCAAGTGGGTGTTCATCGGTGTCACCAGAACTGCCGCAACACCACCAGCCAGTAAACTTCTCCATCCGATCAATTGAACCAGAAAGGCAGACGCCATGACCAGTCGAAGAATGCAAGACGGAATCAGGTAGTTATACATGACAAAGTCAGCGATACGCTTGGAGTCCACGGTAGCTAGATTGATAACAGTTTGGCGGCTTCCTTGTTGCTCCAACTCTTCTGTCTCTTCGGCGTCATCATCTTTTTCGTCTGCTTCACTGTAGTGGCTTAGCTGCTTCACGTCTTTGCACCGCAATGATTTGGCAAACACTAGAGCTGAGATTCCTTCGTAAATCGGAATCCATAACTGAGAATAAATGATCCACCATAACCATGATTCAATGCTGGAAGACAGAACGAGGACTACTCCCAGCCCAAGAACCCAGACCCATGTTGAGTTTGCGTCCCCCGGAGAAGAACAACGATCCTCGAGTGACTTTAGTATCCCAAACAAAGCTACCTGAGGGCCAAATCCAAGCAGACATTGAATTATACTTAGCGTGCCTTGTAGCATGAGAGGCCGGACGTGTCCCAGTATAAGCGCCTTCCACAGCTCCCGAGAGTTGCGCATCCTTTCAAGCCTTGCATGGAGAGTTTGAGCACGAGCGCTTAATGGCAATCTCGGGAGGTCGTCCAGTTCCAAAGTCTTGTTCGTCGCCACAAATCGCAAGAGACCGTTGACCCAGCTGAACGTTATTCTGCCCAAGATGCTCACGCTCTTTTCTTGGTCTACCACCTGTCCTTGGTGATATACGTTGGGACGCCTGGGTATCAAGACGCAGAAGAAACCTCGTAAACAGGCAAGGCCAATCTGGCTCGTCATAAGACTCGTGGATAAGCGGCCAAATTCATCAAACTCTCCAGAGCGCCAAAGAAGCCCAAGATCCACAAATGGCATCATTATCATGGCACAGCTAGCCGCAGACGCGTACATTCCGAGAATATATCGTTTGACCGGTGCCGATTCGAGGAAGAGACTGGCGGCTTGTAGACAAAGTACCATCTATCAATTGTTAAAACAGACCCGAGCTATGCTAGTGAGCTCAATGAGTGAGCTGATAATGATTGAGGACGTACCCATCCCCCCATCTGCAACCAGAAGGGAATAACATATTGGCGTTGACCCGATTCAATTGAAATGATAGCCTGCGACAATGATACCCCAAACCCAATGATCGATAGGAGTACTATAGCGACTCGCTGCCACGAAGCTGAGAATGCTTCTAGTGACCCTTGTGTGGCTTCTCCGTCCTCATCTTGATAACTCGACAGACGGAAGAGCGGCGTCTCAGACGTGTCTGGTAAATCGGATGCACAATCGATCTTCGGTTTTTGAAAGCGACGGATTATCGTGAGCAAAGCTGGTACCGTACAAACAGTTATTAGCGAAACACCCAAGGCGTCAATCACGATGAACGCCATTTCGCGACTGAATATCATCCCGCATAGAACCTCAGCACCTCGGTAGGTGCGATTTGTCGACAAAGGTGAGGGGATAGATGCGACAGAATAGACAAGAAGGCAGACCAGAGTGAACGCGTAGAAGTCGGTTCCTGGCTAATGGCAAGGGTGCTGCAGGGCTTGCATACCAACTGCATTCCTGCCGCGTTCCCTTGCTTGCGATATCAAGGAAGGCAGTAATGCTTCCAGTTGATATTTTGACCACAACAACGTTCAGGAAATGACTAGGCTAGTCCTCAGAGAAAGCCTTTAGTTCAAAGCTCATAAGATCCTCTTTGATCAGGTGGGAGGTTGTTACTGTTCTTCTTCCAGACGACGGTGCACAGTGTAACACTTGAGCTCGCCATTGATGCCACATGACCTTACAAATAGGTTTTCGAGATCGAGTATGGGAAGATTGATTGTATTCATGTCGCATTTAGTACTATCTTGTCATGGTTGGCTCGATTAATTTGAAGCTGGTTGTAGGTAATTTATTGTATACACTTGGTCGCACGAGAGCATCATGCTGCGCAGGGAGCAAGGCAATGTGTATTTTCCACAAGATTATAGGATATTATGAGCTTGTAGCCAGGAAACAGACTCATTAGTGGCCTGAAAAGATCGAAAATTCTAAAGGAGCATACAACAAAATTGTTCAAGGGAAGACAAGTAAGTATCACAACAACGGGCGTCAGTTTTACAAAGAGCTACTAAAGCGGCAAGAACCTCGGCCTGAGGTGGTGTTTGGGGCAAGCGTACCGTGACCTGGCAGTCATCACAGCTGTGTCGGAAGCGGTGGAACTGATATACCGGGGGACACTAGACCCAAGACAGCTAGCTGGGGGTAGCTCCCCAGAAAAAGCAGTCGAGACCGGCCTCAGCTCAGCTCAGTCATCCCAGCCGAGCCGATGATTGGGTAATGGCTGACAAACGATGGGCAAGGATTGGGTGGCGGGGAGAATCTGTCCAACTCCGGCCCCGACTTCGCTGCGGAGGCCCCCCCCGGCCCATTTTTCCCAGCTGTGTGTGACTCTCTGCTTGACCTCCGGATGCTCCCTTATATTATTCCTGTTTGTGTTATGGCCCAGGGTTTCTAAACTTCTCTCCCACCCCTCACCCCGACCCTTCTCCTCTCAATCAAGCTTCCGTTTGATACCCCGTGAGTTGCGTGCTCTCGATTCGGCAATGCTTCTCTCACAGACCCGCGGGCGTATGCCCGCCGCTCTCCGGAGCCTCAGCCAGCGCTCTTTGAACAGGTGAGTGATACCATTGTTGTCTAGCTCTTTGCATGATAGTGGACACATACTGACTCATGTCTTTGCAATACATAGCCGCTCGCTGTCCACCACCCTTCCCAGACACCAGAACGCCGACGACAAGGATGCCGGCCTCAACAAGGTCTCCCGCCATATCACCCAGCCCATCTCGCAGGGTGCCTCCCAGGCGATGTTGTACGCCACTGGTCTCAGCGAGGCGGACATGAACAAGGCTCAGGTTGGAATTTCGTCTGTGTGGTACAACGGTAACCCCTGCAACATGCACCTGATGGACCTGAACAACCGTGTCCGTGAGGGTGTTCAGAAGGCCGGACTGGTTGGTTTCCAATTCAACACCGTCGGTGTCAGTGACGGTATCAGTATGGGTACCAAGGGTATGCGCTTCTCCCTGCAGAGCCGTGACCTGATTGCGGATTCCATCGAGACGGTCATGGGCGGTCAGTGGTATGATGCCAACATCAGCATTCCCGGCTGTGACAAGAACATGCCCGGTGTGTTGATGGCGATGGGCAGAGTCAACCGGCCCAGTTTGATGGTCTACGGAGGTACCATCAAGCCCGGTTGCGCCTCTATGCAGAACAACGCGGATATCGACATTGTTTCCGCCTTCCAGGCCTACGGACAGTTCTTGAGCAAGGAGATCACCGAGCCCGAGCGCTTTGACATCATCCGCAACGCCTGCCCTGGTGGCGGTGCTTGCGGTGGTATGTACACTGCCAACACCATGGCCACCGCCATCGAGGTCATGGGTATGACCCTCACCGGTTCCTCTTCCAACCCTGCCGAGTCCCAGGCCAAGTACCTTGAGTGTCTCGCAGCCGGTGAGGCCATCAAGACCCTTCTCAAGGAGGACATCCGCCCCCGCGATATCCTGACCCGTCAGGCTTTCGAGAACGCCATGATTGTCGTCAACATCACCGGTGGCTCCACCAACGCTGTTCTCCACTTGATCGCCATCGCGGACTCCGTTGGCATCAAGCTCGACATCGAAGATTTCCAGGCTGTTTCCGACCGCACACCCTTCCTGGCCGACTTGAAGCCTTCTGGCAAGTACGTCATGGCCGATCTGCACAACATCGGTGGTACTCCTTCCCTGCTCAAGTTCCTGCTCAAGGAGGGTATCATTGATGGATCTGGTATGACTGTTACCGGTCAGACCCTGGCCAAGAACTTGGAGAAGGTTCCCGACTTCCCCGAGGATCAGAAGATCATCCGTCCCTTGTCCAACCCCATCAAGCCTACTGGTCACATCCAGATCTTGAAGGGTACTCTGGCCCCTGGTGGCAGTGTTGGTAAGATCACTGGTAAGGAGGGTCTCGTCTTCACCGGTAAGGCCCGCGTCTTCGATGATGAGGACGACTTCATTGCCGCCCTCGAGCGCAATGAGATCAAGAAGGAGGATAAGACCGTTGTTGTCATCCGCTACTGCGGTCCCAAGGGAGGCCCTGGCATGCCTGGTAAGTGACTACAACCGGTGCTTCTTTTTGACGCTCTCGGGACCTCGTTAATAACATATGTCCTCTAGAAATGCTGAAGCCCTCTTCCGCCCTGATGGGAGCCGGTCTCGGTAACTCCTGCGCCCTGATCACCGATGGACGCTTCTCCGGCGGTTCCCACGGATTCCTCATCGGCCACATTGTCCCCGAGGCCGCCGTCGGCGGTCCCATCGGTCTGGTCAAGGACGGCGATGTGATCACCATCGACGCTGAGAAGCGTGTCCTCGACCTGGATGTCGACGACACAGAGCTGGCCTCGAGAAGACAGCAGTGGGAGGCCGATAAGACTGCCGGCAAGCTGCCTCCTACCGGTCTGACCCTCCGCGGAACTCTTGGCAAGTACGCTAGGTACGTATACTCTTTTCTGAAACATTCCATCAATCAAGGATTCTCACTAATGCTTGTCCCCTAGACTTGTCAAGGACGCCAGCCACGGCTGTATTACCGATGCCCTCGACTAAACGTCACGCCGTGGGTTGTAACTTCTATTCCAACTAGCCCCCCATCTTCTACGATTATGTCTTATTAGCTCCTCCTCCATCCTACAGGATTGTAATCTGGTCTTTCTTGTCAGGGTGAGCCTGGGGACTCGTTCGGTTCTTATGTCTCCCTGGTTTTGGGTTCGGCGAATTTCTCTTTTGCAAGACCAAAAGCAAGATTTTTTTCCTGTGTTATATACAATTTTCTACTATCTATCGCCTCCTGCATGTTTTATCTGCTGAAGAACAACCAATGATGATGATACCATTCTATTGAAACATGTTGAAGAAAGAAATCTTTTATACATGCAACCAACCAACCTTTAGCTCTAGCTCTAGCTCTATCACGCGCACGAATCTACTCCCAAACCCAGACCCAACCTATATACACCCGCACCCCCCAACCTGTTCAAACTCTGAGCCTAATCCAACTCCTTAAAGAATTCAACCACCGCTAAAGCACAAACAATATTAGCTCAAGCCCCCACACCGACCATGAAAGGAAGGGGCAAAACAAACCAAGCCTAAACGCCTCCGGATTCTCGGAGATCAACCAATGGCCCGCCTCAACATCCGCGATCCGCGCCTGCGGGAAGAACGCCTTGATCGCGGGAATCGCATCGTCGGTCACGTAGCGACTCCTCGTGCCGCGGACGAAGAGCGTCGGCCCCTCGTACTGCTTCGCGCCAGGCTCCGCGTACGGGAAGTCGGCCATGTCGACCAGCGACTCGCCGAGGACGGCGAGCGGGACGCGGAATTTCATGGTCTGGTCCTCCTCGGAGCGGATCAGGTTCGTGAGGAGGAATTGGCGGATGGGGAGGGACTTTTCTCCTCTGGTTAGATTGTGGTTTTATGTTGGGGGGCCCGGGGGGCAGGGGGGACGGGGTAGGGGATTGTGTATTTGGGAAAAAACGGCAGGCATACCTCCTCATACTCCTTCAGGATCTTATCGGCATCGGACTGCTTGGTGACCTTGGCGGCTTCGACTTCCTGCATGCCGCGGACGTACTTGCCGAAGTCACTCTTGAGGGGCGCGTTGCGCGGGGCGTTGTCCACGGGGACCAGTGCCGAGACGAGACGCGGGGATTCGAGGGCGACGGTCATTGCGGCTTTGGCGCCCCTTCACAACAGACCAAGGTGTCAGTTTCTTTTCAGAGAAAAAAAAAGACTCTCGAATAGAGTGGCGCTGGCAGGGGGGGGGCAAGGTCATACATCGAGTGCCCGATCAGCGCAGCCTTCTCTAGCTTCAACTGCTGCATGAACTGGACCACATCCTCCGCCATCACGGAGTAATTGTGCTCCTCGGCGTGGAACGAGTGGCCGTGGTTTCGGAGGTCCTAGCCACACCACCAAGAACATCAGAATCAGAACCTCTAGCCTGTGAGTTCAGGCCGTCTGGATGACATGAAACCCAACGCGACTCAAGATAAGCAGGGCACATGCATGCATACCACGGTGAAGATCTCGCATTTGAGGTCACGAGCCAATGCGCTGCAATGATCATTGTCAGTTATCCGCTGCCACATGATACGCAGGGTTGACTTACCGGCTGATGCTCCGGTTGTTCTGCTTTGAGCCGAACAGGCCGTGCAGGAAGATGATCGGGTCCCGGCTTACTTCGTCCTTCTCGGGCTTGAAGACTTGGTAAGACAGATCGGGGTCCATCCGCTGGGTGGTGGAGGAGAACAGGCGCGCGAGGCCCGCTGGGCGCTGGCTGGCTCCGGCTC